TCCAATGGGATGTGGGTGAGATCCCCCAACGTGGGAGAGAGTTCGGGAATCGGCAAACTCGCGAGGAGGGGGAAAGGTCGAGGAGGAGGGGGAATGGAGGTCGGACAGGAAGGCCGAGAGTCGGGAACAGGGATGTAACAAAGTATTGAGCTTTTTTGGCAGCGATGATGGATCCGATCACAGATCCAGCGTCAAGCGCGAAGGGGGGTTGAAGGGAGGGCTGTTGTTGCAGTTCCAGGCGTTGTCCCGCAGTTGGTCGAGGGTATTGCTAAATATAGCAGAAACTGCACGGCAAGTGTCAGATATAGAATGCAACCTGGGCACGGCGCTTATGCGGCAAACCAGCAGACTAGGGGCAGGAGAATCGGAGAGGTTGGTCGCAACAAACAGATCGAGCACCAGGGGAGAAGGGGGAGGGGTCCTCTCTCTCCTCTCTTTTTGGCCCACTAGAGGGAAGATGCGTCTGGGAATCGGGGGCCATACCTCACAAGATCCCCTCAGAATAGATGATAAGCGCGGGCAGCAGTGGCCGGGGGGGAGGGATTGTGGCGTTTCTTGCAGAAAGGGTATATCGGGATCGAAAGGGGCCGGCGCGCGAGTAGGAGACAATTGAGATATCTCAACTCTCTGTCTCTCTTTCTCTCTCTTGTCCTCATTTGACGCACTTGAGAGACTCGGGGAACTCCTGTGTGAATTGCTTCGAGGATCACGTGTGTTTCAGATCGGGTCCATTCCGTTTTAGATCGTCCCCTCCGATTTAGGCAAGACGCAAGACCGCTCTAGCACTACAACTTTTACAGTAACACATCACACTCGATTTGGGATATTCTGATATTCTGATATTCTATTGGACTGCACATCCTGGGTATCGTTTTCACACCTTCACTTTCACTTTCATTTTCACTTTCTTCATTACCAAGGGAGACTATCCACTACCCTTGGTAGGCGGTTTCACTCGATTGATCGGCGTCAACAGTCACGGTTGTATCCTGAGACACTGTCACCGTTTTGCCAACGGTATGCCACGCGGTCACGGTGGCCTTGTTGGCATCCGCACTCGATGTTACGGCGGACGACGCGCCTGCTGGGGCCGGAGCCTCCGTGGATTGCTGATCTGAAAGCTTATCGAATTCCGACGGAATGGCCGCCTCATTCAAATCCTGGCCCTCGGCATACTCATCATTCGCCTGCTGCTTGTTTGCCGATGTGCCTTGCACATCCACGTCCATACAGGTGGTGTAGATCTCCGTCTTTCCCTGTGGGTATGTTGGATCGGCACCTGGGGCGGTGGGCCAGTCCCACACCCAGTAGAGAGTATACAACTTGCCGGATGGGGCAGTCGTGGGTAGTTGGATGTCTTGCTGGCACCAAAGGTCGGCTCCGGTCAGCTGGCTGGCTTCATGTGTGTACTCCTTTTGGCGGGTCTCCGAGATATCACCACCGTTGACTTGATAACAACGACCGTCGTCGAAATTCTGGGTAGATAGGAGCACGCCTCGGCCGTCTCCTCCAGTACCGTCCGAATCCCAAGCTCCATACACATCCAATAACTTCTCGCCAACCTTTGGCTGTGTCGTGCCATAAACGTAAACCGTGCCACGGTTCTTTGGCTTTCCAGGTTGATTCTGGGGCAGAGTGACATGTCCATTCTCTTGGTATCGAAGTGCGACTGCGGCCCCGGCGCTGGCCTGCAGCCGAGGGCTCCCATCGGACTGGGACTGGTCTTGTTGAGTACCCTTGCAGAGCTTATCGCTAGGTAAAAGCTGGGTCACGTTGCTCCGGGTACTGGGTGGAAGCAGGTAGGTCATGGTGGTGTCACTAAAGCCAGATGCCGTGCGAAGATAGTTTCCTCGGGCGTAGCCTGGAGTACCCAAGAATGTTCCATTTGGTGCGATGACAGTAAGCTGTTCCACCCAAGAATGTGCTTCGGCGTTTGTTATGAGGACGAGCAGCATTGGCAATGCTGGAAGAAACATTCTGTCGAGTTCAAAGAGATCGTTGCTGTGAAGAGGTAAAGGTTGTCGGATCAAAGGGTTTTGTATTTTTGTATAGCACCGTCCTGCGGTGCTGTCTTCAATTTGGCTCTTGTGGTATGTGGTATTTCGGGTCGATGCAGGATCTGGAGGAAGGAAAAAAGAGGTCTTCGCTGCGACGTCGTATATATTGGGATAGGCAAAGGAGTTGCCTTGGCCGGGGGAGTCACTGCTAGTATTTGTACTAGAATAGTGAATGACGAGACAAAATGAAGGAGGGGGCCAGTAGGCATTCACACGACACTATGCTGATACTTGGGCAACAAAGCGGGCAACAGAGTAAAGACCAAACAGGTTGTTTCAGGGTCCTATTGTCCCAAGATAGCACAGAGCCTCGAAATCAGAACAAAGAAACCTCACAATGGAGACAAATGAAATAGCCGGCTTTCATCTTTCGTCTTCCCGTCCACGGGACCCTGTTCCAAATATATGGACGGCCGCCATGGCATGGGAGGCTGGGCCATGCCTAATTGGCGACGAAAACAAAGAATAATAGACCATGAGACTATTTCGATGTCACTGCTGAAACGATGAAGCTCCACTACTATCCATACCTCATGATGCTAAGTGCCGAGGAGACAGAGGCTTAGGGGGGGATTGGTTGGACGAGACAGTTGCAAAAACGACGGAACTTGCTTCAGGAGGTGAAGAAATGGAGATAAATCTGGCCCTGAGACCTTCCCTCTTCTCCTGGCGCTTAGGAAGATTGACATAAGTAGCACTAGAGCCTCTCCCTCCGGGCGCATCCATTGGCGCTCGGGGATGAGTTAGCGCCTCATAAATCTGCATGTTCTGCATTTAGAACATGGGGGAATCTGCAACTGCTTAACATCTTGGCATTCTAACCTTTTGAAGCTATGTTCTTCAAGAGCGAGCCACCCACTCACGTGAAGAGGTGAAGAGTTGGGGTGCCGGAAATCAAAACGGTGTTACTAACTAGTATGTACTTCTGCAACTCTATACTATTTTGGTCCTAGAACAAGATTAGAGTTGACAGTGCAGAGCATGCATACGAGTAGGGTTTGGGTTAGTTAAAGTATGTCCCTGGTGTTCTTGTTCTCTTTCTTTCACAATGCAATCCAGATACTCGACTCTAGATCAAATGCAAACCACTTATGAACTGTGTATGTACTGTACTGTACTGTACTTGTGTACATGGGATGCACAGACCGATTGTGGCACCTACCACTGGCATATGTACATGTAGTAGGACTATGTGAGGGGCATGCATGCATGTACTGGGCTCCAAGTCATCATCTGTCGATATTTCAGAGATTACTGCAGCTTCGGCTTTTACTCTTCTCGTTATTCCAGTCCTCCACCGAGAGCTAACCAGCAAGTGGTCTCCTCCGAGTGCGGACTTTGCATCTTATCTTGATGGAAATTCCCCATCGTACCCTTGGCAGTCTCGGTAACCGAGTCCTATTGTGGATAGAAGCCGCGGGGCCTGCCAAAACATCCGGCGATGATTTGGCTTGAGTTATCTGATTTTTATCTGATTTCTCCGTGCGCTCCACCGGGTGGGTTCCGACCGGTCTACTCCGTAGTATGAGAAACGAGGTCGAATTGGGGTCACCAGGCGGAGCCTTTCGGAAAGCATGCATCATGGCTGTGAACATGCCGGCTGAACCGAGCCATCGGCATAAGCTGACATGGCGAGCGAAGCGACAGTACAAGTATTGATTGCAGGGTTTGCAGCTGGGGACGCCCTGTGTGGCGTATATGGCACCTGCACCCAAGCAACCCTGGACGAGACGAAGATAAGTGGAGTTGGATCGACTGTCGGCACCCGAGTTGAACCCACACAAGTGAGTCGCGTATTTCCGACAATTTTTCTTCAATTCAAGAATAAGGGTTGTGCACCGAGGAGGCGGGAAGAAAGGACCATTCATTACCAGGTTGAGGGCACCCTAGGGTAGACCAACTGATAAGGTAGGTGTCATCCTGCTACTTTCGGGCGAGCCGGGGGCATACATGCAGTAGTGTAGTACATTTTGACTATCTCTTCATATACTCAGATCACTCTCTCATGTTGGGTAGGGGGGCTCTTTTCTTTTCTTTTTTCTTTTTTTATGTGTTGGGTTCGCGCGTTGCGCGGGTCAACGCCACCGCTTGTTTACGAGAAAGGTAACATCCCGACGAGAAGAGTGTCCCGAGGGCTTTCGATGATGTATTTTTTTTTATGAGAAAGAGAATATCCAGCTTGCATTGTAGATGGTCACGAGGGCAAAAAAGATCCGCTGGGTTGGGGAAGTGATTGTTGTGCATTGTTCGATAGTCTTTGTAGTACTAGTAGTACTATTCCCATATAACCTCACCTTAGAACACCTCTGGAGTACTCGTACTCTCTACTCTGCCGTCAGCACAACCTTGGAAGCCAGACTTGGTTTGCCCGATCTCAACCTCGACTTCGACCTCGACGCTAAAGTAGTGCCCTCCCCACTCTCCCACTCCAACGCTCCACTGGACTTCCTTGACTGGCGTGGCTTGGCGACCCCGTTGTCGGCGATACTTAATTCCTTGACCCGCGGAGCTCGCTGAGTATTTTGCAGCCTTCAGGGGGTCCTCTTTCTTGTCTCCGTACTCCGAATTCGTTATTCCTTGTCTCTTCCCTTTTTCCTTTTCCTTTTTTTTCTTTGCCTTTTCCTTTTGGATTCTTTGGTATGTATCACACTACCCCCTTAACGCCTGCACCTGCGTCTCCACCAATGCTGATCAATTAAAAAAAAGTTCACCCCGTGGGAAATCGTCCCTCCAGAGCACCGCCTCGCGCCAGCCACATGCGGCCCTCGATCTAGGGACTCTTGCAATTGAAGATTTATTCCACCTCCGCCTCTAGTTTTGACCGATCAAACTACACCACGGTGGTGATTCTCGCAGGCCCTGGTCCCTGCGGACCGTCATAACCCTTCCCCTCCCAACGCCTTCAACAGACGTCCACACCGCTCCCCTCATCGACTCGTCATCATGGCTTCCTCCCTAATTTCCAAGAGACTACGCTCAACCGAAGCCGATAAGGATGCTGAGCCGAGCTGGCTTCGTCGTCAGGTCACCGGTGGCCTCCAATTCATCTCTCGTCGCGCCTGCATTCACCCAATTCACACCATTGTGGTGATTGCGCTGCTTGCCAGCACCACCTATGTTGGCCTTCTCGAAGGTAGCCTGTTAGACACACGCAACTCGCGAAATGTCGCGGGCCAGGTGGATACGGAGACTCTCCTTCAAGGAAGTCGGAATTTGCGACTAGGAGAGTCCACCTCCTGGAAGTGGCAAGTCGAAGATTCTTGGGCTGATGAGAGCGTGAGCAATTTTGATCCGTGCCTACAAAGTTGAATCCAATAAGCTGACCCAACATTCCCCCCTGATAGCAGATTGAGACCACCGCTGCCCGCCACCTCGCTTTGACCACTTTCATTTTCCCGGATTCCACCTCCAAGTCAGCGTCGACCGCTCCCGCGGCAGACACTGTCCCTGTTCCTGGCAATGTCTCTGCTCGTTCAGTTCCCTACACCCCTAACCTGTTCTCGCCTTTCTCCCACGACTCTGCTCTCGCATACACCGTGCCCTTTGACCAGGTCTCAGAATTCCTCAGAGCCGTTCAGGAGATTCCGGACTCGTCAGCCGAGGAAGAGGAGGAAGAATCGAAGAAATGGATCATGAGGGCCGCACGCGGAGCTACTGGCTCGCGCACCGCTCTTAAGATCTGGCTGACCGATGCCTGGAGCTCTTTTGTCGATGTCATTAAGCACGCTGAGACAATTGACATTGTCATTATGGTCCTCGGTTACATCTCGATGCACTTGAGTTTCGTTTCGCTGTTCTTCTCAATGAGACGCCTGGGTTCTAACTTCTGGCTCGCTGCCACTGTTCTCTTCTCCGGTTCCTTTGCATTCCTGTTTGGTCTCCTTGTAACCACCAAGCTCGGTGTGCCGATCAACCTGCTTCTGCTGTCCGAGGGTCTTCCTTTCCTGGTTGTCACAATTGGCTTCGAGAAGCCCATAATGTTCACTCGTGCGGTTCTCAATGCCTCCGTGGACAACCGTCGCCCTCACCCTGGTGCCGCTCCCCGACCCCTCGCTTCCAGCACCCCTGCCTCCATTCAGGACTCTATTGCGACTGCGATCAAGCAACAGGGCTTTGAGATCATCCAGCACTACTGCATTGAGATCGGTCTCCTGGCCATTGGTGCCGCCTCTGGCGTTCAGGGCGGTCTTCAGCAGTTCTGCTTCCTCGCGGGCTGGATCCTGTTCTTTGACTGTGTCCTCCTGTTCACCTTCTATACCACCATTCTGTGCATTAAGCTCGAGATCACCCGCATCAAGCGTCATGTCGCACTGCGCAAGGCCCTTGAGGAGGATGGCATCACCCACAGCGTTGCTGAGAGCGTTGCCTCCAGCAACGATTGGCCCAATGTTGGCTCTGACGGTGGCGAAGGTGATACTAGCATTTTCGGACGCAAGATCAAGTCGAGCAACGTGCGCCGCTTCAAGATCCTCATGGTTGGTGGTCTTATCCTAGTCAATGTTGTGAATCTCTCGGCCATTCCCTTCCGCAACACCGGTAACGGTGCTCTGATCTCGCGTCTCTCTAATGTCATGGCACCTGCCCCTATTGACCCCTTTAAGGTCGCTGAGAATGGTCTGGACACCATTTACGTGACTGCAAAGAGCCAGAAGCAGGAGACCATGGTCACGATCATCCCGCCCATCAAGTACAAGCTCGAATACCCGTCTGTTCACTACGCTCCAGGCGAGTCTTCTTCGTTCGAGATTGAGTACACTGATCAGTTACTCGATGCTGTTGGTGGCAAGGTCCTCGAGAGTCTCCTCAAGAGCGTGGAGGACCCCATCATTAGCAAATGGATCATCGCCGCGCTTACACTCAGTATTATTCTCAATGGGTACCTCTTCAATGCTGCTCGCTGGAGCATCAAGGAACCCGAGGCTACCCCTACTCCTACCCAGGAGCCGGCCGCTCCCAAGGTCTACCCCAAGTTCGAGCCCAACGAGCAGGAGTCAACCCGAACTTTCGATGAGTGCGCACTGATCCTGAAGGAGAAGCGTGCGCCTACTCTGACTGATGAGGAATTGATCACTCTTTCACTGAAGGGTAAACTCCCTGGGTACGCCCTTGAGAAGACCATGGAAGATGAGAACCTGATGAGCCGCGTCGACGCTTTCACCCGCGCCGTCAAGATCCGTCGTTCCGTTATTGCCCGTACTCCGGCTACCGCTGAAATTACTGGTTCCCTGGAGTCATCCAAGCTTCCGTTCGAGCGCTATAACTACGGTCTTGTCCACGGCGCTTGCTGTGAGAACGTTATTGGATATCTGCCCCTGCCTCTCGGTGTCGCTGGTCCGTTGAAGATTGACGGCCAGGACTTCTTCATTCCCATGGCCACCACTGAAGGTGTTCTTGTCGCCAGTACCAGCCGTGGCTCCAAGGCCATCAATGCTGGTGGCGGTGCCACTACTGTCCTCACTGGTGATGGTATGACCCGTGGGCCTTGCGTGACCTTCCCTACCTTGGCCCGGGCTGCCGCCGCCAAGGTCTGGATTGACTCCGAAGAAGGACGTAGCATCATCACTGCTGCTTTCAACTCAACAAGTCGCTTCGCCCGTCTCCAAAGTTTGAAGACTGCGCTTGCGGGCACCTACCTTTACATTCGCTTCAAGACCACCACCGGTGACGCTATGGGTATGAACATGATCTCCAAGGGTTGTGAGAAGGCCCTCGATGTCATGTCCAAGGAATGTGGATTCGATGACATGTCCATTATCTCTCTCTCTGGTAACTTCTGTACCGACAAGAAGTCCGCGGCTATCAACTGGACCGATGGCCGTGGTAAGTCCGTTGTGGCTGAGGCAATTATCCCCGGTGATGTCGTGAAGAGCGTCTTGAAGAGTGATGTCGACGCCCTCGTCGAGCTCAACGTGAGCAAAAACTTGATCGGAAGTGCCATGGCTGGTAGCTTGGGCGGTTTCAACGCTCACGCGTCGAACATTGTCTCCGCTATCTTCCTGGCCACCGGCCAGGACCCTGCTCAGAACGTGGAGAGCAGCAGTTGTATTACGACTATGAAGAAGTAAGTTTCTCCCGATCAAACACCCAACGCTGTTCGTCCGGCCCTCGATGCTAATGACCTCTCCACAGCAACAATGGCAACCTTCAGATCGCCGTCTCGATGCCTTCCATTGAGGTCGGCACCATCGGCGGTGGTACCATCCTTGAGGCGCAGTCCGCTATGTTGGATCTGCTCGGTGTTCGTGGAGCTCACCCCACCAGCCCCGGTGAGAACGCTCGCCAATTGGCCCGCATCATCGCCGCTTCTGTCCTGGCCGGAGAGCTCAGTCTGTGCTCCGCCCTCGCCGCTGGCCACCTGGTCAAGGCACACATGGCTCACAACCGAAGCGCCGCCCCTACCCGGTCGTCAACGCCCGTGTCATCCGCTGTGGGCGCCACTCGTGGCCTTTCTATGACCTCTAAATAATTTCTCGCGCGACCAGCCCTCGCTGGCCCGCGGCCAAGGGTCCCTGTATATCCCCCTCGAGACTCTTTAAATCCACTCGATACCATCTGCAGTGAAGGGGCTAGGCAAAGCGGACCAAAACACTTCCCGACTTAGCTACCTCTCCCTCGTTGCATCCTGCGTCTTTGATTCTCTTTCTCTCGCTACGAGGCTCTTCGGATCTTGCCATGCGAGGACAACCTGGACAACGCTGTGATGGATCTTCATGCCTGGGGTTATCATATATGAACCCCTTTCGGCTTACGTCGCTAGGAGGCCCCTGTCATTGGGGCCGCCTCAAACCCGCCTTGAGCGGATATGAGCTACGCTCCTGTTCTACATTTTGTACTTAGTTTTTCGTCTCGGATAGATATGTCGGTCGATCATGACCTATGAAACCTGTATTGTTTGTTCATTTGATCAAGGCGTAGGGTGGTGTAGAGTTGACCATGGAGCTTAGTGACTGGGAGATTAACTAATTCATACGGTGGCTTGTATTTTCTGCCTAGATTAAGCAAATTATTTGTCTGCTTCCCCGAGGACCCCCCTCGTCCATACTAGTAGTATAGTATAGGCACTAATAGTAGATGTGCATCTATCGTGGGTGTACTTGTCCAGTACGGTGGTTGTGGAATGCCGGGGTACGTGAGCGGGTATCTATAGTGCAGTTTAGCATGTTATTGTCTCAGGTCTCTGTGGGGATAAGCCGGCAGATCAATATTTTCATGTCTCAGATGGACACTTGAATTCCAACGATCTAGGACAGGCGGTGATTGATACTGCCGATGGGGATGATGCAAGAACGGTCATTGGCTAGCCTGGGCTGCGAAGCACTAGCCAATACGCGATACTACACGGTACTTACAGGGACCCGTTCGTCTGGGGGCCAGAGGGTCTAGATTTCTTAACTCCTGACCGGTTATCGCTAGCAGTCGCTTACTAGTCGCTCGAGGAGCCAGGGAGGGTTTCCCGTGCAAGATTGGGGGGGATATTATTGAGGACTCATGATGGTTCTGAGAAAGAAAAAAACGGATCAAGCCTAAAGGAACAGAGATGCGAGGAAGCATGCACAAGGGAGGAATAAACTGCAGGGATGCAGCAACGATCGGATGGCGAGTTCAGCCCCTGTGGCTGTGGCTTGTGGCCTCGGGCTGTCTTGGCAGGGGAGTATGATACGTAATACAAAGATAATACCAGGAATACAGTATCGTGTATTGTGTACTACTGTACACACACACAATGTACACAGAGTACATTTGGACAGATCAGACAAAGGATTGCGCACGAGCTGCATGGGAGGATCTGGGCTCGATAAAAACTAGTAGTACCTCGATAAGTACGAAATCTCATAATCGAATCAAGCATATCTGCAAAAGTAGGGAAACTGGTTCTCCTTGTACTCAACGGTAACTCCTTCGTACAGCGGGTCCCCTTGTACCTGGGAACTCCGAAGTCAGCGGCGAACTAGCACACTTTCTCCCTGCGAATAATTTCACTGTCCAGTCCATCACTCCTTAGGACGAGCTCCCCTTTTTCCTCTCCCACTTCCACTCCCACTTTCGCAACCTTTCGTCCCTCCCCGTTTATTCCTCCCACGCCTCAAGTCCCTAGTCCCTAACCGCCACCCTCTCGTTTCAGATCCCCCCCCCATAGGGACCTGTGCGGTGACCAGGGACGTGAATGTGTTCCAACCGCCTTGGCTTTCTTTGCCCTTGATTGAGAGCGAGGAACGAGGAACGAGAACGAGAACCATCACCACCGAGACCCCGGTCCCGACCAGCCGGAAGCTGGCCACCTTGTCAAAATTTCCCTTCTCGGGTCGGATATGAATGTGCCATCGGGAGCCATGTCGCCTGTCTCCGTCGATGGCAGCGACTGGTCCGGCATCAATCAGTATCAGAAGTCGGACCCGCCCTTTTCGCCAACTTTCAACTCGCGAGGCAATCTGGCCACTCCCCCTACCTCCGGCGTTCCCAGCGCACCTCTGAGTCCCAACGGTACTAGCCCCGGCAATCCTCCTTCTGGGCCCTCACCCACCGGCAGCGGCAATCCATCCCCTCCCAACTCGGTGGCCGCGAGATCCAGCGTCGGAACCCTCGGCGGCGATGGGCCACGCCCCGGAGGTCGAAGACACAGACAGATGGAGGAGATTTTACATCAGCATTTTGTGACCCTACGACGCTTCCTACATGTTGCCGCCCGCAATGACGCGAATGGCGGCCGGTCCAACAAGGCCCGCGATAAACTCTTGCGCTTGTCCCCGACACAGTTTCACGAACTCAGTACAGATGTCTACGATGAGTTGATACGGCGCCAGCAGGCCACGCCTCCTCCCGGACAGCCTCCTCGACCCGATGTCCCGACCTCCCTCCCTCCGCGCAAGGATTTCCACGAGAAACGCAACTCGGCGCGCCACAAGCTTGCCTCCCTCCAACATGCACGCTTTCGCGACTTAGCAACTGACGTCTATTGCGAACTGGAGCGTCGTTTCCCTCAGTTCACCGGCCGCCGCCCACCTCCCAATTTTCCACCCGATGCCCGTCGCTCTCAGTCTCGTGGTCCCCCGAGTCGCATGGGCCGGGGGTATCCATCGGGCGGTCCGCCTGGTACGCCTGGTAGCCCGTTCCCTCCGCGCCATGGCTCCTTGGGTGGCCCACCATCCATGAATGGGGACGGTCCCTTTCCTCGATCTTTCCAAAGCAATACCATGGTTCCAAATAAAAGTACGATGGTGGAAGACAGTGATGACATGGGAGGCGAGGATGACGATGATGCTCGGAGTGATGCTTTTGCGCTGGACGCAGTCTTGAGCAGACGAGGAACGACAACCACTCTGGGTGATAGTGAGCGACGATTATTGGTAGAAAGCCAATCGCAGGTCTCGGCACTGCAGGAGAAGGTGGACAAATTGGAAGAGTTAGTCCGCACAAAGGATGAGGAGCTCGCCCGATCATCAGATGCAGGACAGTCTAGTGTAAGTTTTTCCCCTCTCCCTTCAGGGTTATACTGGAAAATGAACTATTCTAACTCTCGGACCAGGTCTCTCATCATGAGCGCGAGGAATGGGAGGATCTCCGTAATGATCTGGAGAACAAGGTTTCCCAGGCCGAAAATCTAAACAATTCGCTTCAACTTGAACTTGATCGAGTTCGGGAAGAGCAGGAGAGCGTGGAACGCGAACTCCGTAACCAACTGGAAGAGGCCAGTCTAAACGCGGGCGACTCTGACGCACAGGCTCGCTATGACGACTTGGAAAGTCAGCACCAGAGCCTCCAGGTGAAACTGCAGCAACAACAACAAGTGACGCAAGAAGTCCGGCGTGAAGCGTCTGAGTTCCTCATGGAGATGAAGACTCTTACGGCTCAAAGTCATTCCAACTGGGAACGCGAGGAGCAGCTCTCTAATGATGTACACCGATTGGAGACGGAAATCAACGATTGGAAACACCGCTATGCAAAGGCAAAGTCACAACTCCGTCATCTTCGTACTTCCTCTGGTGGCATTGATGACATTCGGCCTGACGCGAGCGTCCTTGCGAAGGAGTACGAACTGGTGCAAGCTGACGGCGTAGTCAAAGATATTCATGTGACCAAGTTCCAGATGTCCATCGATGAGCTCCTCCGGGTGGCCCGTGTCGAAGACTCACAGGCCGTTTCTCAGCAAATCAAGTTTGTTATTACTGCAGTCCGCCATATGGTCCAGGATGTGGATCAGGCCCCTCCCCCGGTCGATGGATCGGCCACTCTGCGGCTCAAAACCAAGTCTCGAGTATCAACTACCGCAAATAATATGATTATTGCTGCCCGCAACTTTGCGAGCTCCAGCGGCCTGTCGCCAGTCTCTTTGCTAGATGCTGCCGCCTCGCATCTCTGCACAGCTGTTGTGGAATTGGTTCGGGTTGTGAAGATTCAAGCATCACCTACCGACTGGGCGGACGAGGACGACGTCGATGTTTCTACCGAAAAATTCCCAGACTACTTCAGCACGAGTGCCAGCCAACGGCCTCCCAGCAACCACTCCGAATACAGTATCTTGAGCCCTCCGGACCACGATCACCCTGCTATGCAAAACGGTCTCGCCAACGGCACGGACTTTAATTATGGAGCGCCACAAGGGGATCACGAGCTTCAAGACTTGAGATTCTACGTGGAGGATCAGACTGATAGCATGGTCCAGTCCATCCAGGCCCTGGTGGCTAGCATTCGGGCAGAACACGACATGCACACTGTGCAGACCTATGTGTCTGCCATCTCTGATATTGTTTCTCACGTCGTGTCCTCCACAGAACATCTGGCCCGCGAACGTAGTGGTGATGTCTCCCTGCGGGAGCGGACGGAGCCAATTATCAATTCCTTGTACGAGGGCCGCGATCGACTGACGAATACGGCGGCTGCAGGCAACGACGCTACTAGCCCTGAGCACCTGCGTGAGGTTACAAACCAGCTGCCTCCGATCGCCTTCGAGATTGCTCGCCAGACCAAGGAGCTTGTGCAGCGCCTTGAGTCCTTGGCAAACAATGATGACGACGAGTTCGCGTGATGACTTAGATTTCCTTTGATTCGAATCCCTTGTATATTCGGCGGTACTACTCTCACCGCTTGTGCATTTCACTTCTCCTATCCCCTCTCATATTTCACCATCTACCTTGGCCTCCTTTTTATCTCTCTGGCTTTTGAGCGATTCTCATCTGTGGCAACGAGCCGACAATGTCGAAATGATGTCCTGATACGCGTGGCATTCATGCTTTCTCTTTTTCTCCTTCTTCCTCTATTCTTTTCTTCAGCCCTTTTCAATTATCCTATTCGTTGTATTTCTATTTCTATTTCGATCTGATATCTTCTTCTATGCCCCTTTTCTGTCGTGGATCACTTTTTTGAAATCTTTCTCGACCTTACTTTTAGCTGCCGACTATGCATCCCTGTGCAAATGAATTGGAAGCGTGCTCGGCTCTTTATCCATCCGATCTTATTATCTGGAACAGTAGAAGTCAAGTTGATACTGAAGTTATTTGTCCCATGTAAGCTGTAAATAAATAAATATCCCCTACTGGCAAGGTAAATAAAAGCGGGCTTCCCCGGAAGCCCCAGCCGATAAGATGCTTACTAAGCATCCGAGCTCTTGAAGCTTTTCTGGCGTCCAGCATCATTTTCCTCCTTGAAGCTTCTCTTCACCGTGATCATTCTCATCAATTCCTAAAACCTGTACGTATATCGCATCCAGAATGTCTGCCTCTGTGTATTGCCCTCTATCTTCACCCCCTCATTGCACCTTCAATCGAAGGAACTCGCTCTGCTGGCAGACATGCTGGCACCCTGATGGCTCCCGAAGACTAGAACAGCGCATCTGGTTGCTACCCGCACCCGAACCGGCATCCCGCTAACCCGCATCCAGACCATTCACCTGCCCCTCCACCATGTTTTCTAGCCTCAAGTCCACCCCACTCTCCGTCTTCGCTTCTCCCTGTGCTTTCCACCCTGCTGCTAGACGGACTTTCGCATCTTCCGCAGCCATGGCCAACAACACCAAGGCCTTCTTTGACGTCCAGTACACTGCTGTGGGCTCCAGTGCCCGTAAGTAGACCCGTTCCAATATGCGCAACTTTTGGGGCATCTTTTCCCCATTCTCTCCCACCTCCCCGCTCCGGCTTGCTCCAAATGCCCTCATATTTATGAGCAATTGATCATTCAGATTGCTTTCACTTGTCTGTGTATCGATGCTGACTTCCAACCATAGCCAAGACCGGTCGTATCAACTTCAACCTCTACGAGAAGGACGTCCCCAAGACCGCCAAGAACTTCCGTGAGCTCTGCAAGCTCCCCAAGGGCGAGGGTTACAAGGGCTCCGTTTTCCACCGTGTCATCCCTCAATTCATGCTCCAGGGTGGTGACTTCACCCGCGGCAACGTGAGTGATCCCGAAGGAATCTGGGTCTACATGCACCGCAGCTAACTGAAATCTTTTTTTGGCTCAATAGGGTACTGGTGGTCGCTCCATCTACGGTGACAAGTTCGCCGATGAGAACTTCATCCACAAGCACGACCGCCCCGGTCTGCTCTCCATGGCCAACGCTGGTCCCAACACGTTAGTGCCTCCTTTAGCTCCCGTCCGCTACACTGCTCCAGCGATACTAACATACTTTCTCTAGCAACGGTTCCCAGTTCTTCGTCACCACCGTCGTCACCTCCTGGCTCGATGGCCGCCACGTCGTCTTCGGCGAGGTCGCTGACGAGGAGTCCATGAAGGTTGTCAAGGAGATTGAGGCTCTCGGCTCTTCCTCCGGCTCCATCCGCTCCAACACCAAGCCCACCATCGTTGACTGCGGCGAGAACTAAATCGCGATACCGTCCGTGATCTACCCCAGGCCTGGCGACGAAGCTTTAGTCTGAACGTGTATTTTTTAAAATCTTTCTCCCTCTCCCTTTTGCCTAGTCGATGAAAAGTGCGTCTAGCCGGCTTCGTGTTTGGTGGTTTTCGCTGCTTTTCACATTGTAATTTAGACAGTCTACTCAGCTATTTATACATCCTCCTTGCAGCAGGGCTCTCCTTCTGTAAGGTTTAAAATCATAGTGATGTCTTCACATGTAGTATTGGTAGGCTAGCGAGTAAAAAACGGCGCTCGGGAGCTTCGCGATTTGCGACTTGCGACCTGCGACTTGTTGAGTGTAGATCGTCGCTCCCGACTAGGAAAGCTGAGAATAGTCGAGGCATTCGGCTGTGGAGAGCCTGACTATAGGATCTTGGCTTTCTAAGGTATCTGGATTAGACAGAAAAAGCTATGGCGTCTAGTAATAGAAATGATGTGTGGTTGAATGGCTGAGAGAGCTATCGTCCATCCATGGATGCCAAGCTTTTATGTGGGGTAGTCTGTCAAGCTGGACTCATCGAGCCAGCCAATCAGAGTAGACCAAAGTGACTCACTCAACGTGCTCTACTGTACAATAAATTCGAAAGGCACAGGAATAGGAGTTTCCAGATCGTATGACAATCAAGGTTAGTATGAGCTCTTGTCTAGGTACACTTTTCATGCCCTAGTCTACTTGTTTCTATGGGTGGTTGACCAGAGCCAAGAAAAGAAAACAAAAGGTAGATCAATATTGATTGATCAGAACAAAGAAAAAGGAAAGGAGGAAAAAAGAAAAGAAAAAAAAGAGTAGCACGTCTTGGTTTCGATCCAAGGACCTGTGAAGGTTAGTGAATGGTAGTGAGGTCGTTGTTGAGGAAGGTACACACCTCCAGGTTATGAGCCTCTATGTTTTGTTAGCGTGGTTTCTCAAACAGGGTTGTCATGTGACTAACGGCGCTCTTCCGCTGAGCTAACGTGCTAGTATTGGAATATACCCCTTTGATATAAGAATATAGAGGAAGAATGTCTCTATAAGTGGTGAAAGATACACAGAAAGATCCTCCAACAATGTGAATGCAGATCACTTGGACCCACATAGTGCATGATAATTGGTCATAACAGCACCAAGCTCTTTTTACTGTGGACCACCCTCTGATCATCCCCACAATCATGCACTTGAGTACGGAGGGTACAGTCCCAAAATTACTACTAGTGTTCCCTATAAGGCTCAACCCCCCCCCTCCCCGCCCAGTGAAGCTATTCAGGTTCTACGTATATGAACCGCTCGAGGTAAGACGCCAAGGTTCAAGTAATAGCCATGATTGATTTTATTGACAATTGTAAATTTCAATTTCTTAACCTCTATTCCGAATCCATTTAAACCCGCCCTGAATCTCTGACTTAAAAACTCAAGCCTTTCCACTGAATAGTTTGGTGATACGCAGATTGTTATAGTCCCAAGCCGTAATATCCTCGTACTGACACGGCGTTGCAGGTGTAATAAACTTCTTGAAAGGGAATAGCGAAGCTGTGCGGTTGGGCTTGGCAAAATAAGCAATCGAGAACCGCTCAGGAATGATCTCTTCCGAGCCAACCTTGACCGTCGGAGGATATGTGACCCGGTGGACCGCCGCCCGGAAAGTGTCATTTGTCAACCGCTGCAATGAGTCGCCGATGTTCAGAATAATCTCTGCCTTATCCGCAGACTCTACTCCTCGGAAGGTGCCCAGGTTCTGTTGGTCCTCTACCTGTAGTCCACCAACTGAGTCTTGGAACAGCATGGTGATAGTGCCAAAATCTGTGTGATCAGCAATGCGTGTCGCAGTGCCATCGGTTAATTCTGATGCAGGGATTGCTGGGTAGTGAAGTAGGCGAAACTCATTTTCGCCTTTGCCGTGTAGCATTTTCATCTCATCCTGAGAGATACCAAGGGCCATGGCGAGCGCGGCTAAGATTTCGAGCTCGACTTTGAAGGCACTTTCGTAGAAGCCTTCCATGAACTTGCGAAATCCGGGGAGTTTTTCCTCTGGTACCCAGATGTTGTCGACGAGATCGTCATTCGCCGAGCCGATGTCAATGGTTTCCTGGTTGGTGCCATTAGCATACTTGGCTCGAATGGTTTTGGTTACACAACATACTTTGATATCTCGCACTTGCTTCCCCTCGGATACGCCTTTCTCATACCCACTAATACTTCCGACCGACTCCTGTCCAACGTAGCTGTACCCGCGGTTTGGGGTAGACTCGGGAGGGTGCTTAGCGATCATCTTGTCCTCTAACGGAAGCGCAAAGAACTTTTTGGTCTAAAGGACTTTAGTTAGCTTGAATCATTTCTCTCAGATGAAAATTTACTCACGTAGTCAAACATCTCTGCAATTAGCTCTGCAGGGAGACCGTGGTTCTTCAATTTGGCAACACCTCGGGTCTTCAATGTGGCGAGCAGTGCCGCTGAGACTGCTTTACTCTCCTCGGGGCTTCCCTTCAACAGAGAAAAATCGATTGCTTCGGACATCTTGTAGCTCGTGGGAAGACAATTTTGTACCGATTGTGAGGCTGATAAATTTCTTGAGGTACCTAGGTACTAGTATTCTTTGAAGACGCGTTCTCTCACAGATAGTGAATTTGTTGAAGAGATGGAACACTGAATTTATAGATCGGTCGAGCAAGAACACTACAAACGTGAATTGTGGGGTAGAACATCATTATAGAAGGTAATGATTAGATATGACATCCCAAGAGATCATCACCTTCCGATCTTGTAGATGCGACCAAGAATTGAGGCTTAATTACTGTCTCGCATAAGCAGCGGGATCCACCATTCCTGTCCCGATCACTTTCCTTAACAACGCATCTGCCAATGGAGATCCGTGAAATTATTGTGGGTCCACATCGTCCATGGAAGGTGAAGATTACAAGGAACACAATTGTTTTACAAGGGTCGCTTTCCTTGTTATCTTTGCATAAGACTTGCGAACAATTCCCATCCATCGAATTTGCACCCTTGTCCAAGATGTCTACGCGGCCTATCTTCTACTACCCTGATACCTACAAACAAGTTGCTCAAACGGCGGAGGCCTGCGGAGAAGAAGGTCCGGTTGAGATTTAAAATCTATTCCAGGGCCAAGGCCCATTGTTGATTATTGGAATTGATTACATTTCCAAGGCCAGGTAGGCTTTTCTTTTTAAGAAAATAAAGAAAAACTGGCCACTCCGTGCCCTGGGGGCCTGGTTGAACGAATTACGATAGATCAGAGTGGCACTAATACTGCGTCCCCGGATGTACGAATACCTTACGGCAGCGTTGATACTTCATATATCCAATGATCAAATCCGCTTGTCTTGCACAGAATCTGGGACAATCAATATTACTAGTATGGAGAGGGGTCGATATCTAGGTATGCAGTGGGAAGCGGGGTTCTTGGCGAGTTCATTTCCCAATTACCACCATCCCGGGCGTCCGACGGCAATTTCCCAGGCTAGTCTTGCGCCGGCGTCCCTTTACGAAATAATGGTTGCACGCAAAACCCACCTTAAGACTGTTAAGCAAGCTCAACGAACCATTGCGACCGCCGGAGCCCTTATCTAGGATTCTTGCGAGTTCCTATGTCCCCGCCGTTCTATCTGATTGGCCGAGCAGAGGGTCGGCTCTGTCCAACAAGATCATCCTAGGCTCACAAAATTCAGAGCTGTGTCGAAATTCCCGGGTGCCGAGCCAGTGATAATCACATATATCCACTCTTCTGAGTCTTCTGGCCCGCCCATTATCATTTCTTTGCTCTTCTGAGACTAGTCCCGTCTTGATTTGTGTACGATAGAATGGAACCGCAACCTCAGTGCATTAGCGTCGCAGCGCTGTAGTTCCGGGTATAATGCGATCGCGATGGAACATAAAAGGGGCTTCATATCGTGCTGGGGTCAGTGTCTGCGGTATTTATTTCCATCTTCCGTCACCCACCGTTCGCCATGCATTCTCTTCTGTATATAGCGTCATCCATGCTCTACGCATCCGCTGTACATGGAGCTATACCCCCGAAGCCCGTTCCACCTCCATCCTCAGCGGAATTGGTTGCTTTCACTGGTAATTCCACATTTCAGCAGCTAATTGACCACGAGAACCCACACCTCGGAACGTTTTCTCAGCGTTACTGGTGGAACTCAGAATGGTGGTCAGGGGAAGGTTCACCGGTAGTTCAGACTTTTCACCTTTTTTGTGTTTGACAAAGCACTGATATGAAGAGACATAGGTTGTGCTTTTTACTCCCGGAGAGAGTGCAGCTGATGGTTATGGTGGTTACTTGACAAACAAAACCCTTACGGGTCGTCTTGCAAAGGAACTAAAAGGAGCAGTGTTAATGATCGAACGTAAGACCTGAAATATATCGATGGCCGGATAATTGCCGAGATTAACTTGTTCAGATCGTTACTGGGGTCAATCTTCCCCATACGATGATCTAACGACGGAGAATCTAAGGTACCTTACATTGGCGAATTCTATTGCCGACCTCACATATTTTGCGAAAAATGTGAACCTCTCTTTCGACACCAACAGCAGTAGCAATGCTCAAAATGCGGTATGCCCCTCAACCTGAAGGGATATCATGATCCCAAACTAATACGTCCTCGACAGCCGTGGGTCCTCAGTGGGGGGGTCCTATAGTGGTGCTCTATCAGCCTGGACCGAGTCAACTTCCCCGGGCACTTTCTGGGCCTATCATGCATCGAGTGCGCCTGTACAGGCTATTTATGACTTCGTACGTTGTATCATTGGCCCGAAAATACGAATTGGCTAACTAGGGTAACCAGTGGCAATATTTTACTCCTGTACAAGAAGGAATGCCACAAAATTGCAGCAAAGATATCACGAGAGTAATTGAACATGTCGACAAAATCGGAAAATCAGGGTCGAAGCATCAAGTTCAGAAGCTGAAAGATTTGTTTGGCCTTGGCGATGTTGAGCACTTTGATGATTTTGCAAGGTAATGCTAAACTCGTTTGAACAAGAGGCATATTACTAACATTAAGAAGTGCGCTCGAGAATGGGCCCTGGCTATGGCAATCAAATACTTTCTATACCGGCTACTCGGAGTTTTATCAATTTTGTGACTATGTTGAAGTCGGTCATATACTTGAAAGCCTACTCTCGTTTGGTGCTAATATCGCAGCAGAATGTCCAGAAGGGATCCAAACGCCTCCCAGGCCCTAACGGCGTTGGCCTGAACAAAGCCCTACATGGCTATGCCAAGTGGTTTAAGGATATTTACTCACCCGGATGTAAGTCAATTCCAGGTTTGAGAAGGATGATCAAGTACTTACACATAGTATACAGCATGTGCCAAATATGGCTATTGGTCCGATAATAGTACTACGGCATGCTACGACACCCACAATGCGTCTAGTCCCATCTTCACAGATCGATCCGTCGACAACACAATCGATAGGCAGTGGCAGTGGTTTCTTTGCAACGAGCCTCTTTTCTACTGGCAAGAGTATGTTCCCTTACTAGTACCGGCTACTCTCCTTTTATCTGGGCCGGAGTTTAACTATTTCTCTTTTCCAGTGCTGCGCCATCTAGCATTCCATCTCTCGTCTCTCGTACGGTCAACGCGGAGTACTGGCAACGACAATGTCCATTATTCTTCCCAGAGGTCAACGGCCATACTTATGGTAGCGCAAATGGAAAAACAGCGGGGGATGTTAATTCATGGACCAATGGTTGGGATTTGACCAATACGACCCGACTCATCTGGGCAAACGGGTACGTCTCCTCTAATCCGTAAATAGGGGTCACATATCCTGATACTATGAACAGACAATTTGATCCTTGGAGAGATTCCGGTGTATCCTCAAGCTCTCGCCCAGGTGGTCCACTTCAATCAACGGCCTCCGCCCCTCTCCATGTTATTCCGGGGGGGGTTCCATTGCTCCGACCTCCTTCTGAAGAATGGTGATGCAAACAAGGGTGTCCAAGATATTATTGATGCAGAGGTCGCTCAGATCAAAACCTGGGTGAAGGAATACTACCATTGAAGAACATTGTATAGTAACTTGAAGTATGTACATCTAGTTACTCGAGGAGTGGGTTATACTGGGGCTTGTTTCTGGGTTGGTGGAGCCCTGTTTCGCCTAGACGGCAGGTCTCTCCGAGACCATCAACAAGTTCCGAGTATTTAACAACCAAGTCACCCTCCCAAAAAGCAAATCAAAGCTCTAAATTTTTAGCTGCTTCGTCTTCAATTGATTTTCATAGATAAATGTCTCACACCTCCCCCTTCCCAGAGGCAAACCCCCTTTTGGAAGATTCATGTGAAACGATGACCTATATGGAAATATTCTTAACTCTACTCAACCTGGCATATCTGATGTAGAGCTCAAGTCGCAAATTTAATATTGAATGAAAGGTTATTAGTCGAAACCTATCCTCGAAATATGGTCGGGCGTGATAACCCCGCATGTTCTCGGAATCACATCCCTTTCCTGAACAACTGGACCAAACAGCTGCGGGGGCTCACTCATCAGAGCAAAGCCAAGTCAATCACAATCATTGTCATTAGGAACATTACCTTCTCTATCTGAAATACAACAGTTTCAGTCACCCGGTTTGACTTGCACTATTGACCTGCAACGTCCCAATATTTGTGTGTTATGCAGAATCGCAGGGAACCCCAACGGCGATCTCCGGTTACTTCCACGAGCTCCACTTTACATCGAACTACAGGCAAATCGCGAGCCAAACCCTCAGCACATCGCTTGACATTCATTGATAGCCACCAAAGTGTTCGCAAGCTAAGCGCCGAAAATGCAGCAAAGCATCGCCATGCAATCTTTACGGGTTTGTTCTTGCTAGAGTACTCAGAACTTCTTTTCAACCCGACTGACTCTCCAATTAAATGAACAGAAGCCGAGCGTCGTCATATGAGCGAGGAACTTATTGATTCTGTATATGGCCGAGATCCTGACCAAGCTTTACTAGACCTGGAAAGATTCGAGCTCAACACAAATGCTATTGCGTCATTCTCTCTCTTCCGCGGTCCTTTCGGGGTTTCAAAACTCGCCCAATCGCTGGAGACAGAAAACACAAGCCCCGAGGAAGAGGAGGTAGCAATACTTCCGATTGAAGACTGGCTTATAGAGCCAAATTCCTTATTGCCTACAGCAGTGGAGGCGGGCTACTCCGGCCTTTTCCATGGCTTCCATGATGTCCTTGACGACGACTCAATATCATGGGACCTAATATCATCAGAAATTAATGAGAGCGAGGAGTCTTTTCGGTCGCCGCAACCGCCGTTGGAACTCCTCCCCATAAGTCTCAATGGAAATACGGAGGCATGGTCGCTTCTATCGCACTACAGAGATAGAGTTGTTCCTTTGATATCGCCATTCGAGCATGGCCAAGAGGTCCCGTGGAAAAACCTAGTTGTGCCTTGTGCAGTCAGCACACTCGGAGAGACGATAATGAGTGGCACTGCCTCTCACGCACGTCTCGCGCTATTGAATTCCCTTTTGAGCGCGAGCTCATTTCATCTGGGTCAGCATTCAGCAACGTGCATTGATCACTGGACCGAAACCGGGAATTCCTATTTGAAGCTTGCTCAGCACCATTTGATCCAATGTGTCGAGGAAGCAAATATGTCTCCGCCAAGACAGAGCAAGTATAAGGAAGTGTTGATGGCATTACTAAGCCTTTCTACTGCCTACGTATGTATCGGCAACAGATGATACTGGAATTGTATGTGAAACTGACATTCAATACAGATGATAAAGGGAGACTCAGAGAAGCGAATATCATGCTTGATTCAAGCAGAAAGATTTATCAGTGTCAATGGCTTCACGCAGACTACTGTTTCTTCTAAACGAAGAGCCCTGCACCACTGTTATGCGTATATGCGCATAATGGCCGAAACAACAAGTATTGACAGCTTATGTGCAAATATGGCCAACACCAACATATCAGACAAAGACTCGCCCCAAGCAGCCTTTCGAATCTATCCTGGCGTTACGTTCTCAGGCGACATCATGGCCATGGAAAAGGACCCCAATGTAGCACAGCGTGATCTCCATCTAGCGATTCCAGGTCGATGGAGCTTGACTCTCTTTCCTAAGATGTATGGAGTTACTGAGAGCTTTTTAATGCTTCTCTCGCAGGTGATCCGTCTTGCCAATGAAAGAGACCTATCTATGACCGAGGATAGAACAGGGGGACTGGAGCTGAAGGAATTTTGGATTCGAGCAAAAGTGTTGGAGAAGGGTATACATCTCCTTGTCTCATCATGTCGAACAGGTAGTATAATAGTCGACAGTTTCGGGGGGGAGAGTCAATTTGAAAGCGCACGGGCACAGGCAATGTACACTGCCCTACTGGTCTACTTTCATCGTCGCATATACGACCTCGATGCAACTCTCTTACAAAAAGAGGTCGACGCGGTGAAGGATTCCTTGACAAGAGCCCAAGAGGCGGCAGATCGCCATTATGGAAGCACAGCTACTCTGATATGGCCTGCTTTCATTGCCGCATGTGAAGCCGTCGGCCCAGAATCGGAGTTGTTCTTTTCCTCGTGGTTCGATTCCTGTTACACAGCAACTGGGCTCAGAGATGTGTCACTCGCAAAGCAGGTTTTTGAAATGATATGGACTAGGAGAAGAGAGACTGGTCTTGATGGATGCAGCTGGCCAGAAATTTTGCGAACCAAGAAGATACGGCTGATGTTTATATGATGAAAGCCCATTTGGATAATGATATTGTGTAATTTTTATCGCCCGCAGGATAAGAATGTAGTTTGAGAATATCATTATTGCAGACTCGGAAGAAACCATCCGACTGATTGTGAGGAAAATGTAGTCCATCAGCTAAAACACGCACATTGCGATATCGTTATTAAACCTTCAAGGGAAATCTCCACAGATCATAGACCAGATTAACCACAGCACTTTGTAACTTGGCAGGCATCATTTCTGGAAATTTCGAGTATTTGAATCAGCATCTTCAGTTCACCCATGCAACACAAGACCCCTTCCCCGGGGACTGACTTACTGCTTGTCCAAAGACACATATTCCCACGAAAAGATCAAAGACCCAAGGAATGCGCCCAGGAAGATGCAAATGATGATGTATCCGTTGTAATACATTGCAAGCAGCATGACAATGTAGGCTACGCCAAACTGAAAGGTGTGGAGCAAGGCACGCACCACTTGCTCGACGGGCGACGGACGGTGACGGATGTCCTGCGAAGAAAAAGCGGGCACAAGAGACGACATGGGGACAACACCATTTTCCCACTGCTGCTGATCTACTGCTGCAGGCTTAGGAGAAACAAAGAACCAAGGACCCTTATGGCTCGAATCGAGTGGTTGGTCTGCCCGATTAGCAACGGCAGTAGCAGCGACCTGTGGTTCACCAGAGGTGTCCTCGTTTGATGATTCAACAGACGAAAGAATACGATCCTGCTGATCAACTGCTGGTCTAGCTTCTGCTGCTGCTTGGTGACAGCCATTCTCTCCCGTCTTTGGGAGCGGGCCAGCCCCCAAAGCACCATTTTCGGGGAGTTTCTTGGTCGTCAGATCCTCAGAATTTCCCTCAAGGGTACTCTCATGCAGATACATGCGGCGTTGGCGTGCTCGGCGTAGGATGAAAGCATCATATTCCCTACCCAAGCGACGGAGAGCTTCCAGGCAAAGAACGAGACAGATGGCGCCGATGCAAGAGCCAGCGAACATACCGCGCGTTTTGATTTGCCAGGAATGAGAGAGGAAGCCTAAAGAGGAAACGTTAGGATGTTTGGAATAGTGTGACACAGGCTCATAGGAAATGACACGTACAGGCATCGATTGTGTACCAATTCCATAACATCTAAACAATGCATTGTCTCAGTAAGATCTCACTACTCCTTGGAACATGGTTTCTGGTCAACTCACATCAATCTTGCAGGACGAACCCATCATGCCGGTCATTGATGGCATACCCGTCATCGCAGGCATCCCGGGCATTTGTCCTGTTGTATTCGAAGGGTTCATACCCATGGTTGTCGGGAAGGCCATTGGTCGCATTCCCGTCGGCATGGATCTTGTTGCCTCCATGCTGAACACCGGTTGTTGATATCGAAAGAGCGAGAAAAGCGGACAAAAGAAACGACGGAAATTATTCCTGGGATTGCTTAACGAGCTGTCAGGCTCAGAGGCAGGTCGTGAAAGAGAGAGGGAGAGAGAAGAGGAGGAGAATGGGAAGGGAAGAAGGGAAGGAAAGGAAAAAAGGTGGAAAGGTTAGTGTTTGCCTCAGGGTAGGGCAGTGAAAGGTACCACGAGGGGAATTGAGCGGATTTCAAGTAGATTGATTTTTGCAGGTAAATAAGAAATCATGACACGCCCATTAACGCCAACAGATGCACTGGGTATCGGTTTCACTCCCACGGTTCATGCCCGGTTCATGCCCGGTTCGACCCTTTGATCACCCCCTCCAACAACTCGCGGATCTGGTTACATCCGTCCATCCCAACTGCCAGCATCGTCTCGATATACGTACAATGAAGCTTAGAGTCCATGTTGAGCACGGCTACTTTAGTCTCTTCCTCCTCATCCTCCATGTGGTTCTCTCCGACGGGTACGCATGTGGTAGTACCGACGGTGAGAAATGGCAGCTCTTGCTCTTCCGGGAGTGACATATCCAGTAGCGGGTCAAGTTCGTCGTTTCGAGGATCACGAGGTGTAGATGCGCTGCCACTCATTCCCGACGTGCATCCAGTGAGTAGTCCAGGCATGGGGATACCTGCATCGACCAGGGCCAGAGTGCAAGCATTGATCGCGGCCGCCAGCAAGGATCCGTCGGCAGAGAGGACTGAGACGTGGATGCTGATTGTACTGTGAGGGTAGAGGTAGGTGTGTAGATGCGACTGGAAAGCCGCGCGCAAAGTAGTCGCGATTCGTGAGGATTGCCTGCACAGAGTTGTTAGCAAGCGCCAGTAAAGAGTGGCGGCAGAATTCCATGAACATAGGCCAGTTGTCATGATATCCTGAGCCTCCAAAAGGGTGTAATTACTTGTCACTTCCTCCTGCTTTCCTCCTGCGATCCACGCTAGCAAAACCAGCCACATTGACGTCCACCTCGACGATGGCACCTGCGCTGCCAGCCGCACCACTAGCCTCGCCCCGGCGGCCCTCGGCAGGACCGTGAACAGAGCACATGATCGCAGTATTCCCCATTGAGAGGTAGGACGATCCAGAGCTGGCCGGGTTGGTCGAGATTTGCGCTTGCAGCAAGCGGAGCTCGTTCCATCGGCGACCATCCAGGCGCAGCCGGGTCAGAGGGTATGTGGTCGAGGTATCAAGAGGCATGTTGGCTAAAGCGCTCTTGTAGAATACGGAGAGATATCGGGAGCCGTAAATGAATCGCAAAGCAAGCTCGTCAAGTCAAGCTCTATCGGGACCTGATGAAGTGGGATGTCAGTTAGCCTATCGCTGTCACCACATAAAAAACCCGAGGAACTTGAAACCCACAGGAAAATGCTATGGTAACGTGTAAGTAAATCCCACCTAGAACCTCGTGATTACCCAATGCCGGTCAGAGAGGTCGTGTGGTTGCCTTAAAGAGAGCAAAAGATTGGTTGGAAACGCCAGCTTTTTTTTCTCCCGCCGATCGGGAATGACATCGCCCTTTCTGAACTTCTCCGCCTTTGCCCCCCTTCGACCTCCGAGAAGCTTACACCCTCAACACGATTTGACCTGTGCTCAACTATGCAGAGAAGTGAATATGGATAGTCTCGGTGCTGGTACAGAGGTTATTCTTATCGACTCATCCGACGACGACGATTTGGAAGTGACGCGGTATTCGCGCGCTGCTATCTCAGGTATCTATATGCATGGCTCCCTCGCATTCTCCACTTCACCCACAGCTCACTATCTCCAAGGCAGAAATCGTGAAGACATTAAACTTAAAGAAGTCCCCCAGTCTGAACCAGTAAAGGTTCAATTTGACGACAGTGACGACGGTTTTAATGATGGCGAGGCTGCATACAAGAAGTTCAAAGACCGCAAATCTACAAAACGAAGACGGAACGCGGCTGCAACTCGCAAAGCAAAGCAAAAAATTCCCAAGATAGAAGCTTCTAGAGATGGCGTGGTGTCAAGCTCATTAGCACAAGGGGGTCTATCCATCGGAGCCAAGAAATACCTACAAGAACAACGCGACGATGTACCCTCCGAAGACGAACTAGCGGAGCCGCATCCTGACTATCTTCAGAAACGGCGGTCACAGTTCAACCGAGAAAGAGAACACCTCGAGGTACACGGACTGAAAATCTCGCCTTCCTACGACGACATCGAGTTTTCTGATGACGAAAATCTTGAGTACCTGCAGGAAAGACCATTCTTCCCGGATAGTGATCCGCCCCGACCATATGAGGACATCGAACTTCCGTGCTCCCTTGGTCTGGTTTCCGCGGCTATCGGACGGTGGCTGCGACCATACCAGGTAGACGGAGTGGCTTTCTTACATGAAATGTTTGTCTATCAAACGGGCGGTATCCTTGGTGATGACATGGGTCTAGGGAAGACTATTCAGGTCATTGCGTTCTTAACCGCGGCTTACGGCAAAACTGGCGATGAACGAGATTCCAAGCGGATGCGGAAAATGCGGAGAGTGGATAGCAACCCCTGGTATCCTCGCACCTTGATTGTTTGTCCTGGATCCTTGAAATCGAATTGGCGGGCCGAATTTGACCGATGGGGATGGTGGCACGTCGATGAGTACCACGGTCCAAACAAGGAGCTTGCCCTTGATGCCGCGAAGTCTGGACGGGTAGAAATTTTGATCATGACCTACGAAACCTACTCAGGAAACAAGGATTTTGTCAATATGGTGGAATGGGACTGTGTGATTGCGGACGAATGTCACAAAATCAAGGAACAAACGGCCGGAGTGACGAAAGCCATGAACGAAATCAACGCTCTTTGCCGTATCGGACTCACCGGTACAGCTATTCAGAATCGATACGAGGAGCTGTGGACACTTCTGAACTGGGCAAATCCTGGCAAGCTTGGTCCAATGTCTGAATGGAACACATACATTGCGGAACCTTTGAAGATCGGCCAATCACACACAGCAACCTGGAGTCAACTCCGCAGGGCTCGAAGAACTGCCCGAATGCTTGTCAAAAATCTGTTGCCGCGATTCTTCCTACGTAGGATGAAGACGTTGATCGCTGATCAGCTACCAAAAAAGAGCGACCGAGTGGTATTCTGCCCTCTGACAACCACACAGGCAGAGGCTTATGAGAGCTTCCTAGAAAGCACCATTGTGGAGTACATCATGTACTCGACAGAAGACTGTGATTGTGGCTCGGGCAAGAAGTCTGGCTGGTGCTGTTACAGAATCATTCCTGGAACAGAAAGCACCTGGCAATCATTTGTATTTCCCGCCATAATGGTGCTACAGAAACTCAGCAATCATCTTGCAATTCTCATGCCACGGCAAAATGACTCCTCTGAAAAGCAGGAAAAGGAGCTTGAGATGCTGCAGATAGCCTTACCAGACCAATGGGAGGATCTGTACAAGTCCCGAGAATCCATTGTTAACTTTGCGAATCCAGAGCTCTGTGGCAAGTGGAAAGTCCTTCGAAAGCTGCTCAAGTGGTGGCACAAGAATGGCGATAAGGTCCTGGTCTTCTCGCACAGCGTCCGACTTCTGAAAATGCTACAAATGCTGTTCGTTAATACAAGCTATAACGTGAAGTATTTTGACGGATCCTTATCCTACGATGAGCGCGCTAAAGTCGTGGATGAATTCAATTCCGACCCGAAACAATTTGTGTTCCTGATTTCGACCAAGGCAGGTGGCGTCGGGCTAAACATAACATCGGCAAACAAGGTCGTTGTTGTGGACCCAAACTGGAACCCAGCGTATGATCTCCAGGCGCAAGATCGAGCCTATCGAATTGGTCAGCAGCGTGATGTCGAAGTATTCCGACTGGTCTCTGCTGGTACAATCGAAGAAATTGTTTATGCACGACAGATCTATAAACAACAGCAGGGAGAGATTGGATATACCGCAAGCTCTGAGCGCCGCTACTTCAAGGGCATCCAGGCAAAATCCGACCAAAAAGGCGAGATATTCGGCTTGAAGAATCTGTTCAAGTATGAACATGAAATGCTTTTTCTTCGCGAGATCATCAACAAGACCAAGGTAGCCGAAAGTCTCGCTGGTGTGAATGTCATGGATTTCAAATTCAAAGAGGAGGATTTCGGTGCCGATGGTTTGCCAATGAAGGACGAAGATGACGGGATGAGCCAACTTGCTGCCGAGATCCGTGGCGAGAAAGATAAATATGATGGCAATAACATCAAACGCGAGGCTTCTCAAATTGACCCGATCCAGGCAATACTTGCTAACGCAGGCGTGGAATACACCCATCTGAACAACGAGGTGATTGGTCCCTCTCGAGTCGAAGAGCAGCTCAGCCGTCGTGCCCAGCAGGGTCCTGACGATCCGGCAGCGAATATCCAAGTTTTCGGGCACCCTGGCACCACCTTTAGTGACTCGTAATGAATGGGCTTGTGTTTTACGACGTCCAGCTCCCAAACTTTCAGCGCATCAATATACCCTTTGCTACCCTTTTCATAGCTCAAATGAAGATATGAGATTATCTACGGATATTCCTCGTTACTAAATCCATTTGTGAGTGTTTGGCATAGTAGAGTAGATGGATCGGTGAATTAAATGGAAGTGGTCCCCTAGCCCTTAGTGTAGAGTATGGATATGGTATTCTCATCTATACCGCTGCCAGCCTCACGATGATCGCGTCGTTGGCGTGGATCACGACCACTCCAGCAGCACAAAGCTCCTCCCTTGTCTTATCCCAGTCAGCCGGAACGACGCATTTAGTCCCATCTTCGATGAGCCAGCTTCGGAACCCAGCCTTGACAGCATCTAGTGCCGTGGATTTCACACAGTAGTCCCCAGCCAATCCCACTACGAAGACGTCTGTTACGGCTTTTGTCCGGAGTTCAGATGCCAGGTCAACATCGACAGATCCCCCAGCTCCGGTTAGTCCATGGTTACCAAAGGCATCTGCGAAGGCAGAGTACATTTCCACCTGCGAGTTTTGGCCTTTGCGGACGAGCAAGTCCACGCGATTGCTCTCAATCTCTGGGATCAAAGCTGCACCGTGGCTGTCTGCCATGCAGTGGATAGGCCAGAGGCGCTGTGGCTTCGTCTCAGTATCTTTTCCCGGGGCGGGGTTTCTCATTTCGATCAACGACACAAAGGGCTTGTTATTCGGTGCAGGGTGGTTGGCGGCGAAGGAGATATGATCTGCGGGGTGCCAGTCGAGGGTTGCAACGCGCGTCACGAAGCCAGGCTTGGCGAGGAGGTCATTGATTAAAGGGGCAATGGTTCGACCATCTTGCACAGCTAGAGACCCGTTCTATTTTCCGAGTCGTAGTGGGTTCACATCAGCACGATCGAGCTTGGAGCTTTGGCCAGCACACTCACGGGTGGGCAGAAGTCCTCCTGCATGTCAACCACAATGAGAGCCGGCACAAATGGCCCGTCCTCGGCTCGTATAGAGTCATCTGCAGCTCCAGCTCCAGCTCCAAGATTAGATTCAGACGTCATGGGGTTATTTATTATGGAGTATGGAGTATGGAGTACCAAGCGTGATCAAAAGGTAGAGCCAAGACCTGGGGGGCCACAGCTTAGTCATGCCGGCGCTAAAACACAACCGAAACTTGCCCAACTTGAACTCTTCTCTCTTCTTTCCTTTTCTCCTCTGCTTCTTCCCAAGGGCTACGGCCCCAATTGAGCTTTTTATCGATTCTACAGAACATGAGCAGTAATTTCACGGTATGTTAATCATCTCGTATCTACCTTAATCCCTCCCCACCCTACTCCTTTACATGATGATTTATATTTATTGGAGCTGTCTGAGCTTCGGCACTGCGGACAAACTCTTTATACGCTTTTTTATCTGAACTTCATTACCCTCACTTCTCTTGATGTACACCATCCGTTTTGGAACTCATGCTAATTCCAAAATAAGTCAATAACAGGAGATTGTAAACCCATACTTGAGCCTCCTTGATCCAGTGTCTCAAGGCAGAATCGTTCCTCTCTTAGTCCTCTTCTTTTTCTCTCAATTCCATACTAGTCTACTACTCTATTCCACACACAAACACACACACATACACACACACCACAACTATGGCGTATGATCCTCGCCTTGTCAACAGTGGGAGTACAACCCCCCCCAAACTCCTCCCCCTCCTCCCCCACCGCCCGACTTGGCTCCCACCATGAATGAAACCACGGACACCATCCAGAACGAGGCTCCCACGGACTCGTGGAAGCTGAAATTCTGCACGGTATGCGCTTCAAATAACAACCGTTCGATGGAAGCCCACCTTCGCCTGGCTGGCGCTGCCGCTGCCTTCCCAGTCATCTCCTTCGGCACCGGTTCGCTTGTCCGACTCCCAGGTCCGACAATCACTCAGCCCAACGTGTACAGCTTCAATACCACCTCCTACAACCAAATGTACGAGGAGCTGCACGAAAAAGACGAGCGCCTGTACCGCACAAACGGCATCCTAAATATGCTCGACCGCAACCGCAACCTGAAATGGGGCCCCGAGCGCTTCCAGGACTGGGTCCCTGGCCTCCCGCGTGTCGAACACGTCGCCAAGGGCGACAAGGGCTCCCTAGGCACAGAATCAGGTGTTGTGGATGTGATCATAACCTGTGAAGAACGTTGCTGGGACGCCGTCGTCGACGACCTCATGAACAAAGGCAACACGCTCAACCGCCCGGTCCATGTCTTCAACGTTGATATTAAGGATAATCATGAAGAAGCGTTAGTGGGTGGCAATGCCATTCTGGATCTTGCCAATCGTCTCAATGAATCGGCCATTGCGCAGCGAGACCTTCATGGGCCTGGTGGATGGGAGAACGGGACAGGTGCAGCCCGTCTGAGCTTTGATGAAAGCGTCCCTGAGATCTTGGCGGATTGGCAGGAGAAGAATCCCAATCTGCCGGCGTTGTGGACTTTGGCGTGGCTATAGCGTTGTTTTGTCTGATACCCCCGGTTTCTGTTTGTGGATGATGTGATTCTCTGAATAATAATACGTTTTAACTCTCCACGCTGTAATACTACCAAGCCAGATGGTTCTGGCTTTTAACTCAAGACTCGGATTTTGTTAAGTTTTCAAAGCGCCTTTCGACGAAGAATCTAGAAAGCTTCCTATTGCTGCGCACTACATAAGATCCAATCCTTATAAAAATACTGCTTCCTGGAGTATTTAGGTATCGGCGTGGAATTGCTACAAGGCTGGAGAGGCGGGCGCGGGCTCAACCGACGTCAATCGCGGCCGTGTGGATTCCGGTGGATTGAATGACCCGGTGATCGACAATTGTTAGACATCCTGGATTACACTCAATCTTTCAGGGACGTCTTCGTCCCTGCGCTTCTCCCTTCTCAGCCCCTTCCAACCCCTCCAGCGCCCTGAGTCGCTTCAAGCGTGTCGAGTCTCTCTACTGTTGCCTCCAACTACCGCATCGAACAACCCTGAACTCCTGAACTGCACATCATGCCGCACGGTACTACGGGCGCGTCAACGCCTGCGGCGACGATCACATCGCTTGACGAAAAGCTAACGGATGCCGATACAACGGCGCCGGCGCAGTTCTTGCACGACTACAACATCACAGCCAAGACCCTGCCCTTCTGGCTGATCAATGTGCACCGGTCGCAATGGCCGGCCGAATGCCCCAGCTTTCTACGGGATCAACCGGACAAGAATATTCGATGTCTATCAACGCCTGACAAGGAGTATCGGCGACAGGACTGGGACTTGGTGCAGGAGATAATTAGTTGAGTGGAGCTTATTTCTTAGCCCATGCAGTGAGCGAGTGCTAGGGCCGATTGTGCTGACCAGGGCGCGCCTCCTCCCGCAGAGACGAACCGGATCGATCGATTCCAGCGTGTGCCCAGCGACTTACGGAAATACCTTGAATACACGGCTCAAATCAAAGCGGAATATGGATCGGTGATGCGGTTTGTAGTCAAGGAGCGGCTTGGCTGGGGAGATGGTAATACTCAGGACCTCCATCCCAAGGGAGGTCCATTCGAATTTGAGGGTATGTTGTTGTTGTTGTTGTTGCTGCTGCAGCTGCTGCTCCTGCAGCTTCCTTTGGTTCTGAAGATCATCGGAGAGGTCCGACAGGAGCTGACGGGGTAAACCAGAGGACATTAAGATTCTTTACAACGATTGGCCCTATGGCATCGACAAAGACATCATCCACCTAGTGGTATGGACCAAGTTCGAGCTCGCAGATGACCCGGCCACGGGTGAACTGACGAGCGATGGGCGGGCGGCGATCGAGCAATATGTACATACAAGATTCCACTCACGTGTGGCACGGAAGCAGGTGGTTTGGTTCAAGAACTGGAAGTCACTCAAGTCGGTCCACGCGGTTGAACACTTCCACGTCATGCTCCATCGCCCAGATATGGCATTTGTACGGGAGATCACCGAGGACGACGTGCCGTTGATCGAGCGGGTGTGCGTGTGAGAGTGAACGAGTGGATCAGAGTGCGTCTGCATGCATTGAAGATGTATTCCCCGACCGGTCAGCTCCCCGCGCCAAGCCCGTTGCCCCTCATGACGATCTGAGGAGATTCAAGGAAGAGGGTGGGATGGGGATGGGAATTAGGATAAACAGGGCTCCAAAGACCAAGGTTGCCAGCTACAGCTATGGCCATGAGTGAACAGAAACAGGTACAATATGCAGCTAGGCTCCCTCCATTCTTCTAGTGGTACCCTAACGTACCCTAAAGACCTAAAAGTAGTCTGTATACTCCGTACTAGTCCGGAGTTTAGTTTACTTCAAGTTAGGTAGGACCCTGGACCATTCAATTACCAACATTAACCAATGAATTGATTCCGTTCATTCCCAACAAGTCAGAGACACCGTTCGACGTCACCAGGCTAAGCCTTTTGTCTCGTATAAGCCCCAAAATCCGCCTATTTTGACCACCCCAAAAAAAAAAAAAGAAGGGAAATTTTAGGGGGAGAAAAGTTGAAGTCACCCTCTCTCAGCCTACTCAGCCTTCCCTCTCTTGTCCACACTTTACCCTTTCGGTCTTTTCTTTTCTTTTCTTTTCTTTTCTGCCTTCTTTTTTATTCCTCACCTTCTGGTTCCTTTTTTCTTTTTCTTTTTCTTTTCCCCAGATGCGGTGCGGTAACTCTTGAAGTCCTTTCTCTCCCCCACACAAACACACTACGCTTTCTGGCTTCCGAACGCAGCAATGCCGGTCCCGGGCCTCCGCCGTGCTTCTTGGGCCAGTGAGTGTTTTTGATCTCCACATCTCTCTCTCTCTCTCTCTCTCTTTCTTTCTCCCCCCGGTTAATCCACCATCATGTCTGACTCCCATCAACCAGGTCGATCCTCTGTTGACGACTCACCCGTCAGCGGTGAAGATGAAGTCGTCGAGCCTGATCAGGGAAATGGTAACCCACAGTTCCCCTCCTCTCCGGCGCCGCCACATCTCCATCTCTCCAGGCCGCCGTCGTGACCTCCTCCAGCTGACAAGTAGCAGTGCTTTCCCACATTATTTCCCAACTGCGACCGGGTGCCGACTTGAGTCGAGTCGTCCTACCGACTTTTATTCTCGAGCCCCGGTCCATGCTTGAGCGCATCACCAAGTACGTCCCCCGCCACTGCCGTGCCGAACGCTTCCCAAAGGTCCAAAGTTGGGCATGCGCGCTGACCTTGGAATAGTTTCATGGCCCACCCCGAAACCCTCCTCCCCATGACGACGATTGACGATCCCACCGAACGATTTATCTCCGTTGTCAAGTTCTATCTAAGCGGCTGGCATATCAAACCCCCGTACGTCGTTGTTCCCCGCTCCCCGCTTCCCGCCTTTTTTTTTCATTTTCGGAGGGGGTTCCGCCCCCCATAGATAGCCTGGAGCCGCAGACTAATAATCAGATAGAGGAGTGAAGAAACCTTTGAATCCCATTCTTGGAGAGACCTTTACTAGCCACTGGGACTACCCCGATGGAACGCGCGGATACTATGTCTCGGAGCAAACCTCCCACCACCCGCCCAAGTCGAGCTACTTTTTCATGGCCCCGGAGCACCATATTCGCATCGATGGCACACTGAAGCCCCGCAGCAAGTTCTTGGGTAACTCAGCTGCTAGCATGATGGAAGGAATCGCCATTCTGCGCCTGTTGAACCACGGTGAAGACAAAGAGAAGGGCGAGCGATAGTGGGTTTCCCCGCGCAGGAGAATTTCCTTTCAGCGGAAGTGCTAACCGACGTCATAGTATTTTGACGCAGCCCAACATGTACGCCCGCGGTATTCTTTTTGGAAAGATGAAGTATGAGCTTGGCGATCACAGCTACGTGCGATGCCCGGAGCACAACCTCGTGGCAGATATCGAGTTTAAGACCAAGGGCTACTTCTCAGGCACATATAATGCTATTGGAGGCACAATCAAAAATGAGAAGACAGGGGAAGTTCTATATGAATTATCCGGTCTATGGAATGGCGAGATGTACCTGAAAGATGTCAAAGTATGGTTCTCTTCCACCAACTTTCTATTTGTCCTATGTACTGACATTTAGAGTAGACCCACCACAAAGAACTTTTATTCGATGCGACACACGCGAAGCACTCGAAGCCCACGTCGCGCCCGATCGAGGAACAAGGCGAGCGTGAATCGCAACGTCTGTGGCTCGAAACAGTCAAGGCGATCAATGCTCGCAATCACGAAGCGGCAACGGACGAAAAGACCAAGATTGAAGACCGGCAACGAGAAGAGGCCGCCAAGCGCGCGGATGAAGGCGTTGAATGGCGGCCCCGACTGTTCCGTGCCGTGGAGGGTGGACCTGGCGGTCAGGACGAGGGAGAAGAGGACCTCGACTGGATCATCAACGCCGAAGTGTAAGTTTGCGAAACCATTTTGATTTGTGGATTTCTTAGCTGACGTATAGCTGCAAGTGATGCGCATGATCCCGAGACCGCCAAGAAACAAATCCTCGCCATCGCGCCCATCGTCAAAGGTCAGAAACAATCAACTCAATTTCAAATCCCGCCGCATCAGCCCAAGGCTTCCATGACGCACCCGGTGCCCCAAACTACAGGACTCGGCAGCTAATCCCGTCACCGCAGGCTCATCGACAGGGACAAACGTTGATGGAAATCCGAACAACATGCAGCTGAAAAGCACTCAACTCGAGGACGTGGAAGAGGTAGTGGGCGCGGAGGACAAGCAATGAACCAACAAGTGGCCGTGAATTTGGCTCTGAAAGGCCTCACGGTCTTCGAGTTGCCTCCTCTCCTCGATATCAAATTTCGCCACTTGGCAGTCCACCAGCCGACGTAGTCAACCTGCGCAGACTAGACTACTACTACTACCAGCACGAGTACCCCGGCGTCCAGGAGACGACGATCCATCTCCTCTTCTCCGTCCTTCTTCATGATGTTCAACACAAGCGTTTCCGCGTTTCCTGGCCTACGACGCCACGCCACGCCACTGCTGGATACCCGATTTGATTTGACAAAATAAAAAGATGCAGCGAACCGACAGAAAATACAGAAATCGAAAATCTATTGACTCACATGATGCTTGACGAAGGATACCTTATGGGAGAGGTACGTAGTAATGTTCGACGGGGGGAGGGGGCGTGCACTATATCGTAAAGCATGGTTTGTTTCATTGCGGAATATGGAAAGATGCAGAAAAGAGTCCTTTGGAGAGGGCAAAAATGATCAAAAATACGAATTGCATTGTTGCATTGCATGGTCGGGAAGTGGGCAGGCAATACTCATAGATCAAAGGCAGCGAGCTCTATATACAGTGCCATTCAAGCACATTTGGGTTTTTACTTCATTATATCTCACTTCATGAATGAATGCTTTCTTTGTATCTCTGCGTGTCTTCGGTTTGTCTTTCTACAGTAAAAGTACAAAGTTCGCCTCGCCCGGGATATCACGATATTAGATGGCAGACGAAACCATGGCCATCCAAAACAACCACCAAACTCCTAACCCAAAATATTTTGTTTCAAATCCAACGCCCTGAGACCCGTACCGGAGCCAGCCCGGTAGAAGAACAAGGCCAAATCAATGACCCACTCGGTTTAATTGAGTTGATTTGATCCCATCAAACCAATCCAATCTCAGTGTCAGTGTCATGAGTATAGCTCGCCTTTATACCCGGCTCCCCGTTCCAAGTCTCGGCGCCGGTTTGGGCGTGGAATGCCGCCCGCAGAACCAGGTACATCGTCAATAAGATTAGCTGCAGCCAACGCAGCCGAGCCATTGCCCTCCTGTTCTTCCATGTCCTCTTCCATCATGGCCATTTGCTCTTCGATTTCCTTCTCGGTTTCTTCTCGCAGGCCGAGGATATCTGGCGGGATGAAACTCATCTGAACGCTCGGAGCACCCTTAATGTAACGGAGTTGTTCATGGACAGCCTCGACCAGACCTTCGAGGTAAGAGCGTGGATTCTTGTTCTCGAGACGCCTGATCTCGGACAGAGGGGGGAAGAGCGAGTAGTCAGGACCGAAGTGATTACGGAACGCCACGGACTCTGGAATCGTCGAGTCGATCACCTGGTCTGCGTCAATGAGGATGGAGGTTTCGTGTGCCCAGGCGCGAGAAACGTTGCGGGGTGTATAGCCACCACCGCCGACGACGAGGAGGGGTAAGCCAAATGTCTTGGTGAAAGCGACGCAAGCACCGTGGGCGCGGACGTTGAGATTGAAGCAGCCGAGACGGTCACATCCTAGACTGTCGGCGCCGCACTGGAGGACGATGGCGCCGGGCCGATAGTTCTCCACGCAGGCTCCAATCACTTGGTGATATAGGTCGATATAAGAGTCGTCGTCGATACCGTCGTTCAGCGGGACATTGATGGAATGGTGAGCGCCCGGGTTAAGAGGATGACTCGGACCCGTGTCCTCGAGGGCGCCGGTCCCGGGAAGAAGTTATCCTTGTCGTATTTGTGGAAGGAGACCGTCAGCACGCGGTCCGTGGACCAGAAGGCCTGCTCAACGCCATCACCGTGGTGGACGTCGATATCGATATACATCACGCGCGGGTGGTGGCGCAGTAGCTGCAGGACACCCAGGACGATATCATTGACGTAGCAGAAGCCACTGGCCTCGGCTTTCTTGGCGTGGTGCAGACCACCGGACCAGTTGATCGCGATATCCGACTGATTGTTGCAGAGCTTACGCGCCGCGTCCACGGTCCCGCCCGCGTATAATGAGCAGTAGTTGTACAGCCCGTCGAAGATGGGACAGTCGTCGCCGAAATTGAATCGCACCACGCTGTCGCTCTGCTCCGCCCGGTCCATGTCACCCGGCATGACCTGTCGCAGGAAATCCAGATAATCCGACTCGTGGAAATCGGCGAGCTCTTCATATGTTGCCGCGCGCGCCAGGTACAGGTCCATCGCGTGGTGCATGCCGTAGGCCATGACGAGCTGCTTAGTGAGGGTCAGCCGCCATGGCTTCATGGGGTGTGACTGGCCGAAATGATGCGCCTCCACGGCAGGATTTGCGTGCCATGAGACCTGGTAGCCCTGCGGCCGCTGTACTTTGTAGAGCTGGCGTTGGTTGGTGACCTTGTGGTCGAGACTCAGGGTCGTTGAGGGCGCGGCATACTCTTGAACGACGGAGGGGCGAGCCATCTGTGGGGGAAATGTGTGAAGGGAATCGGAGAGGGACACACTAGCCGAGGGGTGGTCGCATTTCACCGCGAAAGAACAATTCGAGATGGTGGAGAAGTGAAATGGAATCAAATCGCCTGGAGAGTTCCCAAGGTTCCAGAAGGATGACTAAGGCGCGATCTGCGATTTTGTTCCCCGCTGGCGCTGGCGCTGGACTGGCACTTCCGAAGACGGCATCATTTACATGTACCATATAACATTGGCTCTCAGGCAACTACCAATGGCCGCCTATTTTTCGCTGTGACGGCGTGACAGCTGAAATATTTCTTTAGGGCTCTGGAACCATAACACTACAAATAAGGGCATCCGTGGTACCTCCTTCAGCTTCTCTTGAAATGCCACCAGAGAGAAATCGGGTCACACGGCCTCGATTGGCATTTAGTTGCCTCGAATGTAGTCGTCAGAAAAGACGCTGCGACAAGCTCAGGCCTCGGTGCACTTCTTGTCTCCGACTCGGCAGAACATGCGTCTATAACACGGGTACCCGCGATCCGGAAACGGGCCGAGTTTCTCGAATGGGACCACACGAAGAGACTATATCTTCTACCTCCCAGGACTTGATTGTTGGGTGTGTTGATAATGATTATATACCTGCCTCCGGTCGCCACCACAATACTGGTGTGTACAATTCGGATGTGGATGTTTCCCGGGGATCCAGAACCAGAGTTGGTGCTCGAGAACGACATGTTGGGCAAGGATTCTGGGCCTTTGTAGAAGACAAAAATGTCGCTGACAGGATTTCAATCCCTCGGCATCTCTTCTACAATGAACCAGAAGGCGAGCCATCTATGCCACCACCTTATATCTCGTCTTTTGCCCTGGCGAAACTCCTTCCTCGCCTTCCAACAAAGCCGGTATGCGATGCCCTGCTGCAGTCTTTTCTCTTGAGGGTATATCCTATATACCCTTTGATAAACCCTCCGGCCTTCATACCTCAGTACCATCTCTTCTGGCGTTTATTTGCCAGTGGTAGCCCCGAGTCCCTTGTTCATCCAAAACTGCTCGAAGATCCCACCTATGTCTGTCTTATTTGGGCCATTCTGTACGCCGGTTCATCGGCCCTTTCCTTCGCCGAGTGGAATTCAGCTCCGCTGAAGGATCTAGATCAGCTCCAAACTATCGACCAGCTGCAGCTGGCTTGCTCTGAGAGCCTGATTGCATGCCGACATATTGATCACCCAACCCTCCATTCTTTGACGGCCTCGATAATAGCCTACCATTTTGACGTGAATAAAGGACTTAGCAGCAGTTTTTTCATCACTACTACCCAGCGCCTAGCTCATAGTATGGGGCTTCATATTGATGCTGCAGATCCACTGCTTATTTCAAGCTCGGCAGAGCATAAACGGCGTATTTGGTGGCATATAGTCTGGCTGGATTTACAAACTAGCATTGCCACCGGTTTGCCGACGTGTTGTAACGGAACTATGATCGAGGCTTCTCGGATGATATCAGATTTAATATACACCTCTAGCAATGCCGAACCAACGAACTCCTGTGAGCTCATGTCCTCTGATACTAGTAATTTCGCACTCCGAATCTCGATGATAATGATACACGCAATTGGCAGATTTCGAACAGCAAAACTCCAGCACCAGATGATTGGTCTTTTCCAAGGAACAGGGAAGGTGCCGGCCAAATACATCAGGAACGTGGTCAAATCCACGAAGGAATCGCATAGTTTCATCGACGAGCTGATTGCCAAGATACCGGTGCAGGGAATCCCTGAGAAAGGCATGATCCCGTCTTTCTTGGCAAATGCGTCCCCAGGTTCGAGCCCAGCTCTCTACGAAGACCGTGTAAACGAGCCTACCGTATGGAGTACCTGTGCCAGGATCGTGTTATTCCTATCCAAGCTAGAATCGGTAATAATGCTACAACATGCCTTACTTCCAGACCTGAGTTCAACATCGGTGCCTCATTTCCCCTGGAATCGCATTGTTCGACTATGCCTCAGCTACATGCGGTGCTACTTGCAACTCTGTCAAGTACCAGCCTTCAATCCATACTCATGGTTTTGGTCATCCTATTACGGCCCCCGTCGATGCACTTTCTTAATACTGCATTTCCTTACAAATGCCCATTGCGAAAACACATATCGGCAAGAAATGCTGTTCTGCGTTGATGAGTTTACCACATATTGGCGCTCCGTTTCTAGTCTGATACCAGTACAATGTGAATCAGCCTTGCCGTCAATGAACATGATTGTCAAGATGCGGCAACAACTTGAAGCGGACAACAACTGCGATTTTGATCGAAATGTCCCGATCAAAAGCACTCTATTGGAGAAGCCAAACGCCCCACAAGATATAGATTATCTGGAAGATCTGTTTGATAGTGAATACTGGGCTTCCCTCACGTAGATCAAAAGAATAAAGTTTTCCTTCAAGTCGAATTCGAGAAAATCTATGCATGTAACACAAGCAAAGCACAAATGAACTAGGAGCACCCGACCAACTCTCAAGTCCAGAGATATTCAAGATATTTCAGCCTGCAGCGACGTGATCTCCCTCATCTCCTGCAAGGTCTCCTCCCACAGCGTCTTCTGTACAGTCTGGCCCGCCTGTAGTGGATCTCTGCAAATCATGCGCTTAAGGTCGAGGTTCTGGCCGGACAATCTACCAGGTGACTTCTACTTTCCTTGCCAAGCTGCACACAAGTGTCGATCTTTCGCATACACGCTGGAGCTTTTGCACATGATTCTGAATACAACAGGCGGGGAAAAGCCCTGCTTAACTCTGCACATGGCCTAATTTGTCTCCAATTGACAATATCCTTGTGCTCTGTACTACACACATCATTCTATCGATCACTTGTCAACTTAAAGTCGACCTCCGATATCAAAATCAATTAGGTCTATACTCATGTCATGTTATGTTTATATACTAAACTTTCAGATTGTTCTGTTTTTCTCTCAGTTCAACCATATACCGTACCTCATACAGCCAGCCCATCGGATCCTTCGATTTCTTGCCTGTCTTCCTACGATGAATTAGCCGCGATCTCAACGCATTTGTCACTATGATCAGATTGACTAACGCTTTCGGATCGCCTCCAAGGGGCATATACGTGGTCGCAAAATCTCTTAACCACCGCCACCACCAGCGAGCTCCCAGTCCTAGCTGACCTGTCCAATAACTCTGCTTGGTCATGCTCTTCGACCTTGGAACCCTAGCTTGGGCATACGCCTCAATCGCTCTAGAGAAATCTAAGCTTCCATTCTCTAATGAGGGCGGGCAATTCAGTAGTTCATTAGCCAAAACGGTGGCGTCTTCGATGGCGAATCCCGCTCCTGTGAATGTGTCAATCACTATCACTCTCCTCTTCAAAGACGAAACTTGGTGAAAGCAAAAATAAGGTAAGACTAACCTTGGCCGCTCGTCGGTAGCATCAATCGTGAAGCGTCTCCGATCACAACGATGTTCTTCCCACCAATCTCACTCTCCTCCCAAGCATGATACCACAGAGGGGCTCTAACAATCCTCTCACTCCTCTTATACAACTCCTCAAAGTTCCCCGCAATAGGATGAAAGGCATTCTCGTGCCTCTTCAGAATCTCCCGCGTCTCTTGCAGGTCATATCCACCTAGTATTAAGTCCGCACCATAGAGCTTATCCACTTTCTGTTTCTGCAGGTGCTCAGCAGCTGTCATCCTCTTAGGAGGAAGGTTGGAAGGGAAAGAAATAGACCAGAACTGCCTACCGCCAGGCAGAGCCCATGTTGATGCGGTGCCTGAGTCGAGGAGAACCCAATGAGTGTCTCCGTCTTGCACATCTTCTTCACATTCAGTCGAGCGAGCCCTGTCCATGGGTTTGGAAACACCGTAAATCCCATCCGCGTATGCAAACTCGGGTTCCCATCTATCAGCACCGTGCCCGCCGTCTGCTACTGCTGCTGTCGCCATAATATGCCTTCTCACAACCGACCATCCCCCATCCGCACCAACAACAAGATTCGCTTCGACCTGCATCCCTCCCTCAAAGCACACCTTAACACCCCCTCCAGTGGTACTCTTCACATCAGTAACCTTCCTCTCCCAAATCACTTCCCCGCCTAACTCCTGCACCCTATCAAGAACCACGCGCTGCAGCCTCGCCCTCTCTACAACCCGGAGGTTCGTCCCCAAGTCCTCCTGCCAGTTCGGATTGTTCATCTGCTGGCAGTACTTATGCTTCCCGGTGTCCCAGGCGCGCCAGATCTTGATTCGTGCCGTTTCAGAGCTAATAGAGTCCAGCGAGTCCCGCAGCCCCAGTAAATACAGAGGGTAGAGGGCGTTGGAGGTCAGGGCAACAGCGGCGCCAGCTGCATACGTCGCAGCGCTAGGAGCGTGGGTGGATTCGTTTTCTCCATGACTCTTTGAGTCAGGGAATGCGCATGGATTAGGGCGCGCAAGGCGCTCGTATATCACGGGTTTGTAGCGCTCCTTGAGGACGGGGTTAGAGAGTATTGTCAAGGCGAGGACGGGACCCGCGACGCCACCGCCGATGATGGCTATGGTATACGGCGCTGGTTTGTCGGCCATGGGTTGATACTTAGAAATCCTAATATCACATCAATTTGGATCGAAGAATTATTTGACCCCGTATAAATAGTTTCTCCCAAGGTTGAGGTACGTAATTTGCTGCATTTATTAAGGTTTGGGACGGCACAGAACGTTGGTTGCCTAGGTACGTGATTGCCACCGAAACGCACACTCAGAGCGAATATACTCAGGGACCCTAAATAATTGGCTCGAGCCACAATCAAGAAAGAGGAAGAATCACCTACTCCAAGATCTTCTTATCACTAAGATGTCTCCCATGGCTCTCCACCCCAGCAACGACAGCCGCATTAACAATCAAAAGACCGCCAACCTCAACCGGCCTTGCCCCTTTTACTATCTTTAAAGCACCAGCCAAGACCCGTCCATACCATGGCAGGAAATCACTCATTCCAGTACTAACCATACCGGGACAAATCATATTCAACACAATCTTGGTAGAATCCAAACGCGGTGCCAGGGCGTACATGAACATCGCGCAGAGAAGTTTACTATCCGCATACCGGGTAGTGACAGAACTCCTCTCATCAGAATCAAGCCGGTTCAGTATTAAGGATCCGGGGGCTGGGGGTGTCGACTCGAACGTTCCTCCACCGTCATGCTTCCGACTTCCAACCCAGGTGACTCGGGTAGCGAAACCAGATTTCTCGGCCGAGGAGTATAAGTAGGGAAGTAATTCGAAAAGAAGAAGAGCGTTAGAGAGGTAGTTCTCTTGTGAACATCATTCGTGACCTGTCGGCACTCGGTCCATGTTCAATCGTGCAATGCCTGCGTTCAAAATGAGGATGTTCACGACGGGGACCTCTTTTTGAAGGCATTTTGCGAAGGATTTCACGCTGTCATAGCGGTCCACATCCAGGGGTAGGGCCTTTACGACTGGACATTTTGCTTTCGCCTTGATGGTGGGGTTGTTGAGGAGTTCTTGTGCGCAGGCTTCGCCTTTGGTCGTGTTTCGTACCGCGAGAATCAGAGTGTCGCAGTTTCGGGCTAAGAGCTGGCGAGCTGTTTCAAGACCCATCCCTGCACTGGCCCCGGTTACGACGGCTGTTTTCCCAGCTAAGTCGAGGTTGGATGGGAGAGGGGGGACTTTCGGTTGGCCCATTTTGTAAAAATACTGGGTGTTGAGTCTAGTTGAGACACTGGCATGCTTCTGAGATGAGGGTGCTACGAGGAGATATATAATTTCATGTACTACTTGGCTGTAGACTTCCCTATGTTTCCACATTATAATCAGGCATTACTGATCATTCGGGCTTGCAGAACCCCGACATAGACTGGGCTTGCCGTGTCAATCGAAGCGTTGCTCATCGTGCTTGGATATAGATCATTCAGCCGAATGATGACTCATCTTTAAGCCGCTGCCAAGACCTGTCTTAATTGCTACGTCGTACAGCCAAAAGCTCCTACTGTAGTTTTATCTACGGAAGACTGTGGGACAGAAATGAGAGAAAGGACAGACTCATTCATTTTCAAACTCTCCCCTGGAGACTGAGGAGTGTAGATGCGAGACTACCCCGCTCGGGTCTACCGCGGCCAACGGCACCGAGGCCATATCAATGTTCAACGCGAGGCATGATTGCTCAGAATAACCAGCCGTTGGCCCCGGCCCGGGCACTGAATTAACTGGGTTAACGATGAAGATTATTTTCTCTACTTCTGATCTTCTGATTGATATACGGGTAGCTCGGCGACACCGAGAAAAGACCGAACCATGACATAAGCCCGGTATCGGCACCGTCGGCACATCAATGTGGAGAGCGCATCATCGCTGAACAATTCATGGTGGAGAAGTGAAGAAAAAGCTTGGTGACACACGTGGGAGCTGTCTTTAAAAGGAAGCAAAAGGGAGAAAAAAGCTGATCGGTTCTTTACCTTGGTCAATTATAAACCGCACAGCTTTTTATCAAGTCCGTTCTCTATTTCTGAACGTTAAGAGATTCAAGACGTCATGGCTCTTCCTTCGGCAGCGACCAATCTTCGGCGAGTACTGGCAGACCCCAATGGTTTCGTGGTGGCCCCGGGTGTCTATGATGGCATGTCCGCACGCTTGGCACTAGCAGCGGGATTCGATGCGCTGTACATGGTAAGTCGCTGGGTGGTAGTTAATACTGATTAGTGTGGCTGGGCTAACAAGGCAGACCGGCGCCGGCACCGCAGCTTCTGTCCATGGACAGGCAGACCTGGGCATCTGCACACTGAACGACATGCGCAACAACGCAGAGATGCTGGCGAATCTCTCGCCCAGCACACCGCTCATCGCAGATGCCGACACCGGGTACGGCGGCCCAATTATGGTGGCCCGAACCACAGAGCAGTATGCGCGCTCGGGAGTTGCGGCTTTTCATATCGAGGACCAGGTGCAGACCAAGCGCTGCGGTCACCTGTCAGGCAAGCTTCTTGTTGACCAGGAAACCTACAAGACTCGAATCCGGGCGGCCGTGCAGGCTCGTCAACGACTGGGTAGCGATATCGTGGTGATTGCACGCACGGATGCATTGCAGTCGCACGGGTATGAAGAGAGCCTGGCACGACTACGGGCAGCGCGTGATGCTGGCGCCGACGTGGGTTTCCTTGAAGGAATGACGTCTCGCGAGATGGCGCGCCAGGCGGTGCAGGACCTTGCGCCGTGGCCCTTGCTGCTAAATATGGTTGAACACGGGTCCACGCCAAACATTTCGGCAGCGGAGGCGCGAGAGCTTGGGTTCCGCATTATCATTTTCCCCTTTGCGACGATTGGACCTGCGCTGACGGCGATGCGCGAGGGGTTGGAGAAGTTGAAGAGAGATGGAATCCCAGGACTGGACAAGGAGTTGACGCCGCAGATGCTCTTCCGGGTCTGTGGGCTGGACCAGAGTGTGCAGTTGGATGCGGAGGCTGGCGGAAGCGCTTTCGATGGCGGCGTCGACCTGGGCAAGAACTAATCTAGGGGGCCAGCAAGTCCAAGCCAGGCTCGAGGCTAGCCCGTGTCCAGGCCCATCATCAGGATGGGGTTGCAGCCTTGTCGGGGGGTTAGGGTATTGAAGCCTCTGTGACTGTACTCCGTAAATAGAATCACTCCACCGAAGGAATTGTGCATCATTGCTTTATTTTTAAGGCAGATAGCGTAGTTATACGGATAAACGAAGAGAGGATCCCCGATGGCTGATGGCTGATGGCTGATCTCACGCGTTTCAGAATGTCTTCGGGTGCCACTGGGGCGGCCGCTGATCGCAGTCCGAACCACGGAACGTCCTCCCGCTCAAACCCTCAACCAGGTTTGTGTACAATGCATGTGTATGGGCATGTTTACTCTGTACTCCGTACTCCCTACAGAGTACTCCGTACACACTCCTTATATTCCCTAGTCAATGAGATCGTCCCATATACATTGACATAGTAGTTCACAGCGCTAGCTGTAACAAGCCAAGTGCAGTTAAAGTTTTTCGGGAGGACCAGGATTCAAAAAGGCCCAGCAAACTCCCATGTCGCAGCCAGGGCAATACACATTGCACCATCGTACTGTCACTGTGGAGTGGAATTGCAAGGTTTCAGCGCCACCATGCAGGAAGCAGGAAGAGCGAGTGGGCCCGGAAAATTCGAGGCCAACGACTGTTTGTGTACGAGCTCGTACCTTACAGGTCTCTCCTCGCGCACACACCCTGGCTAGACCCAGCTACCGGTAGGGGATGGAGCCCCATGGTGCAAATCGTCTGCCGTTGGTCGATCGTCTGGGCCAGACCTGTCGGGTTGAACAGAGATCAGTCGTGAGCGGTGAATGATGAGAGTTGATGAGTTGTTCGAAATGCGTTGGTCGCTTGGTCAAAAGTCGATTACCGACGTGTCACGAGTCGGTCAGTGACTGCCACCAGTTCGGACGAGCCCCAAGAGGGTTGGCGAGTACTGGGCGAAAAAAAGGGATTGGCATTGAGTTGTGCCTAGGGAGACACGACACGTAAGACAGGGGCAGGGCAGCACCGATTGGGTACTGTGGGGAAAGGACCAGATGTGGCGGAGGCAAGATAGATAGATTGAGGGTCTGGGAGGCGTCGAGGGTCTTGTCGCCAGAGGATCCAGGGTCTGTCAGGGTCTTTTCAGGGTGAGGGAGTTCGGGGGCGTATACGAGCAATCAGTGGCATTCCAGCAAGCGACATTCCGACGGTACACGTGTTTGGCAGAAGAGTATACCCAGTATACGTGTATAGTATCCAAGGTGAATATTGCAGAAAAAGGGGAGGCCTGATCACAATTAAAATTGGGAGGAGAAAGTAGTGATACTTGGCCAGGCAGAGGCAGAGTGATTATTGGAGAAGTACCAGTACAAACAACAACAAGACGGGTCACGGGCAATACTGGGCCACTTGCACGCTGCACCCACGGTCTCGGCCCAATCCACCTCACCCTCACCCAATTACATTCGTGGATAGCATCAACCCGCTCAGGAACCACTCCCCTGTCACCAATCAGAGTCAGGCTGCCCCTGACCCAAGAGAAAACCAGATGTTGTTCACTCACATCGCACTCCCCTGAAGGGTCCTCGCTTTGGTCTCCCCCCCCCCCCATAATAAGAATTCATACTAAACCCACTCCTAGCCCCATCTTTGCCCTTCTCTCACCACCCACACATTCTTTTGCAATTCTTCCCAAGGGCATTTTCGCTCTAGTCATTCTTTCATCCCGAATTGCACACTTTCCTTCTACCAAAAATGCATTTCAAGAACTCCGTCCTTCTTGCGACGGCCCTGACCGCTGGGTCTGCCGTCGCCCGTCTTCACGGCCACGACCGCCGTCACACCCACACCAAGGTCGACGACGTCGAGGTCCCTGCCGCTCCCGCTACCACTGAAGGTCCCAAGGTCGATGTCGATGTCGAGAAGCGTGGCGATGACATGGTTTATGCTACCATTGATGGGGTCCTGCAGTCCTGGATCAACAACTGGTTCGGCGAGGTCTCTGAGTCCACTTCCACCTCCACCTCCATCGTTGTCACTCCTACCTCCGTCGCTGAGCCTACTACTACTAGCGCTAGTAGCGCTGTTGAGTCCGTTGTCAGCGCTGTTCCCACTCCCGACTCTGGCTCCAGCTCCAGCACCGGCGGTAACTGGTATACCTACCCTGAGGATGGAGATTTCAGCCGTGACGGATTCGGAGCCAACAACTGCAAGGACTGCGACGGCGACAAAGGCCTAGGTATCTCCTGGTCCGGTAACACCGGCTCCCCTTGGGGTAGCAACATTATCGAGGTCGACGCCGCCCATGCCAGCAAGTACCGTCACGTTATCCGCTTTGAGGGTGCTGAGAAGGACCCCTGGACTGTCTTGTTCTTCAACAAGATGGGCCCTGCTGGTCTAATGAACGGTTTCTTCAGCCCCTTCAAGGCTCTCTCGTTTACCCTCGAGCCCAACGATGTCAAGTACGTCGCCGTCGACACCGACTCCACCGGTGGTTGGACCGCCTACCAGGGTGAGGAATCCCCCCTCTCCGACTTCGGCGCCTATGCTTCCACCTGGGGTGAGTTCACCATGCGCACTGCTCCCGGCTTCACTAGCTGGGACGTCTCTTGTATTCAGGCCCAGAATGCCGGCAAGGAAATTCAAGGCATGAAGATCTGTGAGCACGACGACTCCAACTGCTCCATCATCACCAATGGCATGGGCAAGGTCACCAACGCCTACACCTCCGCCGAGACTGATATCAACGGTATCGGTGGTAACGTTCAGAGAGACCACGTTCGCCTGCTTGTCAACCTGGACTTCGCTTAAGTATTCCTCTTGGCGTGTCGTGGCGTGGTTTCGATTTTGACCCTTTTGCGCAAATTATTTATGCCGGAAGCGCCTCGGTCCCTTATCGCATTTCTGTGTCTGCACAGGTACCGTTCCCTTCTGCTGATCCAGGATGGCAATGAAGCCCTGTCCACGCCTTGGCTTCCGGATCCCTCTCCCGCAGACACTTCTTTTTTTTTTTATCTGCCTGGGGAATTTCACATAACTTCGCCTGATCATGACCTGTGACCTTTTGATTCTCTGTACATATACCACCTGAGTTACTCGTTCATATTGAATTTTCTTTCCCTTTCAGACACTCGAGCCTTGTAATCTTGTCTTCTGTCTCTAGCATATCGTCCCATAGCAAATGACCAATAGCTTCTTTTATGCAGGTTCGATACTAATTTCCAAGGATAAGTGGTCAGCTTCTTGACAGTTAAAAAAAATTAATGAAGTATCTGTTACGAGTGGGCTGCTTCTTACATGGGTTTTTCAATGCCAAAAAAAAGAAACAACGCAAGAAATTGACAACATCTTGATGATTCATCCTTTCAAGAGTATTCTTAAAAGCGAGAGAATTGCTTCGGTTATTTAATAAGGGAAGACAAATGTCGAACGGAGCCAGCTGGTCTTCCCAGGAACGAAATTCTCCACAAGAATGAGCCCTCTAGAAGATGGTCAACCATTTGGTTCTTCAAAGGGCATCTTTGGTGGGCACCGTGAACGAAATGTCATCTCTGAACACTGCGACGGAAAATTGCGCTTTGATAGAACAGAAAACAGTCGGTCAGAAAAATTAAGAGATGAAGATGTTGTCTCAACATTCTCCAGGTGGGAAGAAACGGTGTACTTATAATTTGCTGCCACCTTAGAAGACCCGCAGGATCGCAGGATGTGACCGGGGTGAGATGCATTCCCTAAACTACGTTAAGTCTTAGTCCACTTGGCTCATCCAACAGCGCTTATACGAAGCAATGGTGGTTTTGTCGGCTGCGGGATTGTGGACATCCTGCCAGCGCTTACAGCCCCTTCACATCAACCCAGCTCCCGATTTAACACCCGGGCGCTAACTGGAGCACTATGACAGGACCAACACCCACTAGATCCGCTTAGATTATCAGCGTAGATCGGCCTGGCCTCTTGCAGCTTGGCTGTTGCTACCAATGCACTAATGCAGCAGCTGGCACCATTCTGTCCCATTTGATGTTGTGAATGTATGTACTTTTGCTGGCGCCCTGGTGTGCCCCTCTTGTGGGACCATCTCTAGTGTCTCGGCTGGAGAGACAAATGGTGAGTTTGATGATCCTTGCAAGTGGGGATTGAATGCATACGAAACCATGTCGCTTGTCGCTAATCGTTTCTCAAATTATCTCAACTATGCACGAAGCGCCCATTCCCGCACAACCCATGCGGTGCCTGTGTCATGTCTTGCGCTATAAGGGGAACGTTGCATCACCGGCGTACTTTTCCTGCAGGTATCCCTGCCGCGGCTGCGTGGGAAACTCCGCGCCAGATTATAAGATATTACGGGTGCGCGTCTTATTTTGTAACTCCGATATGTTTCATTTTACTGTAGCTGAGACTGCTGGCCAGTCTCTTACATCCTTCCAATATGAGCACAACACAATATAATGGGTCCGAAGATCGTACCGTACTCGGCAACAATTCTCTCTTATTTTCTCAACTTGTTCGCCCAAGTCGCTCTCACTCCCCCGAGCCTGAAGTCGAAAGAGATGACAGGGAGAGCTTTTACAATCAGAACCATGGCTCTGACATTGTCTCTCCTCCACCAGACCCTCCCAGCTATGAGAGTACCCAGGACACAAAGATGACGAGTTGGATGCCCTACACGTTCAGGGCCTACTATCTTGGTATCTTGAGTCTTATTGCTCTCGGTCTCTCTCTTGTTACATTTTTGCTTTGGTGGAAATCGTCAAATAATTATGGGCTTGGGCCGGACAACGGCTCTTCTTCTCTACTGTTTGGTTGGAGATACAGTCCAACCATGATCGCCGTGATCTATATTCAGTTTACTACCATGCTTTTTGACGACGTCAAGCGAACGGAACCCTATGCCCGTCTAGCACGAACCGAAGGATCAAAGGCCTCGCCGAGTATTCTTCAGACCCCCGGGCCCTGGTGGGTTGCATTGTATGATGGATTCGCCAAGAAGAAGAATGGCAGGCGCAGCGAAGTTCTGATATTCGCATCCTTACTAAATATTTTGGGGATTCTAGCAATCTCACCACTGTCATCCGCCTACTTATATTCCGAAGATTTGGTCGTTCCACACACTCAGCAGTTCTATCTCCTTTCTCCTACGTCGGGATCTCCCCTTCCCATCGATGCAGACCGCTCTACCCACTTTCGAGCAATATCAAACTTGCTGCAGAATGTCTCGACATCACCTTGGATTACAAATAATTATACAATTCTTCCATTCTGGCCAACCAGTCAACAAAGCAGCCACCTAGACTCTTTGCCATCGGATTCTTCCGAGAAATGGCAAGCAGAGACGACAATGTTCAAAAGTGAACTCAGTTGTACACAAATGAAGGTCGAATCGCAAACCTCTGGGAAATTTACCTACAAGACAGAAAAGGTTGAGTCGATTAATATCGATTGGTCATCCCCAGATGGATGCAAATATGGAATCAAAGCCGAGAGGGGCTTTTTTGAGACTGGTGGGGGTAGCTGGTCCAATACATCTACTTTCTTCTATGGTGAAGATATCCTCAACCCTGGAAAGGTATCAGCATCCTCTACTTCTTCAAATGAATGCAGAAATCGAGAAGTTATCGTTGCTACTGAGCCGTGGACAAATACGAGCGGCTCGTATGTGGCCCATCTTTGCGACACGAGCTACTACATGGCCAATATAACGGCAACCGTTGCGTTATCCGGAGTGGACCCGGAGATATCCTTCGATGAGAACGAATTCCAGAGGAATAAAGTTCTTCTTCCAGAGACACTTGTCAACACAACCCTTTTTCAAGATCTCGTGTTGGACGAAGATTGGGCAAGTTATATGGTCTCCATCCTTTGGGCAGACACCGCAATGATGGGGGGAGGTGCAGTTCTTCTTGGAGCCCTTTACAACTATAACACCTTTAGCCTGGTTCATGATCCCGATCTGGTTCTATCAGCAGGAAAGGTCAAGCAACGGTACTTTGGTGAAGTCCTACAGGCATCTCTTGATCAGAGGAAAGCTTCAAAAATGGTGTCCACGCAAGGATCGATTCATTCCGTCCAGACCCGAGTAGTTGTCCAGGCTGGTCCAGCAATTGCCCTTGGAGTTCTCTTTGCTATTTCGTTTATTCTTTTACTTTCTATTTGGTTTTTCTCGCGATTGCAGCAAAGGCCTCTCAATCTGAGAAAAGACCCTGCAACAACTACGGGTGTTGCCTATCTCATTGCCCAGAACCCGGGGATTCAGTCTGTCTTCTCCATGTTCAAGCAGCCTTCGGCAAATAATCTTCAAGCAAACTTGGCAGGAGAGTATTTCTACACGGATTCACGAGGTCTCTTCAGAACCCATCCGGTAGAGCGGCCGGAGCGTGATACGACACAGTCAGAAAATGGTACTCCAATGCTTCTCCGGCTACCCGCACTCCTTGGTCTGTCTCTCGCACTGGTGCTAGTAGTGGTTGGAGTCTCTATTCTTTACCATTATGCAGAGAGCTCCGTCTTATATGGAAAAGCTTTTGTCTACCAAGTCCAGCTTTCTGTATTAGATAGTGGCATGTCATCTGTCGCGCCATTCTCTATGATTCCGACTATAATTGCAGTTGGCATCGGTCTTTGGTGGAGTGCAATTGATGATAACTTTCGTCGCCTTCAGCCATTTTTGTCAATGACCAGGGGTAACCCCCAGTTTCGGAAAGGCGTCGACCTGTCCTATCAGACTTGTTATTGGTTCTGGGCGGCTGGAAAGGCGGCATCTAACAAGCACTGGCTTCTTTTGCTTGTTACATTGGGATCGACGTTATCGCCTATCTGTAAGTAACGCTGACTATGGCCATCTGCCAGTTATAAACTTCTATAATAACGCTCTACTAGACACGACTGCTATGTCAGCTTTATTTGAGAGGGGCAATGGCAACATCATAAAGCCCGTCACACTTCATCGCCAACTTGAACTACGACAAATACCGTTCGTTTACGGAACACAACAGTCAATCTATCCCAGTAGCTCGAACGACTATGTCGCTCCAATTATTGCCGGTCTCTTCAAAAATATCTCATCTTATTGGATGTACACTGCTACCATTCAATTAACCTTGAACGGCTCCGAGCCTGCTTGGAGCAAGGACGGCTGGAATTTTGTCCCAGTGGATGTCAGTGATATCACAGCCTCGAGGTATCTATCCAATATTGGGGCGAGCAAGGCTGATGGCCTGGATGAGGGATCTCAAACTAATATCACGTTCGATACGCCTGCCATTCGAGGCCGAATCGAATGCAGCCCCCATCCAGCAAAAGCGTTCATGAATATGACAAATTGGCTCACACCAACGGATCTCACGAACCATACAGTATGGAACAAGAGCACAATCCCTGAGGGTGTTAATGGAGGGTTCCAACTCGGTGCCTCTTGGGACACCCAAGGTCGACCTAGCAATATCTACCCTTTGCTACCCGGGCAGAACTATACCTCCTGCCCTGGATGTACACCTGTGTTCGCAAATCCCTCTTCTATTATCTGCTGTGGCAATGGAAGTACGGATTCCCGACAAGGGGATGCGGCAGTGGGATATTGGTCGCCAAACGGAGTTCCATTAACTTGGACGCCTCGCAACTGGGACAGGAACTTCACTACTAAATGGTTCTATGGAAATGCGGTGACAGACATCAAGCAGACCAATGCCTCATTGGCAAAAGCAGATGTTGGACTTTTGTTTCTTGAACCGCCCTCGATCTCCATGTTAAACTGCAAACCGATTACCGAAACTGCCAACGCAAGAGTCACCGTTAACCCATCTAATGGCGAGATTCAATCATACAATATCACGGATCAACCTGAAATTGACCCCAAAGACTTCTCTGATAACTTTCTGCCACACAACCAGTCGATTACTCACCTTCGAGATGGGGTCAAATGGTACAATGTTACACTCAGGTGAGCCATTTCTATAGTATCTTAATCCCACCAAACACTGACCAATTTTATCAATCAGCTACGGTCGAATTTTCACGACAGCAATCATGACAGCAGCAGATACTATGAATATCGCGGGTTCCCCTCATGTAACCGGGTACATTACAGAAGATCTTGATGACAATACCTATACCATTCGTGACGAGATGAACGGCCTTAACATGGACTTCATGACATACTCCATGTATACAATGGCCGGTAAAGACCCGAAAGCTCTTCTCGACCCGGATACATTTCTGCGACTGGCCCAGAAGACGTACACCACTTTTTTCCAACACTATGTCAGCAACAATGTCTCCATGCAAACCGGTGGCTGGGCATACCAAAAGATCAACGCAAGTCTGCCCAGCGGAATGGGTCCTGCTGTTCAATTGGAGTATGGTTACCTTCCTGGCACCAAGGCCACGGCTTATCAAGATGAGATGCATCCTATCTCTCATACCAATCGCACTGTCGAAGCGCACGTATCCCAACGCGTTGAACTTCTCCAGATGAACGCTGTTGCGGTCTGGCTCAGCATCGGCATAATGGCCTGGTTGATCATAACTACCATTGTAGTAGCGGTGCTACAGAAGCGCTACTTTGGCAGTCTCATCCGGAACGTAGAATGCCTCGGCGACGTCTTGGTCATGATAGCTGGCAGCGCGAACTTTCTTCAGGTTGTGCGGGAAATCCAAGCCGGGAGACTTTTGCCGGAAAGTTACGAGCACCTTCGAACTAAGCTGGGCTGGTTCGTCGACGAGGGTGGTGGAGTGCGGTGGGGAATTGAGATGGAGGAAAGTTGTGGAGATGGGCCTGGGGTACACTGGATTTCTGCTCCCCATTTCTCAAAGGAGAAGGGCCGTAAAACATGGAATCTTCGTGAAGAGGAGAGAGATTTATAGACCGATATAATGAGATTTGGGGGTTGAAGTGCACATTACTTCTGTCAGTACATAGCATATAATGCTCGAGTCAAAATGATGAAATGTCTATGATACAGTTTTCGGGGTATGTGGCCCTCGCTTGAAATAGAAAATAGTCAAACACGCCGTTGATGAATGGATACCAGTGAGGTGCTGGCAATCCTTTTGTTGCTTAGACCCCGAGGAATTCAGCTACCGTCGGATACGCTGCCTCGGAAGCCTCTCCTCTTTCCTCTTCCACTTCCTCCTCGTCGTCTTGTGTGTGGAAAGAGAGCATACCAACTTGCATCATGTAACCGACCATGAGAGCAACACCACCCACCACCGTGGCAATGGAGACATACATGTCTTTCTTTTGAGACTCAGCGTGGAGGTTCAGAACCCGCTTCTCTGTGGACGAAAGCCCAGAATCTTCCGACTGGGCTACCTTCTTAAGCCCGTTGTTCTTGCGGATTTCACGCAGGAAGGGGGTCGAGTCGGCCAGAGTAGAGAGAAGGGTCGTGCCGACCGCCGCGACAGAGATGCGCCCTGGAGCTCGCCAAGAAATCGGCGACTCGGGCGCAGACTCGGGCGCAAATGCATGAGCGATGTCTATCGGAGCATCGCCGAAGCACCGTCGCCGCAAGCGCTCTGTGTACGCCGAGAGCAATGGAGCCTTGGCACGCATCGCATCCCGAAGCCATGGGAAGCTCATCTCTGGTACGAGCGCCAGTGACAGATACCCGAGCGCGATGCAGTCGATACTGGACGGGGTGGCCTCGTCCTCGGCAGTCAGAAGGTATGCCTTACGGCCCAGCATGGCCTCGAGGGGCTCAAAAAACTCCGCCGTCAGCGCCTCGATGCGGAAGTGATTTGACTGTGCCGTGCGACCCAAAAAGCTCGATACAGTATCACGGGGTCGCTGGATCAGGTTCTTGGGGATCTTTCCGGCGGCCACGGCGGCGCTGTGGTCGCGCTGCCGTTGGTCCTCCATAGCTTGCAGGTCAAGCGACGAGAGACCCAGATGCTCGGTACGGCCTTTGGCGGCACTATGCAGCTTTGGCGGTAGAATCCATTGGTTCGGCCACTGGAGAAGACTTCCGTATGCAGGCGAGGTGTTTCCGTAATAATTCTGGCTGGTAACGTACAGGTAGATGTCGACAAGGGACTGGCCGCGGGATTCGATGAAGGAGGAGAAGCTGCAACAGCGGCACAGGTCAGTCAGGTGCTTCGTTTCACAGGTCATACCATTGGTGGGTTGACATACGCGATATTATCAGCACGGGATGTCTCGTCCAGTTGATTATCCAGATCCCAGGCCCCGTTCGAGAATTGGCGGAGGTAGTCCACGATACTGCGGAACCGGCTTACCCACACCGCACCGTTTTGGAGGGCCGGGAGCTCACCTAATTTGCAGAGAAGAATAACCGGATCAGCTCATGTTGTATTTTTATCTTGCGCCTCCTTGCTAGCTTCGGGTGGCCGGATGTGCGCACCACGTCACTTACCGGTAGGGGACACGGAGGGATCACTGCTGGCGACCAACTCCCAGGAGTCCTTCGGGAGGGCTAAAGAACAATAGGCGATAGCTGCGAGGCATTGCGCGTCAATTGAGGGCAAGGCGAAGGCCGGCCCCCACACATGTAATTGCAGCACCATTGTGTTTGCGCGTGGAAGCAGAAGGGCGGGCGCGGGCAAGTTGGGGTGGATGATCACGTGCAGATGATTTATCTATACTATACAGCCACCTTAGCCTTGCCTGATTGATTCGTAGATGATCTCCGACTAGCCGTGAAGGAGCTTGGATCGCGGGATGGGCAATTCTTGATTCGATTTTGACAGTTGCAGTTGAAACAAAAGCGCTGGATCAGATCGCAGGCTGACCTATGTGCGGCGTCATCCGATGTTTCGCATTTGATACAGATGCATTGGTGGTTACTAGTAACTCTGTAGTATGTACATACTACTATTTGGCCTGTTTTGAATAGATCGAACGATACTCAATGAGAATGCTCTATAGATTCTTGAAAATGAATTTGGTTTCAGAGCGATTCACCTCTGGCCCCGAGCATGTTTAACGCCTAAACAAGAAATCCATGGCTCCCAAGTCACGAGAGTTCAGTCTCCTCGTATTCTACCTGAGACACACTTCCGCACGATCAGGCCCTTTACCACGTTTCGCATCGCAACATCGCAACATCTCGCCATTTTGCATAGACAAAAACATCAAAACACCCCCTCTTCAAGATGACGATGCCACTGACTCACATCTGTCATCTCGCCCCTGCAGATGCATCGGCACAGCCGCGATAAGAGCGGCTTACCGTGATCTCACCCTACACGTGGCCGTGGCTGCGCAAGAGCCCCTTCGTAGCTGAAAATACATGGATGATATGCTGAAAATAGCCTTGGAAAGAGGAGTCGTGTTCGAATCCGAGGTCCCTTTCGGCCGCCAACCCGGATTCCAACCCTGCGGGGCTACACTTCGGCCCCAATAACCCAAAGGCAATAGAAAGCGGGGGCTCATTTAAGTCGTTGTGAAATCAGATGCGATGAAGAAACGCAATGATGACGCCAAGTCCAAAAATAATGGACCAACGACCAACACGAACGTCAGCACGCTTGACATGGTCCTTATCCACGGTACTTGTACGGTCTGTACACTTACGAGACTCCCTCCGCCTCCCTACGGCCAGTGCCTGGCGATAATAGCCGGATATTTCCATCAGATCAACAATGTCCAAATCGAGCCCCGGGAGCGGTGGACCACAAAGGCACTCACTTCCCCCCCAATCGCAGTGTATCCCAGCTACCTGGACACACTCCGTAGGGCGAAATCCCGCCGAGCGCTCGGACAACACCGTCGTCACCTTGGATCATTTCCTGCCTGATTCTCTTGCTCTCTTAGACACTTGTGGGGCCATATCTGTTAGTCTGCCAGATTATCGATTTGCGCATACCTAGGCTACGCCGGCGCCATGCGGCCATAGGATGCACGCCGATAGAAGAGGTACCCTGTTGAAAGCGAATGCTTTTGCCTGGCGTCATATACGCAGGCACGCAAAACACACCCCGCTCTGTTATTCGTCGCACTAGAGTAACGCCATGTGCGAGTCTCCATCGTGCAATCATATCTTCCTTGGCTATTATGGTCCGAAGATTGTCATAATCTCGGGTCGATATGATCCAGTCATGCACCTAAGATGTACATCCTGCATTGGTGGCTATCTGCACGAGCGGGATGCTCGATAAGATGTCAACGACGCCGTAAGATCGGATTGACTAGTGGCTGGGGTTGATTGATGGCCGTTGCAAAAGGGTACGGAGTACGGAGTACAAGTAGTACATTGTCCATGATTCATCATCTATAAGGTGAATGTCAAGGTATCCACTCCGAAATTAGCCCCGTCGGTGCTGGTGCTGGCAAGGTCAAAGTCGCTGTCACCGAAAAAAGGCCGTGCGGAAATCATGGTCGAGCTGAACTTGTATCCATGCTACACAGGACGTATGCATTATGGCGGCGAAATGCTAGTGAAACGAGCGGGCGGGGCGCGGTGTTTCATCGGGTACTACGGCGCTATCCCACTATGGACATTCCTCAGGGATTTTTGTCTGGGGTTGGAGATTATGCACGACATAGAATGATGATAAGACAAATTGCTCTGCTGGGGTATATTAAGTCTATGATACATGCCGGTGATTCAAATTCGGCCCAATGCATGAGGCTAAAGAACAAAGGAAAAACAAAAGACAGCAAAAAAAGAAAACAGGCCTAAATGAAGTATTACAAAAGATTGAAACAGTCGATGTGGCCGGGCAGAACGACATGCAAGCAATGTAGTAGATGAAAAAAGAATAATCGAAAAAGAGAGAAAAAGGCGCAAGGTGCGGAGATCCATGCAAAGTGACGCACAGGCGATGAAGCGATCAAGGCCCAGCTGATCATGGCGAGACAAGGACCAAGGTGGGTTGCAGGCTTGCAGAGCCAATTGCTGCGGCCGCTAAAAGTCGAGTGCGTCTGTTCTCCGCATCGTGTCAAAGAGCTGAATTCGAGATCCAACGGTAAATTGACCCCCGCACGAAGTAGTCCCGCCGGTCGGAAATGGTGAAACACGGACCGGTGAGAAAACAGGTGAAGTGAAAAGAAAAAGAAAAAAAAAAGATGAAGAAAGAATGGGCTAAAGATGCAAGAGGTCGAGGGCCTTAGGGCGCCGGCGCTCTGGGCCCCCCATCGCAATGACCGTAAGATTGAGAAAGTGAAAATGTGGAAGGTTATTCTCCACGCTTGAAGGCGCAAGCGCTTCCTCTTCCCCCGCCGGTATTGAGGGCGTGCTGTAAGGGGAGAGGGACCGGAATCCGCGTGTCGTAAGATGTCTTATCAGGAGATCTTACTGCAGCCGGATGGACCGGGTGGTTTGGAAAGGGTGGGATTAATAGAGTTATCCGAGTCGAGAACAAAGAATCGTGTGCGGAGTAGCCGAAACCAGATCGAGATCGAGGTCATTTCATATCCATGCCGAGGAGAGGCTCAGGTCGTGAGCGCATTTGGCAAAGCCAGAATGCGCCAGAGTCATCACAGTCATTTGGGAGAGCTGTTTATTTCGGCAGAGGAGGGAGAGGGCCCTTTGGAGGAGGTCCAGGGCAGGGAGGGAACTGAGCGCCGACGGAAGGCATCTTGGACAGAGTGGTGAGGGTGGTGAGGGTGTTGAGGTGGTGAGGGTGGTTATCGTTGATGTTGTGATGGGTTGTAGTGGCAGTGAGGGATGCTCAGGTAGTAGTGGTGTGTCTAGTAGTGTGTGTACTAGGAATAATAGTAGACGATAGTAGTTGGTGAACCGAACTTGAGAAAAAAAGCAAGTCGAGGAGCACGAGCGTTACTTATAAGCCAGAATGGATCTCCCAAGCCCCAGTCACCTTACTCCGTACAGTAGGACTAATTTACATTAGTGCAGCTGCTAAGTCCCCCCCCATCGAGCATCCCTGCCATGAACAGGAGGCTGAGTATCCACCTGATCTGACGTAGGAATTATTGCGATTTACTTAGCGCGTCGGGGACCGATGGATAATGCTGCCCTAACCGGAAATCCAATGGAAATTCCCTAGTTTTTCTAGAAGCTCCCCACTCCAATTCCCGTGTGGCGCTACTCTGTCTCTGGTGAACCAGGAGAAAGGGGACTGGTGAGACACCAATCCGCCCAGTTTCCAATCTTACCGCCATGCACCAATTACCTGCTTCTCTGTGCTCTCTGTTCTCTGACAGACCTACTCTACGTGAGGGCTACTACCTGCTGCATCTTCCGTTTGTTTGGGGGGTTTCACGGGACGTTCGCCCGAATAATTATGAAACCACATGAGGTGACAACTGGTAATGGGCAATCTCCCGTGGCTCCACCTCAGGCTCCATCGGCACGGTTCCTCGATGCGGTGAGCGTACGAAAAGTGAATGATTCTTTTTTTTTTCTTCTCCATTTATTTTAGAACAAAAAGAAAAAAAGGAAAAAGGCGTTTGGGTCGAGTTGTACAACTTCAATCAGCACAGAGTTCTTTCAAGACCGGGCCCAAGCGGTACTTTGTAGAGAGATACGGGAAACAGGTGACTCAATGAAGGGACTTACAACCCGCGACTGAAAGGGGCCAAACCCGGGAACCAGGGTTCATCCAGTGAGCTCACATGTATGGTCGATCGGTGGGAAATCGACAAACCAAAAAAATAAAAAATAAAAAATAAAATAGAAAAATATAGAAAAATAGAATAATAAGGCAAGAAGTGGAAAATCCCCATACTCGACCCATCGAGTTAGGCCCGGGTTTACACCGATCTTGTCGTATCATGACAGCCCGCCCAAAATGCCGGGATTCTCAGCACAGAGCAGGAAAAAGATCAGGATGATCAGGATAAGCTGTTCGTGGCGCAGGTACTCTCGTAAGACTGCTGATTCGATAGCAAAAAATTTAACTCTCAACCCGGGTACTTGGGAATAGAAAACCACAAGATATAGCTGACACGTCAACAGAATGTATCTGCCTTCAAAACAAGTGTTCAGATAACCGTCCGGGGTGGGCTTCCATCCCAGTGGCTTATTCCTCTAAAAAAAAAAAAATCTTTCCTTTTTTGCCCGTTTTCCCCCCTCTCTCCCTCTCCCTCATTAACTTGCTTTTTTGCCTCCCCCTGAGACTAAGGACTAAAATAGCCAAGGGGGGGTTCAGACTGACCCATCCACGTACCGTGGGTCGTACCCGTGGGAGGCCGCACTGGCAAATAACCTGGTGAATATTATTAAAGATGGAGTTACTCCATACATTCTTGTCACGGGTACCTGAAGCTAAGCCCTCTGGGACGATAGTGTAGTGTAGAGGCTAAGGTACCACTCTTTAGCAAGCGAAGATTTTGCCTCCCGGGGAATTTATTTTTTAAATGGGTCTTATCGGTGGGTTACAAATAGAATGCGTCCTAAAGCGGACCCGAAATTGAGTCGTCACTTACTATGCAACGCTAAAACTCTCAACACACACACACACACACACACACACACACACACCGGAGAACAGAGCCGAGTCACCTCCGCTATGGCTCGAATGGGATGTGAGATCATCTCACTTCTGCAGCATTGCAGTAGTGGCGGGGGGAGAAGAGGGGAAAGGGACAGTGCATTGCATTGCACATCCTCATTTGATGTCAGTGGGACAGGTTTGCCGTGAATGTCGCTGCCTCTTTGCAGCAGGGAGTAGTACTCCGTACTCCATACCTACAGTAGGTCATTATGGGTACGGAGCATGAAGGTCCTGAAAAAACCACAAGTTCGTCGGCAAGACATTCTCCCCAGGGTTGATCCCGCACATCACTGGGCCGGGTGTTTCACGATTAGCAGATCCGCTTTGTTTTCTCATATAGAGGCGTCGATTGCGTGCTCAACCTCGGATCGCCCTTGGCTGTGGTTGTTTATTTGCAAGGCTATCAGTACAGGGGGTGTACGTACGATTGGTTCATATTGATATGTAGAGAGTACAAGTGCGTAGTAGTCAGTAGTCTACGGAATATAGAATAGAGAGCGCAGTAAGTATTCCGTACGTACGTGTGCATGGGGGCGGCAGATCTCCGAGCTGGAGAAATGTCAACCAAATTCAAATTCCGTCCCTCCAACTCCGAATCCTCCGGCAAGTCTCGGAAAGTGGAAGCGCGAAAGGGAATCCCCGCAAACTCCGGATTCGGATTCCGTTTGCTCGGTGTACAGAAGAACAGAATGGAAGAAACTCAAACCATAGTTACATACATATGGAGTAAAAACCAAACGAACACACGAAACAAGCACCAGAAGGAGAGAAGATATGTACTCGTAATACGTGGAGTAGTCAATAATAAGACAAATAATTCAAGAGGCGCGCATGACCACAGCCCTATGCGGTAATAGTAATGCCAATGGATGTGCGGTGGGAGTTGCGGTCGGACTTGTCCGTGCAATCGGGATTTGCGATTTTGGCTCAGTGCTGAAGGAATGAAAGCGCGAAAGCGTTCCTGGCAGGTGGTTGAGTTCGCGGCTCCTGCGGTTCCAATCAGGCACCCTAGTGGAGTTAGCGGTGGCGATACCTTTGTTGAAACTGGCATGGCTGCGAAAAAACTTCGACACGCTAACGAGTCACAAACTTCAATAAACGAGTCTGAAAGGGAATAGTAGGGCCTCGTGGGGATCCACCGTGCGATGGAGTGGGCCGCCGTTCCGCGCCGTTGGAAACGAGAGACCGAGGGAAAAATAACTGAGTTGTGGAGGTCTCGGGAAAAAGGAGAGGGTACGATTGGAACTCGGTGATTTTTTTGGGGTATTCTCCATCCTGCAGGAATCATCTCTGGATCCCCAAACAATTGCCTGTTTGGTTCGGGTCGGTCGCGGATCGCCGCACGTGGCGATGCGGTCTGTTCCCACGGTTCCTGATGCGTGTGATTGCAATTGGCAGCGGGAACTGACTGAGAGTTGACCGATTCGTTACTGATCTACAGAGTACGAGTACAATATATGCTGTACCCCGTACTCGTTGTTATCATCAACAGAGCATACGCAATGGCCGCAGCTTCGCCGGGGCCGTCTCGTCCATGTCCGGCTGGCTGGGGCTTTTTTTTCTCCCGAGCTGAGCGATGTAGGAAGGTATCGGCCGCCGATGGGGGTCACGGGAAAACAGTGGAGGGACGGGCTGTTTCAAGTGGCTCCACCGGGATGACCAGCCTTCTACTTGGCTTCTGGAAAACGGGGAGCCGAGGTTTTGTGAACACCACATGTACTCCGTACAGCCCGTTTCATTCAACCCAGGTGGAACTAAAATCTCGCCTACAACTCAAGATGACGCAGAAAAGGCCACAATTCTACGTGGTCTTTTGAGGGGGAATCACTTTTTCACCTAGTACATATCTACTAGGTAAGAGTCAGCTCCTTGTTCATCACATAGTACCGACGCCTCCGGCGCGTACATTATAGATCGTAAAAGATATAAAAGTATCCGTACCTAGTCTAAGTGTTCATTCGGTAATCATATCCTTTATATTCGGAGTCACTCTTCGCTCTTCTAATTTCTAATAGCATTCAATGGCGCCTATAGAGATGATTAGTACTAGTAGTTATTAAATACGAAATATTAAGGAAAAGGAAGGAGATAACTTTAGGAGGAGGATGGAGTAAAGCTGAGATATTTTTCTGTTCTATGGATGGGTCTTCGCAAAAAAAAACAAGCTGCGGAAAGATTGAAATCATGAACTTGACCGGGATAAGCCAACCGGGACGGACCATGCCGTCCGGTAGCTTGGGTGAGCAGAATTTGATGCTGCTGCCTCGTGATAGACCATCTACATCCATGGATGTACATACGTACAAAGTGTATCTGGTATACCTGCACAGATACTCTCGAAGTACCTCGAACTTGATTGGATTACTGATATACATACATGGATATATCCAAGGCAGCAAGTTGCCCCGTTGTGTTGCGCCGACATTCTTGAACGATTCAAGAAGCTAGCGGTGTACTCTGAACCACTGAGAGTGGTGAATAACCGCCACCTGTGTAATGATGGCTTGCATCAAGAACTAGGATGTCATAAGCTGACTGCATCCTCATGGCGCTCTGCGGCGACCCGGCTTTCTGTCAGCCAGGGGCGGGATGCTCAAGCTTAGAATTCGCCCAAGTCACAGGTGCGCGTGATGTGGGAGAGCTGGCTTTCGCGATCATGGACCACCTCACCCCTGCTGAAACATGGGGGAATTGTGCAGGTAGGCGGGTGGCGATGCACATAATGAATTGGATATGCAACTCTGCAATTTAGGCATGTGTCACACAAAAGGGGGAGAGAGGGCCTGTAACAGATCACGCCACCGCGGGTACCCGCCGTGAAGATGTGGAGGAAGCTTGGCCTGAAGAATCTCCTCAGCCACACCAGCGAATCTGGAGGCTTTTCTGATCCGCCCAGGTCAGCCTAAGACCTGAAAGGAATCCAGGAACCATCCTAGTCAATCAGTCCTCTTCCAGATCTGGCTGAGCTTGAGTCGATATCCATTCCTCCATTAGAGGCTGCTTCGGCGCCGATTGGTCAGCACTCAGCCGGAGCTTGTCGCCCTTGTGAGAGATAAGCAAACAGAGCACCCAGCCGCAAATGTCGAAGCTCTCGTAATGCGTACTGAAGCCTGCCTTCTTCTCGTTGCTGCCGTCGGGACTGTCGACTGGATCGATTGAAGCAGCTCCTTGCCTTTTACGCAATGAGCGACCACCATCCTGAGCAGTGTCGTCTTCGGCCGTGGGAACATTATGCAAGTCAAACTCAGAATCGTCCTCGCTGTCCATGATTACCTCTGCGTTTGCTAGGGTATTTCCAGCTCCAGTGGGTGCATTTGTGCCATCTTGCTTGTCTGGTTGCTCAAAGTTCTTGTGCCGTGTTAAGAGTGAATGACGGGTGCGCGATTCGCGGAGAAAGATGCTAACTTCGAAGTCATCTACAAGCGAGAAGGCACGGTCAGCTACGACAACCGAGGAAGGGGTAGATGGAGCAGTAGAGCTACTTACCTTCTGAAACGACATCCTTCACTGGTTTAGATTTCTTGCGCATCCAAAGCCGTTCGTTCGCTTCACGTAAACGAGGTCGTACCAACGGGCGGATCGCGGCGAATACGCGTGGCAAGCCAGGGTCACGAGCATCCAAGAGCCATCGGGCGTCAGAAGGTCTATCGGGGTAGATACGGCATTCTATCACCGAGTATTTGCTGATGCGCAAGTAGCGTCGTATGGGAGCCATGGGGAGGGATGTAGAAAGCTAAGCGGGAGTTCCTCAGAGGCTCCCATGTGAGCTCATCGATGATGCCAAGCTGCGTCCCCGCAGAGCCTCTGATTGGCGTTCAGACACCCAAGGGGCATCACCCCTGTGACTGACAACCCTACCCAGCAACTTTAGAATCTGTCCCTTACCATCTCCTGTTTCCCACTATGTGTTCTGGCCTATTTTCATTGCCAATGGATCATACACATACTTCCACATCAGTGACGTTCACTCGATGAAGGCAAGTAGTATTGATTACACGTGACCCTCCAACCACCGCTTGCGGCAAGATGCTGACCGTCCCCAAGGTCCTCATATGAAGTATCTAGTACTTCATTTTGCACCTAAAATGTCAGAAATATGAAGTACCTGGTACTTCATATCTTGACGTCTTCCCGCCAACAAGGTCCCCATGGATCCCACTCTGGGACCCCCGCTGGGATGAACCGGCTATGATTCCCGCAGATTTTGATTTACGTCAAAATTTGTGAATCCGCATTGCTTCCGAGCACGAAGGTCATCGATCTGTTCTCCTTTGTCCTTTACAGCCAGCGTGGGACTTGAGACCAAAACGACAACCGCCGAGATTTTGCTCCGGTCTGCGCAAAGTCTACTCCGTATAACACCACCACCAGCACCACCACCGTTCTCTGCTTCGACGTGGACTCGCTAGAGAGTCTCATCATTGTCTGACCGTTACTTTTCGTGCATCGAATTGTCTGCATCGCTTACCTTAGCGTAATATCTCGCCAGGCCAACCCGGTTCCCCTCTGCGCCTTATTGGACCACCGTGCGTCTACCTCGAGGACCTTGGGGGGTTACGGCCAGTCCAGCGCGACACCCGCACAAAAACTAACCAGCACTATCCTTTCCAACCCCCCCCCGTGGGTGCCCCTCTACGTCAATCGACCTGCCAAATCTTCTCTTGGTTTTTCTTTTCTCCCAAGGTGCTCGATTCTGGTGCAATCAACGTCCACAGCCCCGGATTGCCTGTGAGATCTGAGATTTGAGATCTTGTCGCGCGGCTCATTGCGGCTTCGGTTATTCGGTGCTCATTAAACGCCCAGGAATCCCTGTCGTCTCGGCTATCAGTCACCATGGAAATGGAACCCCTCAACACCCTCTTTAAGCGGGAGGCAGATGCCTGTGATACCGGGAACGAATTCGATGGCCGCATGGGGCTACGGATCTCATCCATCTTCGTCATCCTCATAGGGTCATCATTCGGTGCTCTCTTCCCCGTCTTTGCTCGTCGCTGGAGCAAAAAGAGTGGATTCCCTAACTGGATCTTTTTCGTCGCCAAATTCTTCGGATCTGGCGTTATCATTGCTACTGCATTTATCCATCTTCTGGCTCCAGCCGAAGAATCATTAAAGAACCCTTGCTTAACCGGCCCAATTACCGAATACAGTTGGGTCGAGGGTATAATTCTTATGACTATCATTGTCCTGTTCTTCGTTGAACTTATGGTCATGCGATTCTCCCGCTTTGGTGCGGGCCATGTCCATGATGAGGAAGGTCACACTCACACCCACATTGACTCACCTCCCCTGGTGGAAGAAGTCAGCGAGAACAAGGGCCATCATCACCACAATCATATTATGCCCGGGGAGGATCACCTTGGTCACTCCCGGGAACACCATGACGCCGACGACTCGGAGAAAGACGTTTCTGCAATTGAAGATTATGCCGCCCAGCTGACATCTATCTTCATCCTGGAATTCGGTATTATCTTCCACTCAGTCTTTATCGGTCTCACCCTTGCGGTCTCTGGTGCCGAGTTCACCACTTTGTATATCGTTCTGGTTTTCCACCAGACCTTTGAAGGTCTCGGACTGGGGTCCCGGCTCGCTATGCTTCCATGGCCGCGATCCAAGCGCCACACACCGTACTTCCTGGGGCTGGCCTTTGGGTTGTCGACTCCGATTGCAATTGCCATCGGCCTAGGTGTTCGCAACAGTTACCCGCCCGAAGGCCGGACAACGTTGATCGTCAACGGCGTGTTTGACTCTATATCTGCCGGTATTTTGATTTACACTGCCTTGGTGGAATTGATGGCTCACGAGTTCATGTTCAGCCACTCGATGCGCCAGGCTCCAATCCGCGACGTGCTGGCAGCCTTCACCCTGCTGTGCATGGGTGCTGCGCTCATGGCTGTTCTAGGTAAATGGGCATGAACCTAATGACTTTGATTTTGTTGGCTTTTTGAGATATCAAGAATCTTTTTCCCCCCCTATGATATTGCGTACACAAAAACGGAGGGGAGTGTGATGATGTATCCCCCATGCATGCATTGATACCCGTGGGAGCAACTTGGCGTTTGGGAAGGACTGGCGTTATGAATATAAACTGTACTTAGCCTCATATAAGCCTCATATAAACGAATATGTTCTGATTAGTAGCTACAATACGTGACCCTTTGGGAGTAATTATTCAAAGTTCCAGACACACCCGCTAGCCCTACCCTAGGGGAGGCCCTAGGGTAACCTTGGGTAGTGGTCAAGTCAAAAGATAAGATCTTTGTTTCCGCCCCCACCCGCCTATCATTACCTCCACCGGCCGCATGTGGCACATAGTAGTTATGTGCCACTTCCTAAGGCAGCGTCCAATGACAGCCACGTTACACAATGACCGGTCTAGGGTAAGCTTTGCCTGGCGCTATAGGGCTAGTGCTTGGACTACAACAACGCCCCTGAACGGTGACCCCGCGTTCTGTCCCCTCCAGCAGCTTTCAAGCATTTGTTGCCGCGTCTACTCCGTCCTCCCTGACAAAAGTCCACTCCTATTAAGCCCGTGACTGTCACGGCACCTCCAAAAAGAATGGCTATCGACGATGTGCAACCCGAGAGCAAATCCGTTGTTGCCGAGGTTCTAGAGCCTACCGGCTCCCATACCGCCGATCCCTCGCGTGAGGTCTCGAGGAAGCGGCAGAGCTTGTCGGATCTGTTTACTATTGTGAGTGGAACACCCAAGCAGCTGTATATTGTCTTATTCTCGCATAAAACTCATGGTCCATGACCTAGTTCGCAAGTGGCTTTGCCCTGATCAGCGATGGATACCAGAACAATCTGATGTGAGTTTACACCCACCTGGGAGAACCCTGAGCATCAACTTATACTCAGCTGGCCATAGGACTATGGCAAATGTCCTTCTCAAGAAAGAATATCCCAAGGAATATACCTCGACTGTCAGTACGCGCGTGTCCAACGCCCTGCTCGTGGGCGAAATCATCGGTCAGATTGTCATCGGGTACGTGTTGGTTCCTACAGTTCATAGGCGGGAGTCAATAATGCGCGTTCTCCAGTATAACATGTGACTATCTTGGTCGCAAGACTGCCATCGTGTTCACCACTGCTATGATTGTCGTTGGGGGCATCCTTGCTACTGCATCTCATGGAGTTACCATTAACGGCATGTTCTGGATGATGACAGTCGCCCGTGGCGTTGTTGGATTCGGTGAGTCTCAATTCATTGACTGAGGCTCTCAAATTATACTCCAGCGCTAACGCGTATGGCTATTTTCAGGTACTGGCGGCGAGTATCCAGCATCTTCGACCTCGGCTTCTGAATCAGCCAACGAGCTGACACCCAAGCATCGCGGGCCGGCATTCATCATGGTGACTAACTTCCCTCTCAGCTTCGGTGGACCATTTGCGGTATCAATCTTCTTGATCGTTCTGATGGCGTGCCATGAATCACACTACAGTACTGTATGGCGAGTATGCTTCGGTATCGGATGTATCTGGCCACTGTCCGTCTTCTACTTCCGCATCCGCATGCTAAATTCGACTTTATATCGCCGCGGAGCGATCAAGAAACATGTCCCTTATCTGCTTGTTCTTCGCTATTACTGGAAAGCTCTCATTGGAACATGCGGTGCTTGGTTTCTTTATGGTAAATTTTCCCCGCACCTCACTCACGATACCACTTACTGATGTGTTCTAGACTTCGTGACCTTCCCAAACGGTGTATTCTCTGGAACTATCATCTCAGAGGCTACAAAGGCTGGTTCTGTTCGCTCAACAGGCGAATGGCAGCTCCTTCTTGGGGCAATCGCTCTGCCAGGCGTCTTCCTCGGTGCGTTCCTCTGCAACCGAGTCGGGCGCAAAAACATCATGATGATCGGCTTCGGCGGCTACTTGATATTTGGCCTGATTATTGGAAGCTCATATGACAAGATCACAAAGATAATTCCGCTCTTCGTCGTCTTCTACGGGCTCATGCAAAGTTGCGGCAACTTTGGTCCAGGGAATATGCTTGGCCTTTTGTCATCTGAGGCGTATGCCACTGGCGTGCGCGGTACATGCTACGGACTCTCAGCGGCTATTGGCAAGACAGGTGCAGCGATCGGAACGCAGGCCTTCCAGCCCATCGCGACCCATCTTGGCAAAAGATGGACGTTTATCATTGCAGCGATCTGTGGTATCGTGGGGATCTTAGTGACCTATTTCTTCGTACCGGATCTCTCGGGCGAGGATCTGAGAATACGCGATGAGCAGTTTCGAGTGTATCTTGTGGCGAATGGATGGGACGAAGCCATGGGAGAGGATGACCTGCAGGCGAATGCGGATGATGGTGTCACGATCGCCGACACAGCCCAAAAGAAAGATGGTGATGGTGGTGAATGAATGAAGCGCTTGCTTCTCTAGATCTATCAAAGGTTATATCGCTACTACCCTACCTAGATAGGGGGAATCCTCATCTATCAAAAAGCTGATTAACTGTAGAGTAAGATTAGTGTGGACCTAAACATACGGGACATGGAGCCGTTACCTCGACAACCACTATTTAAGATACGATCCTGAATCGCTTTGTATTCCACAAGTCAAGGACACATCTCAAGAAAAAGCCGGCGACAATTTCCATTCTATCCAATCCAACATCAAGGAATCCGTCCTACCCAACTCACGGCCTATGTACATTCATTACTGAGCGGCCCCACCAGGCGCAGGCCCACATGCTCCGCACCGCCAGACAAACGTGGTCTCCCCCGAGTTCCCCCTCGGTCGTTCCTCATCTCCCCAATTCAATCAACGTCCCTTCAATTCCTCTCAAATAACCTACTCAATACCTACCACTATGCGTCTCGCCAGCATCTTTCTCTCCCTCGCCTCCCTGGCCTGCGCCGCCGAGTTAGGCATCGAAACCACCCACAAGGTCGAATGTACCCGCAAGACACAAAACGGCGACGGTGTCTCCATGCACTACCGCGGTACCCTCCAAGACACCGGGAATGAGTTCGACTCTAGCTATAAGCGCAACTCTCCTCTGAGCTTCAAGCTCGGTACTGGTCGTGTTATCAAGGGGTAGGTTTACACCCAATGATGGGAGCTGAATGGATAATTCCTAGCGGTGCAATGGATTCCCTTCGCAGCTGCTCGTTGCTGGGTATTCTTTTTGCTAGGAATTCCGGAAACCTTTACTTCTATCTGTAAAATGGTTCAAGTGCGCTAACTTTCTGCCTATTTCTAGATGGGACCAGGGTCTTTTGGATATGTGCATTGGTGAGAAGCGTACTCTTACCATCCCTCCTGAGTTCGGCTACGGTGACCGTGGTGTCGGTCCCATTCCCGGCGGCGCGACTCTGATCTTCGAGACCGAGTTGGTCGGCATTGATGGCGTTGACAAGGATGAGCTGTAAGCTCTGACATCAAGGTTGACCATTTGCTATGTAAATGTCCTGCGAGAAGGTATATTGCTGCGGCATAGATATAAAATCAACATATACCCTGAACAAATTCAGTTTGGATCCAATTTTCAATGTCATGCCATTCGTCGATAGGAAGGGTATCTCTTCTAGTTCATAAAAACAATGCAAATATGTGTACATGGGGCCATAGAACGAGCAAATGTCGGTATGTACGGGTCATCTCAGAGACATGACCAAGCAGCTCTATTAGTCCATCGCATCGAGCGCATTCTCCGCCTGGCCATCATTCTCCGAAACAAGAATCCCAACGAGACACTCACTTAGAATCCCATCCCAGTTGACCCACGGGTGAATCTCCTGAAACAGTTGAGCGGAGTCCTTCCCCGCGCCGCGGAGGAGTTCGCCCTTCCCACCCGGGTGGTAGGGCACATAAGGTTGTATATTATAGACCTTCCCTTGGTACGAGGTCCAGGCGTCGCGACCCTTCCGCCCATTATGTACCTTCAGCATCGACGGGGTGACGCGCATATACCCGGGTGGCATGTTCGCACCTCGGAGTTGGTTTTTGGGATTGGCAGCGAGCGCTGCCCAGTCCAGGGGCGAGAATCCGGGGTCAAGCACGACTTTGCGCGATGCGGAGGATTTCTTGACCTGGACCGGGGCGAGGGTGCTATTGCTGAGACGACTTCCGCCGTTGCTCTGTGGGGCGCGCAGGCTAGCTGCTGCGGATGGAGGTGGGCGGAGGGAACTGCCGGCGCTTAGTCGAGGGGGTTGGAGTTGGTTTGTGGGTTGGCTGCCGGTTGGCCGCAGACGGGGGACTGAAGGTGGAGGCATCATTGAAGATGTGTTTGTTCGGGGTGTTGCAGAGGGTGTTTGTTGCTTGGCTGAGGACGCTGGAGATGGCATGAGCGGCTCCTGAGATGTGTTCATGGCAGATCTATTGCTGGACTCTGAGTAAATAGTCTGTTTCGGCGCCCCGCTGAGGCCTTTAGCCGACGAGGTTGCGTTGTTAGATGTGTCATTGTCGTTGCTATCCCCGTTCAGGTTCAGTGTTGGAACTGCAAGGACGGGAGGCGGCGCACTCGATGCCGATGCCTTGGGTGTAGTCTGGGGGGGATTCTTCCTCGGTCTCTATCGAAGGCAGGTTCGGGTAATCTCCGTCGTGACTCGCCGGTGCATCGTTGACAGCAGTTACGGAGGAATCCTCGGATCTCGAGTCCGGCGGGGCAGAAGGGGTCGAGGGTTGGGCTGAAGAACGGCCGGTATAACGAGAGAATATGGATCCGGCGGTTGCGAAGAGAGACCCCATTCCTACTCAGTCCGATCTGGACTTGACAGGGGGAAACGGGGAGAGGATAGGTGAGGGAGTCGTGTGATGTTCGGGATTATCTATCGATTATCGTCAGGTCTCTGCAGATTCGCTCAAAGTATTTGGGTGGCCCGTGCGCTCCGATCGAGATCGCCTGGGCATCGCACCAGATTGATATCAACGCGACATGCAGTCATCTTTATGTTAACTTACAGCTTAATTATCTATCGGAATTTATTTCTGCTTGGATTGCCATTTTGGGTGGATTTTGACCCGATTGATTTAGTTGGTGTTATACTTCTAGTAGTATTAATATGCGCATTTATGTACTTGTAGTATAACCTGAAGTATGGCCGTCGAGCCATTATTAAACACCACCAAGACCGATCAACTTTACAGCGCTCACCTGGACAGGGAATTGAACTGGCTTCTCATCACTTATCGTGAGGTTCTGAACTACAGATACTATCTTGAATGTGCGCATGGCAAATAACATGATGTCAGCCTAGCATCACTGCCCAGCTGTCGGTCACTCAGGCGTGAGTCAAAGGAAGGTCAGGGAGGTCTTGATCCTTCAAAATAACCAGTGCTACCTACTGCAGGATGGTTTTCGCACACTGAGCACTCAGGATCAGATGTTTCAGACCGCGCTCATGTCTAGCTCGGATGCGGTGACGCTTTTCGATGCCGGAGTTGGCCAGGTATATCGAAATTGAATGCGAAGGCCCCTGTCGATCTAAACAGGCGACTGACCATTGCAGGCACAAGGGAGTCGAGATCGTCAGGAGGATTACTATACTGTAATCCGCCCGGAACAGTTCCCCGCCGAGACTCAAGACAAGCTGGCGTTCTTCGCCATTTACGATGGACAGTGAGACACCTGCCATTTCCACTTCTCTACCCCTCCCCCACAGGCACCTTCCTAATCGGACGCTGTAGTGGTTCCGGACTGGTTGCAGACCACGCAAGCAAGCAGCTGCACCGCTTACTTGCTCAGAGACCTGAATTCGAACAAGGCGACTACGCCGGGGCCCTGAAGGCGGCTCTCGCCGACGAGGATGGCCTGTTGCTGGAAAGCTTCAAGCACGACAGCGCGGAGCCTGCGTTGTCTGGGTCGACCGCAGCCATCTGTTTGATTAACCTTACTGCAGGCGAGCTAGTGGTGTCTAACTTGGGCGATTCGCATGTTCTCTTGGCTGAGCGGGATCCGAAGACGGAGTGCCCGTATCATATCGTGGGTGTTCACCCCCTCTTCTCCGTCCCCCTCCCTCTCTCTCCACTAGACAAGGAAGGCTGATAGCAACAATGCATTGGTTGGGTTAGCGACGAATCACAGAGGCACATAAGCCCGAGACGCCTAGTGAACGAGCCCGAATCAAAGAGGCTGGAGGTAGCGTGGAGATGAGGAGCGGTGTCCCGCGGGTCGGTAAGAGGATGCCTGCATTGATTAGACTCGGGGGCTAAGAGGGCTAATTCCTGGAATGCATGAGCGGCCAGGTAGGATCCCTGAACATGTCCCGCGCGCTAGGCGACCTGCAGTACAAAACGCCGGTGAACAGTGCGGAGGATGATAACTCGATGCTCCGCGACCGACGCGCCTCCTCGTCATCGAAGCCTACCCAAGGAGACTTTGTATCCAACGACCCATATACCTCACGGCGGAAATTGCAATCGAACCGACGCTATTTGTTGGTAATCGTGTCGGATGGGGTCAGTAACCAGGCCGACGATGGGGCTTTGATTCAACATGTGATGAAGTTGGCGATGCGGGGGATGCGAGCGGGCGATATTGCACAGGATATCGCCACCAATAGTGCCAATCACCCGCAGAGCGACAATTCCACCTGTATTGTCGTATTGTTGGATGGACAGTTCAGCTGATGGGAGCCTCATCTCAGGAGATAAGAGAGATCTTGAGCATCCCATGGGATGGGAACTACTAAAACAAACAGAGCCCTCTCCAAATGGATCGAGGCGTTTAACCTCTTTCCCTCTTTCAAAAATAGTAGAAAAGCAAAGAAAAGAAAAGGAAAATAAATGGGTCGAAAAGTCCCCAAAAAGAAAAAGGTCCACCCCGGGGGGATTGTGTTATGCAGCGAGGTTGTGGCCAGTCAGCGGTGAGGATTGGCTCCATCCTTACCGAATCAAGAAGGTGGTTTCTGTGGCGGATCGGGGCCAGGGACAGAATTTTCTGGATTGCTGTTGCGCATAAGTTATACATTCAGGTTTGACGAATAGGATTGAATCATAGGCTTTTCTGCGGTCCACTTGGATTGTCCCGCTCGGCGAAATCCAGTGGATTGTATCGGCCAGCTTGCCCCTAAGGGAATCTCATCTCGATCGCGGTGGCGTGCTTTGGGTTTGCTCGTATCATCCTCGTGTCCTTAAGAGGGAGGTCGTTCGGACTTTCCGAGCAATAGCGATGGATCCTAGCCCACTGCTTCTAGAGTGCTCTAGAGTGTTTTAGGGGTGTCTAAGAGTCTAAATACTTCAAGTTGGTAGTAATTGGTACTACAGTACTACAGTGTTACGTAGGTGTTATGATCTTGATGCCACCATCCCAACTAGTACTCCATACATACTCCATAAAATACTCCAAATCTCTCCAACAAGCCATTCTTGAACCATTCGGTTAGACAGTAGAGACCCCGCTGGACAGGGTTAGTGAATACTACGAGTACTCGTACTACGGAGGATGTACTTACTAGTCGGCGGATAAGAGAGGTCCCTTCGCTCCCGTCGGGGTGGCCCGCCACTTTTCCCCCTCTCCCTCTTCTCCCTCTTCTCTCCTTCTCCTCCCCGGGTTGATTTTGCGTCTGTGCCGATGCGCGGATTCGATTTCACGAGATTGACTCTCCCAGGGGCGCACACTCGTCCTATTCGTGACCTGTCATTCCCGTTTAGGCAGGCCAGAGAAATCGGTTCCCAAGAGTGGAGTCACCTTGCAAACAAGCTTGAGTAAGATCCGGCACTAACCACCTTCCCTAACCGTACATCTGGAAGAGGATCCCAGTACGAATACTTCAAATTCCCTGGCTCTCCCTTTTTCGATTGTTTCATCGTCCTTCGACTTTTCAGTACACACACACACACACACACACAACCCCACTCCTACAAATATTTCCATAGTACCCTACTAGGTGCCCTCTCTGCTCTGCGCTGCCTGGGGTTCGCCGACTATGAGTTCAACACAGACCCAAACTCAAACAAACGCCATGTCTTCTACCGAATGGAAGAACTTCCATGTTGGACGCGATTGTGGCCATGTGAAATGGTCTCGGAAAATCGAACCCAAGTTGACCGTCTCTTCCGGTGAGACCGTTAGCTTTGATGCCATCGACAGCAGCAATGGTCAACTCACCCCCAGCTCGGATGCCTCAGCCATCAAAACGCTGGACCTCGGCATTGCCAACCCTGTCTTCGGTCCGATCTACGTGAAAGACGCCCAGCCTGGTGATGTCCTCAAGGTTGAGATCTTGAACCTCGAAGTTGCCGACTGGGGTTGGTCCGCCATCATCCCCGGCTTTGGTCTGCTGGCGGAGGACTACCTGGAACCCGAGATCAAGATCTGGTCACTCGACCGTGAGAAGGGCTACGCACAGTTTAATAACATGCGTATTCCCCTTCGTCCATTCCTCGGATGCATGGGACTCGCCCCAGCCGATGACTCCGAGTTGTCGACCGTGCCTCCCACCCACGCAGGTGGCAACATGGATTGCCGCGAACTGAGCGTTGGCTCAACCGTCTATCTCCCCGTTCAAACCGCCGGTGCCTTCTTCAGCTGTGGTGACGGCCACGCCGCCCAGGGCCACGGTGAAGTCTGTGGTACCGCGATTGAGACCCCCATCAAGGCTACCCTTCGTTTCGAGCTTTGCAAGAACCAGCCCTGGGTGACCGCACCCCAATACCAGACTCCTCCTCGCTCCCAAATACCAAACCCGCTCCCCGATCTCGGTACCTACGGTGCTCTGGGTGTGTCGCCAGACCTATACCAGGCCGCGAAGAGTGCCACCCGCAGCCTTATTCAGTGGTTAGTCTCGACCAAGGGACTTACTCGAAGTGAGGCATACATTCTGGCCAGTGTTGCCGCAGACCTTCAGATCGCCGAAGTGGTCAATGTGCCCAACTTTGAAGTAGCTGCCAGTCTTCCCTTGGGAATCTTCAGCTAAGCTTGATTTTGATTTTGTGTTGATGTTGGCGTGATACCCAGGCTGTCGAGTGATCAATTCCCCCTCTTGTACATACATTGTTACTCGACTTAGCCTTTTCATACTCTCTTGCATGGGCGGACGTGGCTGGAGTACTAGGCTTGTGATAGTCAATGCATACTAATTGTTTTACTTGGAGATGTTCAAGCTTTCATGAATATAATTATCTCGAAACTTCAACGCCCATTCTATAGCTAGGCATAGCGTAGTATGTCGACTGGCCGTTCGGCTTTCTGCATCCCCGACTCGGACTTCATTATGGAGCCCACCAAAACAGAGAAAGCATTTTCCTTTAAATAGAGAACATTATCATTCAAGGCCAAATAAACCTTAGAAGCTATCTTAATTTTTCACAGTCGACCTTGAAGTTGCTAGTCATGTATGTATGTATGTATGTAAATCACATGACATCGCGCCTCATTCGCGTCACACTCGCCAAGGCAAAACCGCTCGGAACCAACCAAGATCCCAGAGATCTCGAATGCCATGGATTCTATTCTCGATGGCCTCAATCATGCCCAGCTTGAAGCAGTCACCTCTGATGCACCTATTTTGCAGGTGCTCGCGCCACCAGGCTCTGGCAAAACCAAGACATTAACCGCACGCGTCGCGTATCTGCTCTCACATCATGGATACTTACCACAAGACGTCATCTGTTGCACTTTTACCATCAAAGCAAGTCGAGAGATGCGCGAGCGTCTTGCGAAATTAATCGGCGCACAATCAGAATCGCGGCTTATTTTGGGTACTTTTCATTCGATCTGTCGGCGCTATTTGTGCAAGTATGGCTACAAGATTGGTCTCCCAAAGGGATTTGGCATTGCGGATTCGGACGACACTCGAGGAATCCTTCGAGTGAGTTTGCATATATTCGAATTTGAGACTGTCTACTAACGAAACATTTTTTACCAGAGAATCATCAAACGTTTGAATTCTAGCATGGAAGTCAAGGCTGCCCAAGGGCGCATTTCACGCCATAAAGCCCATGGGCTCACTCCTGATGCACTAGAAGGTCAAGTCAAGGCAGAGGAAATGGAGCTGGTGGATATATACCGTTCTTACGATGCTGCACTGAAAGCTTCGAATCTTCTCGACTATGACGATCTACTCGTGCGATGCAGTGACCTCCTCAGAGAGCACCCAGAGTGCGTATCCAACGTGCAAGCGGTTTTAGTGGATGAGTTTCAAGATACGAATATCATCCAGTATGAGTTGATGAACCTTTTCGCGGCGAAACACCGACGAATTACTATTGTCGGAGATCCAGATCAAAGTATCTATGGTTTTCGGTCGGCGGAGATCCAAAACCTGAGGCGGATGCAGCGGCGGTACACAAACACGAGGACTATCTTCCTCGAGTCGAACTATCGCTCTTCAGCTTCAATTCTCAACTCTGCCCAGGAAGTGATTGAGCAGGATACCTCGCGGCCCGACAAAAAGCTGCAACCTACCCATTCCTTCGGCACTCTGCCTGTGCTCAGAAAACTTCCTACTGCCAATGCCGAAGCCCTCTGGATGGTTCTCGAAATCAAGCGATGTGTTGCAATGACAGGTGGTCTTGTGCGGATGTCTGACATTGCAGTGTTACTCCGGTCAGCTTCCCTGTCGACGCGTATTGAGACGGCATTTGGACGAGCTGGTATTCCCTACAAAATGGTGGGAGGCCGGAAGTTCTTCGATCGGACAGAAGTCAAGACACTCCTCAATTATCTCCGAGTCGTGAGCAATACGGGCCATACAGATGCCTTGCTCGGCATCATCAATGTGCCACCACGCAGAATTGGCGATGAGACTATAAAACAGTTGACAACTGGTGCCGATAAGGCTAAAGTTCCTTTGTGGTCATTCCTGAAAGATGTTATTCAGGGCCGTCGATCGACTGAAAAGAAGCTTCAAAAGGCGGCTGAGCTAGGACTGTGTTCACTAGTGAAGCTTATCGACGCCTCGAGGCAAAAATTGCAGGACTGTCAAGACGCTTCCGCCCCGCGTGTACTTCTCGAATACATCACAGAAAATCTCTCATTCCAGGAGTATCTTATGAGAACCTATCCCCTGGACGAAGACGGGCGCTGGGCGAACGTGAGAGAATTGATGGGTCAAGCCAACGAGACCGCACTTTCAGGCGAGGATGCGGACAAGGAGAACGATTTACCTGAGATCGAAGGCATTGAGCAGTCAGCGATGCACTTGGGGGACGAGGCTCTGTCTCGATTTTTGGCCAATGTCGCTCTTTCTACGGAGGCACAAACCCAAAACGAGGGCAAAGAGGGTGAGCAACCACCAGAGACTGTCACAATTTCCACAATACACGCGGCAAAAGGCCTAGAGTGGCCTGTTGTTTTTATACCAGCTGTGTACAATGGGAGTATTCCACACTCGCGGGCTGAGGTGATTGATGAAGAAAGACGTCTTCTCTATGTTGCGATGACGCGAGCACAAGCTCTATTGTATCTCAGTCTTCCTCTGCGACAGCCACGAATTGGAGAAGGAGAGGACGCATCCACCACGCTGACGCCATTCCTTCCGCCCAAAGTCACGACGACCCGGTTTCGTCCCAAGGGACCCAACTTGCACGAGAAAGTGGTATATTCGATCGCTGATATCCTGCGGCGTCCGCGGCCATCGCCAGAGGACATGTACAAAACGCTCGATACGCTTCCGTCGACACTTGATGATAAGTGGACGGCCGAAGGAGAGGAGAAACGAGATCTCGATAGTCAATGGGACAAAGGCGACAACTCCGCTGAAGGGCCATGTCCTAAACGACGGCGAGCTGAGGGCAACCAGTCTACCTCGACGACATTCATGTCAGCTAACATCTACAACATGAGTAACTCATCGAACTTCATTGCCCCTACAACCATGTCATCCGGCTTTTCATCTGCTCGGGATTATGCTGCGAGCTCAGCTGCCAGTCAGGAGGCCATTACGGAGGATAAACCCAATCTTGTCAAGGAACCAATCTCTGCAACTAAAGGGAAGAGCGCCAGTGCCAAAGATGGCCTTACTCAGGCCAGTATTTCCAACTTCTTTGGCGGTCCAGGATCCTCCCAAAAAAGAGAGCAGCCTGCCCCAACCACTCGTCCGCCACCTCAGCCGACACAAATGAACCACATGACATCCCAAAGTAACCGACCCAGTTCCGATTTTGTTCCGCCTACCCTTTCTTCTCATCGCCTTCAGCCTCGGCCGCTTCATCCAACACGGCCAGCGCTAGAACCTTCTGAGCCCAACAACTATACGTGGCTGGCGGCTCCCTCACGACCTGTAATCAAGCCGGGTAGGATGCAAGCACAACAATCCAATGGAGACAACACAGCGGAGACAAGGTCTTGGTCAGGTGAGGTGAAACAGGAAAGCTCCACCCCGGAAAGTCAGAGTACCCAAAGTAGGCAGAATGGACAGGGCATTGAGTCGGTGACGTTTCATACCACGACGATGTCAATGGTACGCCAGCAAACCTCGGCGCCAGCACGGCGGACGCTTGGAATCCGGCGGAGTATGAATGGATGGGAGGAACGGATGAAGCGGCAGGGCGGTGGCCAAGTACGTTGAAGCGGGTCTGGAATCTATAGAAGTTTGTCCGATTTGTTTTCTAAAGTCTCGATACACTGTTACACGCCTCAAAGCCTCATTGTCATTCCTGTTGGGGGGGGCTTGCGGTTGCCGGGGAAAGGAAAATGACCTATCTGCTCCCCGTGATGTCTTTCGTGCCCAAGCAATAGCAAAATGGCTCCGCTGATGAATCGGTCTGGAGGCTGGAGTGACGCAGCGGTGCATCTCGCCAGACATTACGGAGTACAGAGTACAGTCTGAATGCATGATCAACTATACTTCTTTCGGGGCGGATGGGTATACTGCAGGAGCTCAATACAAGTGTTCACAGACGGAACAAGTGATCGACCAGGGCCCACGGGAGCAGCGATTGGCGAGGCCACGCTATAACCGCAAATGATCAACTCAAAGATGGATCAGGATGGATCTCAATGATTCGGCCAGGGGAATCTGGACCAGAGTGGACCAGGGGGGAAAGGGAAGCTTCACCGACATCACGGCGATGCCCCTGGTTCATTGACATCACCGTCATTTTGCCGCGCAACCGAGAGCATCCCCCTGCACGGCTCGTTCCCTCAGCGGTGAGGTTGAGGAATCCTCGTCTCCCTGCTGAGCCCTGGCGCCATTTACCTCCTGCCAGTCACCACTCACCATTCAGCCTGCCTCTTGGCTATTCTTGGAGAGAGGAATGGCTGACTCATCATTATTGGGTCCACCGCGTACGACGAGTCCACCGCGTATGGCCCGCGACGCGCTGACTGGCTGCCCTGCTTTTGGCTGGGGGTTAAGGCCAATCATTCAGGCCAGACGCCGTAATACCAGGCACAGGATGCGTCAGGGGGCGATCCATTCCCGTGGAAGTCGAAGCTCCCTGGCGACGATACGGTTCCCCAGAGTCGTAGATCAGGGAATGGCCTGGGGTATACAAAAGCTGGCTGCTTCTCATCTTCTTCCGCTGCCAAATCACTCTATATAATCTCTAATCCATCACACCACCCGCCTTTCTTTCTACCTTGTCTTATACTTCTTTCAACGTCAAATTTATAGATCTCGTTGCGCGCAGTTCAACACTGTTTGCCCTTCGAGACCGATCAGCCCATACTACAGCTTAGCTCCAGCTCAACTTCTCGGTCTCAAGCGTCATCGTCTTTGCGGCGCGCCTTCTTCCTTTCTTCTTTTTCCCTTTTCCATCATCATGCCGCACAAGGTCAACAACGACTCAAATTCTACTCTAGCCAGCAGAGGCAGTAGTGGTGACCAAGTCATCGCAACGGAAGCCCGAGGTATGCCGATCCAGCGCTGAACACACCCTGATTCCTCCCCATTCGTTTTTGGCGGAGGGCACCCCCCCTGTTCCCGATCTCCAGATTGAGCCCGGCTAATGCAGATGCGCCCCCAGCCGCCAATCCCGTTCGCAAACCTACGGTCGTTGTACACAATAAAGGTGGCCAAATCTACGACGAGACCCGGCCATCGGACTGGGACAAGCAACGCTGGAAGTAGGCCTACTTCTACCCGGGGTACAAACATCCGGCAAAAAGAGTACGAGAAAGGCAAAATTTGGCTTTGGCACCTGTTTCCCATCCCCAGCTATTTTTATCCGCGCGGCTGAGCCAAACGATCAAAAAAGCGACAACCCGCGAAAACGAAAAGTGAGGCGACGACTGATTGTCTCGAACAAAATGTCCCCGAGACTTGTCCGTGTCTCTGTTTCCCTGCCCCCTTTTCTCGCTTCTTAGTCTTAAATTGGGTCGTTACCAATTCGAGGCTAAGAAGGGATGGGTCCTTTCGTCACCGCTTCAACCGCGATCACCGATCACCCCTGACCCTCAGATCCCATCGATTATGGCCTGGGCCCTGTGGTCCCTTTTTGGGGGGTTGAAAGGGGTGGGAGGGGAGATATTTGCCATTGCCAACTCAACTGCTTGCTATGTACTCTTTTTTTGCCTTTTGCCACACTCTTTGGCTGGAAGTTCTGCCCCGGATTTTTTGGCTGGGGAAAGCAGCAGGGAGGATCCACTCCCTCTGCTCCCCTAGCTTCTGCTGTGCACCCTTGTACCATTATTCTGCAGAGTTCTGGGCTATTCGGCGTTATCTGTGTCTTTTCCTTTCTTTTTCTAGGCCCTCTTCTCTTTCCCTTCTCGTCTTCGACCACATCCCCCCGACTTTCTCACTCCTTGGACCTCTCCACTCTCCACTCTCACCTATTTTCTCGTGGTGACCTTCTCACCCCAATCTCTCCATCTTCCCTGTCATACCTCACCCCCTTACACCCCACTTCTTATCTCTCTTTCATCGAGTCGGTCAGCTCGACCTCGGAAAGGCTTACACGTGTCATATTCCTTTTTCGCGCATATTCCTTGCAGAATTCGTGATTCTGCGGGGTAAGCGCTCGGGTTTTCTCTTACTGCCGGAGACTCCCCCATCTGTCCTTTACAATTATTTTTAAACCTCTCTTGAGGTTGCGATGCATAGCGTGGGTTAATCGGGTTTTGAAATTCTGCAAATGAGCGATATTTATATTCTTATTATGTCTTAACTTTGATCCAAATTGGATTACTCATTTGAATTTAACTTAAAATTCAATATTTTCTTCCGATACTTTCAAGTTCTCTCCTATTTTTGCTTCTATCTGTGTATGCCCCGGTGTTTGGTTTATGAGTTCGTCGTGCTCTGGACAAAGGTAAGATGATGCACGGATCCTTTCTAGTTTCGAACTTTGGTTCCTGGATGAGCGGTGTGATGATTGGTTGCCATTGCGGGTTGGAAGCTGATCCATGGTTGAGGAAGATCCACATCAACGTTGGATATACTTGCTGAAAGAGCTGAAAGAAGAAGTAAACAATACGTACGGATATAATGAAACTGAAGAATCTGGGTGTAATTGAAATTGCACATATTGCGATACTCGGAAGGATCAAATTTACAGTCCTGTTGCAAGCATTTGCAGGATCGAGCCTAGCAGAAGCTACATCTTCCTTTGGGGTCCCTAGCTGCAAGCTAAATAATATGCCTATATGTGTGGACTCTGCGAAAAAAATAGCGTAATTTTGGGGGGTTGTGATCTCATGATTGCTAAAAATTCACTAGTGTCCCGATGGTGTTACTTAATGGGAAGTTTGACGGGGTAATTCTAGGAATCTTCGCAGCCGAGACGTGGAGACTGTCACAGTGACCTACTGGCTCTGACTATCTAATTGCTTTTACTGTGGAATGGAGCATCTACGTACACGAAACATCATCTTCCAATTTCGCTTGCAAGTCGAATGATTATTTATTGGGGTAGTATAGTTCGAACTTATTATTGTGGTGATATTTATACGAGGTCCTATCCATAATATGTATCTTCGTGGTATCATTGCCAATTTCAGGCGAGTTGCTAGGTCCTGAGCTGGGATCAGGCACTTCAAATCTGTTTGAGAAGAAGCCATGGCCAGGATCCCAGGCTCAACTCTCCATTCATGTTCCTCTCTCTCTCTCTTGAGATGGACCGACTACTCATTGCTAACATGAATACACATTGCTGATAATTACCTCATATTGAATTTCTATATTAGTATGTAAACAGCATTCTTACTTCCCGTCATATCGGTTCCCATGACTGAGCTTGGCAAAGCTTGGAATTGTTACCGGCATTATTAGACGTCAACCGGAATGCCGAACGATAAACAATTTTAAATTTATCCTGTATTTATCGTCGCGCAACTGGGCATTCAGGGTGCGTTTCTGGGTGCCTAGGAGTGTTCAAGTTCGAGGTAGGTATGATATATTTCGGGAGTTGACGACTCCCGAGGTCGGATTCACTGAACGCACGGCGAGAAGATACCTTGGACCTCGAGAACTTGGAATACGTTTGCGACTATTGTAAATCTTGGAAATCCATCGAGCCTGCTTACTAGAGGTACTACCTAGTAGGTGGCTTACCACCTGAGCAGTACCTGACTGATCCAAGTAAGCCAGGTGGATTGCCTCTCAACCTTGAACTAGAATAAAAATCTTCAACTTAAGCATCAACAATTTTACGCGATGGCTAGAGTAATAGTAAAGGGACCTGAAACTTATTTTAGCCAAGTATACCAAAAGAAGACCATAAGGGAGCCCGTCTCGTCTACAACCGAGTTACGTGGTTTACGTTTTTGGAAAAAGAAGTTCCACAGAACAGGATATCATTCGTGGGCCGTGTGGCAGTATCAGTCCACACAGTAAATATCACAGCACAAGTCCACTGACTCGCCTAGTGAAAGGCGGACAAGAAACGGGCTGATCGGCTAGGTACACAAACAATGGGTAGGGGAGGGATAATATCAATCTCAGGTCCCGGTTATGAATCCCCGGGAGACCGCAACTTTGTTTTTGCATGGTTTTCGCTCTTTTTTTGCTTTTTTTGTGTGGTGCCGTTTCTATCAGCCATTTCCATCCGCAACGCTTGTATATAGGTCCGAGGGTACTGAGGCAAGGATAGTGCAGAGCCCTTGATTGAGTGGGATACAGGCTAGACACATTAAAGGCTTTTTCTTCTGAGGATGGGTGGTGATGTGACAGGGGCGAGGCAGGGGTTTGTTGTAAAAGATCGTGAGGAGTTGGGTGTTGGTGGATGCAAATGCGCAGCGCCGACGGGCGCGCAGCAGTAAAAAAAAGGGTGTCGTATAGGCCCCGAAGAGTACCCCGACGACAGGAAATGCGAATCGAAGATGTGTGTTGGGGTAAATGAGAACAATGCAGATGACAATCACAAATAGAAATCAAAATCAGGCTCGCTCTTGCAATGCTATGTGGAAAATGAGAACAAATGCATATGACGACCCAGGGGACTGGGGCGACAAAGAGAGAAAAGGGGGGTATGCAATTTTTAGAACAAGAAGAAAAAAATGGCTGGTTTCGACTCCGGTCCTGAGGACCGAAATCGAATGCAAAGCGGTATGATGTCGAAGTGAAGGGTGGGATCGGGTCAAGTCGAGATGGCGGTGAAGAAGCAGGTCGAAAGCCGAAGAAGCCAGCGGCGTAGGATTTAGGGTAGTATTAGCGGAGTCGAGAACCAACGCAAAAGCAGATGCTCCGTCGAATGAGTTCTATGTGGGCGAGATAAAGAGGCGCACGAAGAATATGTGCAAGACGCCGAAACACTTTTGGGGTTTGTCGCTACTTTTCGAAGGACCTGGTGTCTTCATTACATCGCACCCGCGTATGTGGGGTCGATGACCATCTGTGGCTGCGGAGGGAACTGCTGCATCTGGTGCTGCTGTTGCTGAGCGATATACAGGGCTTCTTGTTGCTGGTAGGCTTCAGTAGACATGTACTGCATCTCAGCTTCAGGTGCAGGTGATGGCGAGCAGACATTCACAGCTGGAACGACTTGGTTGAGGTCCTGATTGCCCATCTGTGCCGGGACAAAGCCTCCATTCTCCGGGGTAACCGGAGGAGTCATGTATCCATGCGCGACGGCAGTCAACTGCTGGGACTTCTGAGGGGTGGCAAGTCCGATCTCTCCATTATATGGCTTGGACTCCACGGGAGTCTCGACCGGGGGAGTGCATCGGGCGTAGCTGGCCAACGAAGCCTGGCGGTTGAGGAAATGTTCCAGGACCTTGGAAACGCGCGAGTAGTGGGCCGAGGCGTACTTGCGAGCAACAACCGACGACGGCTGGTGAAGCTGCTGGGAAAGACCAACAAGAGTCATCGAGTCGTACTGGGCAGCCCAGTCGGTGTGACGAGGTTGCGGACGGTTGAGGATGCAGCGTGCCAAAGCCAAGGCAGCCCGGGCGAGTTCCGAGGAGGGCTTAGAGACGAAATCGCGGTGGAATAGAGCAATCTCTAGGATATAGAGAGCCATGTGCTCCACTTCGGGGTCGTAGGCCTCATCCAGGACAGCGACCTGAAGGAAACTATCAACGGTTGGGTGACCAATGGTCCAGCCCAAAGTTTGCAGAACGTGCCATTCCATCTGGATGAACATGTCATCATCGTAGAGAGAGCAGCACATCGACTTCAGTTCCTTGACAGTGGGGACACGGTCTTTCTTGTCATTGTACTTCGCGGCGATGAGGAGAGCCGCACAGCCAACCAGCTGGTAGTGACGCTTATAAACCACACGCTTGGAACAGTAACGATCCAAGAGGTTGATGGCCAAGAACAAGGTCGACGGCATGAGCTGGAAAGCAGTGTGGGCCTCGATCAGGAAGTCAAGGAGGTACGGACGCATGAACCACTGAATTTCGGTCTGAATATCGATGGATTCCACATCGGGGAGGGTTTGGTTCTGTTAAGAACGAAATTAGTCTGTCGTCAAGAAAAATACATAATTGGAAGGGGGATGGAATACTCACGTCCATGTCTAGCATGTGCTTCAGGACATCGTCACGAAGCTCCTCGCTAGTAAGACGGGACAGTTGATCCGCGATGGCATATTGACGCTCACGAGCAACGAGCTTGTCGTGCTCCTGTTGCGCCTGTCTGTCCGCGCGAGCACGGTGATAGTCATCCTCCACGAAGAAGGTCTCACATGGCTGGAAGCTGGAACGAGGACGGGAGAAAGCCATGATGTTCAAATTATTCGAGTTAACCGTTGGTTGCAAGAGAGAGAGAGAGCGGTTGAAATTGATTAAATTTGCGAAAGCCGGAAGGGTGAACCTGAAGGCCGAATGGTGATTTCAGGTAACGACGGAAAGGAGAGAGTGACAGTCGTCGAGATTAAGCGAGTCAAATGAATGATTGGAGAATAGTTGGAAAGATTAAGGAGTGGACCAGCGAAGAGACGATAGTCTGGAAGCTGGAAAGACAGGCCGGTGACCGGGAGGAAGTCTTAAAGGACGAAAGCTGTTGGAGGTAATTAACGTATTAGCGGGTGACGGCGTCGACGATTAAACAATTAGGATTAATGTAGTAGTAGCAACGACGAGAAACGAAGTGAGTGTGTGGTGTCAGAGAGTGTGAGGATGAGGAAGAAAGACCACGAGCAAGTAAAGGCATTTGATATCCAAGCCAGGTAGGGCGGGTTACCTCCTTCGGAGAATACTGACCCAGTTAGACGAGCCTTCGGGTAGAGGGCACAATGCAACCCTTACCGTGACGGCGTGACTGGCATCTAGGCTAGGCAAGAACGCAGGAATGATCCGTTGAATTAGGATTCTGTAGGATACCAGTCCTAGAGATGAAGAACGACTAAACGTCTTCACCCCTGGGGCCAGTGCGTCTGCGGAATGTGGAGGATGAAAGGAACAGCACAACCCTATGTAGGGGGCCACCACGATCGTCAGGGGAGGGGGGAAACGTGCAACAGGAACAAAAATCACAACGTACACTTCACGAGTTAACGTGTTCGGAATGAACCCCCAGGCTGATTTAAATAAAGGCCTTGTTGAATGGGTGTTGGTCGGTCAACGACTTGAGGACATCCACACACAAGGAGCGGAATTGACACTAAAGTCACTAGATAAAAACCAAAAACCTGGAGAAAACAGCGTCAGCATGTATGATCATCAAAATGAAAGCCACAATAGTCAATATTTGTCCCGCAGAAGGTATGGTGTTGCCCCGGTGGTTGATCGTCGATGGTCGTCCATGCCCGGTATGTCACAAACTGGAGATTTTCACGACCCCTTCGTTCAATTCAGATCCCTAGGAGTGGACAGGGCATTTCCATTCAAGAACAAGTCTGTCCCAGGAAGGACATGGCAACCGGACCCTGGAGGACACATTCCATGCTGCTTTGCAACTGAATATCACTCCGTTCCCTTCAAGGTGAGCCCTGAAGCAGTCGACGACATATCCTCTCGCGTGGACCTTGCCCTGCCATTCCAACCTCCTATTTTATCTTGTGCTTTGATTGAAGAGGTTGATATTGTTCTCAGTGACCGATAACTCGAAGCATTAGGGCTGAGCATGGAAGACAATCTCCACACAGTGTTCCGTCACACAATTGACTCATTTTCACCAATTTTGCATTTTGACGCCGAGGACTCATATCGTTCGAACGGCTGGTATCCAGTATGACAGCTCGCACAGTATGATCCTGTCCATCGGAGTTTCCACGGTATATGGCGTTCGGATCGTTCGACATTCCACCCAGGGCAATCCACACAGCAAGACAATTTTTTTTTTTCCGAACTTGACTCACCCAAACTAGCAGGCTCTATAATAATCGAGAACCGAAAATGTAGAGTTATCGAATCATCCGAAAGAAATTCGAGATGATTATCCCCACACTGTCGCTCGTCTAACCGGCAGGAGCTGGATCAGGGAGGTTGATCGTCGAGGGTCCGGGGATCAGGAGGGCACCGGCGGACGGAGGGGACGAAGGGTTCGCCGTTTGAGCTAACAAACAGTCGAATTGGGAGGGATCGTCAATGTCGAGGAGGGGGATTCGACCTGACAGGAGTTGGTGCAGACTGAGGGAATTAAGACGGGTGCTCGATTCTCAGTCAGGCAGACAAACTCCGGGCTCTCCACAAATTGGCAGGGGGGGAGGAGGGAGAAAAGGGAAGAAGAAAAGGGTATCGACGAAGAGAGGGGGGGAGGAGGGGAGGGGAGTACAAGGAGGAGGAAATTGAAGTTCTCTCTCCAGGCGGGTGTGGGAAAGAAAAGAAGAAGAGGAGCGAGAGGAAGACTGAGCTGAGACAGAAGGAGTAGCTGTGCGGTACCGTCATGACGGGGTTTCCGGGTGGAGGCTGAGAGTTACGGGAGTATTCAGTATTTACGGAGGGTACGAGGGTATGGAGTACCGTATCCTATCCTTGTAAGGAGAGGGGACGGGCACTGCAAGGACGCGGTTTGAAACCAAGACTCGTACACAGGTTCAGTAATCTCCATAATATTATATTCATATTCCTATTCATATTCATATTCATATTCATGTTCACATCCCTATACTCATACTCATGTAGGATGGCTGTACAATGTGGTTGGGTATTGATTACCCGACCACACAGTCCGTACCTTCCTTCCATCTACCTCTCGACCTATGAGAGTCCCTATTCCCACCTTCATAGATACCTCGCTATTCTTACATTTCATAAAATAATAAGACAAATTAATTGGGATCCTCCCTCAGCTCGCTTCATGATGAATTATGCTTGTGCCCTGTCTGACACGGTGAAATTTCCCTGTTGCCCTGAGTGGCCCTTGCTCGCGTGGGAAAACGGGTCCATTACGCTGCCCTTCCACGATGTGTGCATTCTCCTCATTTCAACACTTTTCTTTTCTACTCGTAGTTTTTGTTATGGAGAGAGGGGGCTTACCATACCTGCAGTCTTATCAGGGCATGCAGCACATCCAATCCTTGGGTAAGTTCTCGCTCGTTTCCCACTGCGTCGGCCTGCTGGTCGAGCTAGGATCGCGTTTTCGACCGTCTGCCGCGACCCAGTCATTTTTGCTCCGCATATACACTAGAGTATTTCGATCTGCCCATGGTCAAAAGCAGGCCATTCTGGTAAATCGCCCAATCCAGTACTTCCTCCTAGTGGGTTCCACGCAAATCGCCCGACGATCGTCCCCTTCCAGCTCCAGCTCCAGCTCTATCCAGCCTCTCTTTCTTTCTTTACCCTTGTCCTTTCGTAGTCATAGAAAGACAGCTTTAAGTTCCTTGACCAGTTTACAAACACCACAGTGTATGTGCAGACACGAGAGAAATGAATAATAATATGTAATACCGAGAGATCCACATTGTTGAGATTAGTTACTGGGTACGAGTACATAATACTCCGTAAACGTAATCATCATGCTCATCATAAGTGGAGGAGACCATACCCCATACATACACCTTTGAGGATGTAAATTGAGACAGCGCCAGATCCTAATTTACTACTCGTACGGAGTACTAATTTACCCTACCATCCACGGACCAGCTGTAACTTCTTGAAACTTGAAACCGTCTTTCACAAGCCCCGAGAAACACAAATCAACACATCAAACAGCGGACTTTCCGCCCCAAGATCGACTTGCGTACCGCGTCTCGGAGGGCTGCACCATCGTTCCTGTTGGCCCGTCAGAGAAGACCGCCCCCCCTGGAGCTGCTAGTGGCAGCATTGGCTTCGAATGGTTCCTCCATGCAATACGGTCGCGTCCCAGGGTCTACTCCGTACTCCGTACTGTACTCTCTGGCCTCCGTTCCCCGACTGGCCCGCCCAGGATTGCCCTGGCATTGACTTCATGGACTTCCAGCCATCGCCGCCAGAGGCTTGGCTGCTTGGCCCAATGTCGCTGGTTGCTGAAGGCCCACTACTAACCTCACCCCCTTTAGCCCCTCCGACCCGAGCCTCCTTGGTCTTGCAGGGATCTCATCTCGCCTGCGGTTCCCATGTGGGGGACGACTCACCAAAGCAGGCTCTCAGGTCTCCCCCCCCCCAAGACTCCTGGCACACGTTCCCCGATCCTTTTCCATGGAATTTGATTCGATTGGCGTGCACCACAATCGGTTATCCGCTTCAGCTGGCATCTACATACGGGTACACTTTCTTTTCCAAGGCTATGCTCGCCCTAGTGCTAGCCTGGCACCCCTCCCCCGTTGCACACGCAACGATGTTCTTTCACCATTTGCCCTCGGCCGCTCGTGAGACCTGGGTAGTGTCGTTGATTTGTCCCCAGTCTCGTAGCCACCGATAAGGTTTGGATAGGTGAGATGTCTCGATGCCATCCCTTTCTGTCTTCCAGAAGACTACCCATTACTTCCTCCCAGCTGCATGTTTGGGCTGGGGGGGATGTTGGGCCTCAAGGGGATATGCGGCGACATCCCACCCCCTGAGCCCTGCTTGTAACCATATACCGAATTATAATATTCTCCATCCCCAGTAAAACTTCAGCGAACTCCCGCCAATAGCATAGGCCCCGAGTCGTGATCGCTCCACACCTCATGGTGCGACTCGGACTTACGTGGGGTCTCCTTGCTTCGTCCCTTGTTACTCTGTAAGGTTGAAAGGAGAGGCTTAAACTTCAGTCCCTTTGTATCAACTGCGACTCCACATTGAGAAATCATGGCTGTATGCGACTCGGCCGTTTTACAATGTTAGCACAGGCGCTATGTGTCTAAAATCCTTTCCGACCGGATTGATCTATTGTGGGCAGGATCTGGATACATTACGAGTATGCCGCGGAGAGCGTCGGGCCATGCAGCTTGTTGCCGTAGACGACATACCTAAGAATGCAGATCAAGGCGGTCCATTCGTCAGCCTCCCCATTCATCTTAAAGAGATTGACGAGGAGAACATGGGTAGGGTGCTGGAAATGGCATCGCACTTGCTGACGGGATGATCACCCTCGTGGAGGACTGGGGTTAAAAAGGAGAGGGCGATATCCAATAACCGTCTTAGAATGGGCTCGGCTCTGTACGACTTGACCACGTAAGGGACTCCCGAATATGGCAAGTCAATGATAGACATAGCCAGATTTTAGAGGCATCTCGCACACATCCCCTCGGTCTATTGCAGGGCCCAGCAGAGTAGTAGTCTTCAATGGTCGGAACCCTTAATCTGGAATGCCAGGTACATAGCAAAATAGAACTACACGTATGTACACTACTCGTACGAAGTACGGAGTAGACTACTCCTGAATATGCGTAAATATAGTTGCTTCTTTTGGGCAGCACATTTATTCGTCGTCAAGATGCCTCATCTTCTATTGGAATGCGTGTTCTCACAAACGCGGCCGTACATGAGTTATTTCCTCGAAGAGTCCTGCAATATGCAGCGTGTCGCCGATCTAGTTTCAACAATCTAACGGAAGCACGACAAAAGGGGTTCGTTGTTGCTGTCTAAAGGCGGACTATGTACAGGAAGCCTCATACAAGTTCGCCATGTTAACTTAGACTGATTTTGCATAGCGCACCATTATGTGACCGTCGGCGTTGTACCAAGTGAGTGGACGCCCCTTTAGAATTTCCGAAATGTAATGCGCAATGGAACTGCCAACAATAACTTGACGTAAACCCGCAGCGCCCCGTCCGCGTCCAAAAATAAAAAGAGGCGGCGCGACGCTTGTTTAATTAATCCCCAGAGGCCTCCATCCATCAGGGTCGTGTTCCACCACTAGGCTGAACGCAAATCTAGGGCTTTGGGTTACAATGCGCGGTTCGGAGGACGGAGTGTCTTGTATATACGGAGTACGGAGTACCTACATTTGTACATGCATAGAGCCTAATATAAACTTGTGGACTTCGAGTCTTACGGCCAGCGCTCTTCATCGGTACCTTTGCTGCAAAGCCGTCCACGGCCCCAGAAAAGGGGGTTTGCGGCGATGATGGAGTATGCGGGTATGTAGCCGGTATGGGGCACCCAACGCAATGCAATGTCCGCGTGAAGTTCCTTGGCGGAAAAGGACCCGTACATGAAGTGACCTCATGGCTTGGTAAATCCTGAACTATTCAAGGTTAGAGAAATCTCGGGCTAGAGTCTGACACATTGAGTGCATCTAATGCGCCCACCCGCTTACGAGAAGGGGGATGGCCGGACTATCGCCCGGTCGCATTGGCTTTCAGTAATGCAAGTTTTTCTGCTGTTTCTTTGCCTTGGGCTACCTGAGCAACACTGTTGTAATCCGGGTTTCAACTGCCGACATGAAAATAGTACTTGGTATTGGCTCCAGGTCCATACTCGTAGCTAGGATTCGTCCGCTGGGCTGGGCTGGAACTCACTTCCCACCGAACCCAGGTTATTTTCACTTTTACCGCCGAGCACAGCGTAGGAGTGACAAATTATTTATATTTCAGTGATTTTTCTTTGGCTTTTCTTCACATTGATCAATTTACATATATACACTCACAAGTAATACTGCTCAATTAACAAACCACTGCCCAACATTGTACTGTTGTAGAAGAGCACGCTAGCTCTATACCTAGAGAGGTGTCAGCAAAAAAGCATGGGATGAACTTTAATCTACCAGAGTCTAGAAAATACATGTCTTAAGAGCAGCTTGCCAGGGGCCCTAGAGATGTGCTTTATCTAGTTTGAAGGGGGGAGATTTAGCCAACGCTCTCACCACTTCCTCAGTGGCTGGGTTTCTTACTCGGGGAAGAGACATGTAGTCCAGTTATAGGCATCATCCCCCTTACGTGCTGGGAGATTATTCGCCCAAGTAGAGGCATCTATACGCATAAATATTTCACCGCTCTCCCACGTTCTGCATCTGTTTTGCGGACCCTGTGTATGTACCTGCATTTCTTGTTCTTGCCGCTACGCAAGGGAGTAAATCTCCCCGCTGCATCATCCAACTGATATGTGCAACTAACGGTGAGCCCGCAATCGCCCTTTGGTTGTTTGCAGTTTCTTACATACCAGCCCTTAGTTATCTATGTACACGGCACAACGCGCACCTGAGCCACCAATGAAGCCCCCTACCCGCATTGCTTTAAAGTTCAAGTATGGAAAGGAGATATCAACACAATTCGAATCATATGCATTTTTCCCGACGACCCTCGCTTGGTTTCAAATCTTATAACTCGAGTTATCAGATATTCGCTATCAAATGTATCGACGCTATGCCGCAGATGATCAAGAATTCCGTTTACAGATACAGTAGCCCCGGTTTTGAGACCTGCAGTGGAATATACATACAGAACACCTTGTATACATACTAACATCGCCGTATGTATCAGATCAGAATAGTATTGTATTGTGGAGGAGCTGTTTTGCCTCGCCGTATACGTCCCACCTGCATATTACTATCTGCGACACTTCGGACGTTCTCAACCATGGAAAGTCCCTGGCTCCTCCAGTACATACCTCAGGCTCCACATCTAAATAACGGTTATCCAGCAGGGCCGTTCCGGCCTGTATAAACCACGGTAGAGACCGGAAGGTTGTAGACCTCACCCTTTCTAGGGACCTGGTGGAAAAACCCGGCATCCAAGGCAACTTCATGCAGCGAAATTAGCTCTTCGTTTGTGCCCTCCGCCCCGCTCCGTTGACAGGTGGTTTTCGTTGTGGTCCACTGCGGTTTTGACGTGAAAAACAGAGTGCCAAACGAGTGGCGGGAGTCGGATCGAGCGGATACCATACGCACACAAACGGAAATTTGAGATCAGATACGGAGTACGGTTTCGATGGTCAGATCAAGTACGACGTACGGAGTAGAGGCCTTTTACATAGGTGTCTTCTTAACATCAAAGTCACCAAGATCTGTGTTTCCGAATGTAGTATTTTGGCCAAATCCGACCATATACTTTATGTAGTCTCGTTACTAAGCCGAGTCTGTAATTTTCAAAAGTTTGGCGTATGTCATTTTTCATCGGGCGGTTCAACCAAACTCATACTGCTTCGAAATGATCATAAATCGCATTCACAATCCTGAAAACCCATACGTATCGAACATAGTATGTTGATTTTGACCGGTGAAAATTTTTTGGTATTGCCCCTCTGCGGAGATCTATAACGTGAAGTTTTTTTATTTTCTGCACCGCGATGTGGGCACTGCTCCACCACGTCAATTTCGCCTAGTCACTTCATCCTTAAGCTGGCGAGATTCCGGGGTCGTGGACAAGGTGCGTCAAGCCTGCTCATACATTCCGTTTGAACTCTCCCGGCTATACGTTATAGCTCGGGAAAAGAATGTTGATGTGTAGCTTTCTTTCACCAGAGGGTCTTTTACTATTCTGAGATTAGTATCGGCGGATATCCGCGCTATTGATCTCTGCCGATCAAATCTAATTTCAGCTGGTCAATGGCTTCAATGTCTATCCAATTTATCGTACATCAACGACTGGAACTGGAGCTACGAGTACATACTCATACTGGCAAAAATCTTCATGCGTCCCCACAACGAATAAGAGTGGTGCTAATTAACAACGCGAATGCGAAATCAAGGCCAATATGACCTTTTTAGGTAAAGCACCATGCCGTCGGTGGATTGGGCTGTGGAGGCTCAACCATGGGTCTAAGGTATTTTTCTAGCTCTCCTTTCCCCCGCCCCTTTTCTTTGCAGGTGAGCTGTGCCTGGTAAATTCGCCACCACTCTACTTAAATTTCCCCTCGCACCGACTCGGCTATAGGTAGCAGGGATAGTGGTACAGGGGCAAGGAAGATAGTTCATTTCTCATACTCATAGCTATTTCATTACTTTCTTCTCCGTACAGCTCTTCAATGTGCTCTGATCGAAATGCTAAAGGTAATCGGAACAGGCTATTCAATACAGCTAAGCCTAATTAGGTTTAGAAACAAGTGGGGAATACCCGTCGCGTAAAGAACAAACGCTCCACATCGGAGCTTTCTGTATACTCGTACGGAGTACTCGTAGTAGTACTAGTACGATAGTACGGAGTTCGCATTACTTAACTCAAATCACCGTTCACAGTGGGATAAACAGGAAACAGGCAACAAAACTACGATTGGCCTTGGTATACCCGACTCACCGAGATATCGTGAAGTTAACACGTTGGCGAAACTCTCACCGCGAACTCAAAAAAAGATGTATCTCCCTGCAGGTGCAAGGAGACTTCAAATTCGATCGCGAACCCTCGTACGGAGTTAAAGCGGATTGGCCTCGGCTTGGAAATATGCCGTCATCGCCGGGCCTCGCGTCCCACCCTTTGGGTTCGTCGTGCGCGTTTTCTCTACATTGTGGCTAAGGACTAGATAACTAGATGAATCATTGAGTGGTTCCACGTTGATGAACGATCGATTCTACTTTCAATTGATCGTCTTCCACACACACACGACATGGTTGAGGCCTTTTGCCTAACACGTATCCTATCCCGGCAGACCACCACATGCATTGGCGGCTCGGTCACTATCCGGATGCGTATAAACGGAAGGCTTGGGACAAGAAAATGGACTTTCAACTTGGCGCGAGTCCCCGTGCCTGCGCGCGTGATGATTCGGCCATTGCTACTGATTGACACTGCTTGTCAGTATCTTGTCGATTGTCGATCCGGATGTCAATGATTGCGCCGAGCCTGGGCTTCCCCAAAACGCTGGGCTGGTTAAGAATAACCTAGTCTTCTCCAGCCTGTCTCTTCCACCTTGTTCAGGCTAGGCCTGGGACATATCAGGACCATATGCAGAGTTCAATGTCGTGTCCAGGATCGGCAGTGGGTTCTAGGTTTATTCGCCTATATCCGGCTCTAGTAATATGCGTGATATGTTTCGCTTCCAAACACGCGATCAGGAGGCGTGCTGGAGACGCGGTTCACGAGATGGATTCAATTGGGAGCGATGAATCGAACCGCACGGGAAGTTTGCAAATGTCACGAAGCGGGGTTGGAGGGGGCGAGATCTAAGGAGATCGCGAACCCAGCCCGAAGTGGAGCAAGCAATTTAACTCAGATCAAGGCAGCATGATACGAGCTCATTTCCTGAAAGCTGACTTCCGGCAGGATCAATGGTGGCCAGTCATGCCCTTCTGGCAGCGGCTGTACGATCATATTGAGTTGGCCGGGATAATTTAGTGCTTATTTGGCTCTGGTGAGCTGCGCCCGAGCCCCGACTGACAATGAGCTGGCCCCCTCTCCAGCTCGAGAAAGTGAAATGAACCATGGCATAATACCCGAACTTTAGTCTCGGACTGCCACATGAATAAGCGCAAAATTCCAAAAAGAAAGTTACCCCATCCATGGAATCGGATATGCCCGTCGGATTGAGGGTTGGGGATTGAGCAGAGATAGTTGGGATGAGTGGGCAGGATGTTCCAACGTCGGCTTTTTGGCTCTCTCTTCAGCTCTGCCGTGATTCCATCCAATCAACACCGGCCATCCGCTTCGCTGCTTGTTTTAATTGCCTGGTGATTGCTGACAGAGACGATTGAACGCGGGTTGAAATACCCCGCCGCAAGATGTCCTATCAGAACCATCAAACTACCGGACCCCTCTGGAATCTGATACATAAGAAATGCATGATTCAGGATGTCTTCCCAGCCACATCTTATCCCACAAAGCGTCAAGCTGCAATGATCCTGGACTCTGACGTGGCACGCCTGAGCAAGACAAGCAAGGCCTGCAACTCGAAGCAACCCTAATATGGAAAATTCAAGCCGACAAGCCGGTCGCCCGGACAGCCGTCATTGGCTTGGGGTCTGCCACACGCCATATGCTCGTGGAGCTTCCTACTCAACATTCAGCTGAGCCTGGGGTCGAATGTCGAATGCATATACATAACTTGATGTCGCTGACAGTATCCTTACTTATAACATGGCGTCTGCTGAAGATACATAGCTCCCTTGGTACACATACTACATATGAGAAACCGTCTCATGCCACTGATCACGTTCAGTATCATTCCAAGGTTATCGCCTAGCTGGAAGCCCGAGGCGCCAAGATGCGCTCAGGTACCCAGTAGCGCCAACATAATCCCCGCCCTCAATCTCTTGCAGCGTTGTCTTGTCTTGCGATCAGCAACCGCCGACTGGCCTATACATGGAGCTACTGACAAGACCATCGATCGCTTCCTACCAATTGATCGATTTAGAATCCTGTTTTGACCACCTGGGTCTGAAGCGGCAGTAGACTTGAATGTGATATTATTCGTTGAGGTATACTTTCGCGTTTTTTTTTATTAAAAAAAATACGGAGAAATACAGATGTAGGAACTCACTTGTCTTCTTTTGAGAGGCATATTCTATATACGCCTGTGAGTCTTCGTGCATCGTCATGTTAATTATGTAGAGTGGCCTCGCAGTGTTCCTCCATTTCTCGGGCAATGGGCTGTATGCCGGTTCGATTTTATCTATTCTAAGTGCCTTGAAAATTCAACTTAAATTCATCCCACAATCAACTTTTCTGATATCTCTAGTCATTAAAGAAATTATCATCTGCTTTGAATTGCACTCACAATGGTATTCTTCCCCGAATTAGATACCTTAATGCCTGATATTCAGGGCATAAATTCCTATCAGACCACGTGATCAATATCCGCCAAGATATTTCGGCCCGCTAAAATTTATCTACAGAAAAAAAAAGTGACCGCGCAACAGACCGCCAGCTCAACCACCACGTTACCTTCACACCCGGTTTGGACGATATGAGTGTGTAAGGGATTTCATGTACGCCCTTTCAGGAGACAACTTAAATTGAATATTCCCACCTCAACCCCCGAATCTTATCTTTGCGCCCATTGCCTCGAGTCAAACCGAACCAAAGCTCTGGCTTCCAACACCGCAGCCATGGATATTCACCGTTGTCGATTCGTGTCATATAACCCCCAAGCGATTAACTCTCTTGCCTTCTCTCACCCCCCATCTGCCGATGCCGCCGGTCGAGGCGTGCCTACTCTTCGACTCGCAATTGGCCGTGCGAACGGCGATATCGAGATATGGAACCCAATGCGCGGGGCTTGGTTTCAAGAGACAATGCTAAGAGGAGGAAAGGATCGGAGCATCGAAGGACTGACCTGGACTCTGGACCCCTCAGAAGACGGCCCCGATGGCTCCAAGCTACCTGGCAAGCTGCGCCTGTTCAGCATTGGATACTCCACCGCTGTCACTGAGTGGGATCTGGAGCAGGGACGTCCCTTGCGCCATTCGAGCGGCAACTACGGAGAGATATGGTGTCTTGCTGCTCAGCCGCGCTGGCAACCAACCAAGAGAGGTAAGGATGGAAAATTTCTGCCTCCCGCCGAGGGCGAATATACAGGCCAACACTTGGCCGCCGGATGCGCTGATGGATCTATCGTGATTTTGTCCACTGCGGACGGCGACTTGAAGTTTCTTCGTTTGATGCGACCCTCAACAAAGAGGGCTCGCGTGCTCAGCGTGACTTTCCAGAACCGAAACACTATCGTCGTGGGCTACGCTGATAGCTCCATCCGTCTTTTCGATATCCGAAACGGCCAGCAACTTCGGACAATCTCGCTTGGAAAGGGTCCTTCCGGTGGTCCCAAGGAGTTACTCGTTTGGTCCGTCAAATGTTTGCCAGACGGTACCATTGTGTCTGGAGACTCTGCCGGTGAAATCCGATTCTGGGATGCAAAGAACTATTCCCTCACTCAGCGTCTCCAGGGCCACCTGGCGGATGTGCTTGACGTGGCTGTTAGCGCCAATGGAGATACTGTCCTGAGTGGTGGTGCGGACCAGAGGACTGTTGTCTTCCGCAAAAAGGAGGGCGATAAGGGCGACAAGAAGGCTCGCTGGGCGGAGGTTATGCACAGGCGATACCATTCGCACGATGTCAAGACTTTCGCTGTCTACGAGACAAAGGATATCAGTATTGCCGTTTCTGGTGGTAAGTGATTGGCCCCACCGGATATCTAATTTGCTCCAAATGCTCATGAATTTTTCCAGGACCTGATGCGACACCAATTGTCCTTCCTCTGCGTGAATTTGGAAAAGAGCACCACCGAAAGCTTTCCAGTCTCCCTCAGATCCCTCAACTCACTTCGGCGCCTTCTTCTCGCCTGGTCATGAGTTTCTGGGACCGAGAAGTCAGTTTGTGGCGCGTGTCGCGCGGCCCAACCTCGCAGCATGAGAATATCGATGGTCAAAGGCATAAGCTAGTCGCAAAGGTTATGATCCAGGTAAGCAAAAACATATTGACACTCATACCGGATGGTCGAGGTACTAATGCTTTGTTCAACTCATAGGGCGAAGAAAACATTACCTCCTCTATGTTGTCCCCAGACGGAAAGACCCTCGCCGTTGCAACGATCTCCGATGTCAAAGTATTCACAGTCCGCCGACGCAAGGGCGACGAAAAGGGTGCTTTGCGGATCCAGAAGATCGATGTTCCGAAGGCCCTTTCCAGCGAGGGTGCACGCCTCGTCACTATCTCTCCCGATAGTCGCTGGCTCTGTGTGATTCGTCCTAATAGCGAAGTTTATGTCGCTAAAATCCAACCCGCATTGTCTGCCACCGAGAAGCCACAGATTCTTCCGCAGCTCGCAAACCTCAAGCGTGCTGTTCGACATGCTCGCCACGAAAAGACCTCTCACGGCACCCTGGGTGATTATGAGCGCATAATTCGATCTGTTGTCTTCTCTGAAGACAGCAAGATTATCGCTGCTGGCGACCTGTCAGGTTGTATTGATACATGGGCACTCAACACAGAAATTGCATCTCAAACAAACGGCAAGGTCAAGAAGATTGGTGCTTCGGACTCCGACGATGACTCCTCTGACGACGAGGATGATAATGTTGCGATTGAGGGTGAGCGTTGGCTACCGGCAGCTTCTGAATCTCCGATACCCCGAATGAAGTCCGGAATCACTCTGTTGTCCTTCCGCCCTGCTAGCCCTTCTACGAAGACTCAGGTTAATAGCGCCAACCCTAAAGCCTCAGCTGGCCAAGACCGATTGATGGTCGTCACCAGCGAGCATCAACTTATTGAATTTGAGGTTCTCAGTGGAAAGCTGTCTGACTGGTCAAGACGCAACCCCAAGGCTTACCTTCCTGCCGAGTTCCGGGGTGTGAAGGATCGTGCCATGGGTTGCATTTGGGATCTCTTCGAAGGCCGTGAGCGTCTCTGGATGTACGGAACATCCTGGCTGTGGATGTTTGATTTGCTGCAGGATTTCCCGACCCCGGAGGAGATAGAGGCCGAGGAGAGCAAATCTTCGAGCCAGCTTATCAAAGCATCGAAGCGCAAGCGCGACCCGCTGGAAGAGGAAGAGGATAATCGCAAGAAGCCCAATAGCGGTGCTGGAGACCGGATCCCTCGGTCGCAAATGGATATTCACCTGGGTTCCAAGGTGCGCAAGATTGTTGGAAGCGACGAGTCACAAGGGAATGGATCTCGCTCGACCAGGAGCGTCAACGCGTCCCCGGCGAAGATGATGAAGCCTACGACTACGACGAGACATTTGCTGCTGGCAACGATGCCACTCTTGCGCGACTTCGACGTGAAGATGGCCCGGCCCTTGAGAACGGAACCCCCAAAAAGGGAACGAACAAGGGTAAAGCCAGCTCTGACGCCAACAAGACCGCAGATACCCCCAAGAAATCGCAGGTGACGACCAATGGCACTTCATCTCAGCCCACCCGACGCTGGTGGCACACCTACAAGTACCGCGACCTTCTCGGTATTGTCCCTCTTAGCTCCCTGTCAGGCGATGATCAGGAGCAGGGCCCGGGCGAGAACTTGGAGGTAGCATTGATCGAGCGACCTATGTGGGACGTTGAACTGCCTGGAAAATATGTGAAGGATTATGAGTGAACAAAATGGCAATGATTCTTGTTTTTTATCTTGTCAATGTTAATGCAGGGCACTACCTCTGCTTTTGGTTCATTGTGTATAAGATGGTTTGAATCTGGAGCACATCTGGCGCTTTGTACAGGGATTTTGGGGGGGTTTAAAATAGATATAGCTTTCATGCCGAATTCCCTTATATTGATTTGAACCACTGGTATATCCTGCAAAGTAGAGCCTCAATGCGAACTCGCATCAATGGGGAGGTAAACAGCTGATCCCACCCGATCCGGTCCACTGCGGGGCGCCGCCCAACTTAACTCCTTCCATCCTTGAAACTCCCCGACGTTTCTTCTTCCCCGTCTTCTCCTCACCACTCAATCTTCTCTGCGTTTCGGCCTCTGCTTCTTCCATTATCTCCCAAAAGGCTTGGGAAGCGACTACTTTCTTGGCCTCTTCCGCGAATCCCGTTCAAGTTACCAGTTACAACTGTTTGCCCCAAGGTGCTCAGGCCCGGCCTCCGCTTATCGGGAACGATCTTATCGTCAGCGACTCGTCAGGCTGACCAGCTTGACGTGTCCGACCTTCCTGACCTCGTCTGACCTCGTTACCCATCGCAAAGATCTCTATCTGGACGTTGAAGTGAATCTACACACCACCACAAACCCCAAGGGAAACTCCAGTGAGACCCGGACGAACTGTAGGACCGCAAAGTTCTGTGATCAAGCTGGGCGGGGTAGTCTAGTCGCGACCTGACGACTACCTTAGATATTTCCCAGACCTCCTACCTCTCAACTCTTCTGCTGAACATTTATCTCCTTTCTGCCATCTAATCTTGAGCACGCACTTTGAACTGAACCCCGTCGATTTCCCATGACGAACAGCAATTTCCTGGACGTCTCCCACACTACCATAAACATGGGTATTGCATACAACGTCTACTTGACCTCCAATAAGATCTTCGGCTGCAAGAATTGCAAAACCCACCTTGCAGACTACGATGATATTATCAGCCGAGTGAGATCCTTACCCTGAATGCGATCTCTGCCTTCCACCTCTTTCCAACGGCTAACCTTCCTGTCGTTTACTAGAACTTCCGCGGCCAGCATGGCAAAGCCTACCTCTTCAACACCGTCGTCAATGTGACTGCCTCAGATGCAGTGGAACGCAGCATGACAACTGGGAGACATGTCGTTCGTGATATTGCGTGTCGCCAGTGCAAGGAAACGGTAGGGTGGAAGTACGATAAGGCTTATGAGAACTCGGAGAAGTACAAAGAGGGGAAGTTCATTCTGGAAGAGGAGCTCCTCTGCGTCGTTTGCTGAAAGGCTTGCCCTTATTCTCTATCGTATGGTAGCTGTTCTAAGCTATCCGCACCACATCGCCATTATTCACGACCAGTATGACCTGCCAGCGAAAGATCACCCGATGGAATTTTTGCGTTTCTTTTCATGTCTTATCTTTCTCGCCAGACTGATGATCCGGAAATTTGCTTTCTTGCTGCTTCTTGCCATTTCTTGTTTCCTTGCCTAGCTACGGTGTTTTCAAATGGAGTTACTTGCGACATGGGGGTTTCAACGAAACTTGCCTCGATGAGGTTTTATGAATGAGCCATTTGCAAGGTTGGGGCTCCATATGATGGAGAGATTCCAATGAATGAGATTTAGGTACCACAGTATCGCTTCTCTTTACTGATTAATATTCTTTGCTATTGTGTTTTCTCGTAAGTTTGAAGCTCTCTATTAAATGCTCTGTGACCTTTGGTGCTCCCAGCCGGCTGCCACCCTAGTTGTTACTAGTACTCCAGTGAACAATACAGTATCTAACCCTATTATATGCTCTCCGAGGTCTGATATGAGTGGCCGTTCCAATAGACAGCAGCTGTCCTTGAGCAGAGCGTTTACAAACTGATGTTGTTCGTGCTTCAATTCGAAATCTATCGACAAGCACTTAGTCTGGCAATATCACACAAGTCTCCCTATGCAACTAGAATATCGTTTGCCCAGTTTAGTTTACAATATCTTGCCCCCCAGATGCCTAGCTTCACCCACGATTCCTCGTGTGGAGAAAACCATTTAACCGTGCCCGGAAGTGTATAGACCCACCACACAGAAAGACACACGATTGGGTACGCGGGACCACCGCGCCCTACGAAATATGGCTCCAGCCATGTAGCTTTTCATAATTCCAGCGGGGTCTGGCTTTGAACTCGCTAGGCCGGGCCGGTTAGCTCCGATGCCGAGCGCTTCTATTCCACCTTTGACCGGTGTCAAGCTTTCAATCTTCCTAGACAGGCCCGCAATCCAGCGGTAAAAGGAAATACAGAAATAATATGACTACCACATCTTCCCCCGGAACTATGCAAGCAGTGGTGTTCAAGGAGCCCTTCAAGGTGGCGGTTGAGCAGCGGCCCATCCCCACATTGCAGGGTCCCGAAGATATCATCGTCAAGGTGAAATATACGGCGCTATGTGGAAGGTGTGTCCACCGGATCATGCACCCCAGATACCTTGGTAGAATCCGTGCGTTAATGCCGCCTTTAAATTAGTGATCTGCATGTCTATCGTGGCATTGAGCCTAGCCCCGAGGGTCCTATCATGGGCCACGAGTTTATGGGTGAGATTGTCGAACTTGGCAGTGATGTGAAGGGCCTCCAGAAGGGAGACCGTGTGGTCAGTGCTTTCACCACATCGTGGTATGTACTATGTTTCGCGTGGTTGTGGGGGTGAAGCTTTCGTTCTCAGTCGGTGGAATCTGACATCATCACAGCGGCAAGTGCTTCTACTGCAAGCAAGGGTTCTCTTCGCGCTGCGAAAAGAGTACGCTGTTCGGATGTGAAATGCTGGATGGTGGCCAGGCTCAATATGTCAGTACTGTGACGACCTTTGAGAAAGAAAAAAAAGACAAAACCCCGATCTAATCTCTTTCTATCTCAGGTCCGAGTTCCCAATGCCGAGGGCACTGTTATGAAGGCCCCCGAGGGGGTGGATGAGAAATATCTTGTCCTGCTAGGCGACATCTTTCCCACTGGCTATTTCGCCGCTTTGAATGCGCTGAAGAACTCAACCCCGGAGCAGATCGCTGAGCAGACCGTGGTGGTCATCGGCCTTGGTCCGGTTGGTCTCTGCGCACTCATCAATGTCCTCGAATTCAAGCCCAAGCATGTCCTGGCAGTTGACTCTGTCCCGTCGAGACTAGAGCTTGCCAAGTCACTGGGTGGTGAGCCTTGGAACTTCATGACTGACCGTGAGGGTCTGGACAAGCGTGTGAAAGAGCTTACAGAGGGACGTGGTGCTGATGCGGTTGTCGAGGTGGTCGGGCTGAGTCCGGCGCTGCGCACTGCCTATGAACTACTGCGACCGTGGGGAACGATCAGTAGTGTAGGAGTTCATAATGCCGAGGTAAGGCTACTAAGGAGTGATTGTGCGAAGCTGAAGATTGTGGCTAATCAGTGGAATGTAGATTCCGTGGGATGGCAATGATGCGTATTCGAAGAACCTCACTGTTCAGATGGGCCGGTGCCCTGTTCGATCAGTCACCCCTGAGGCACTAGAGAACCTGAAGAAGAACCAGCACAAACTTGGGTAAGTTACTGGAAATGTTTCTTCCAATACATCAGTGGAATAAAGATCGCTGACTTTGAGATAGATTCATGACGGAGAAGATTATGCCGCTCTCACAGGCTGTGGAGGCGTATGAGCTGTTTAATGCGATGAAGGTGCAGAAGGTGGTATTTTTGGCAGATGAGTGAATCAGGAATACTGCCTGGGATATTGTAAATAGACATAGATTGAAGGGGGGGGGGGGGTTTAGTAGATGTGATAGATATCAACCTTACTACTACTAGTAGTACTAGTGGCAGGCAACCCAACCATGGTTACCACCAACTGGCGAGTCTCCGCTTAACTCAGAAGATTCCCTTCCCTTCAACTCTTCACCTTCACCTTCTTCCCTTTCACGCCTCCGATCCTCCTACCTCCTTCACATCTCCCTCTCCATCCCCCTACTTTATCCTCCCCTTTTCTCTCCCCCACTTTCTTCCTCCCTTCCCTCTTCCTTCCCTCATCACTCCCCTCCCCCTCTCCCCCCCCTCTTCTCTGCACCACCACCGCCTTCCCCTCCCTCACACTCTGATTTCTCCACTTCGCTCGCGGACCCTCATCAGTAAGTCACTCCATTTCCTTCCCCCCATCGCGCCGGCTGTCTTGCATATTTCCCCCCCATGTTGGATAGTTGCACAGTGCGATTTACTTGCTGCGCTTTTTGGTTTTCGCTGCAGTGGCTGATTATGACGTTCCTCAGAGACCTCCCCTCCATCCACTTGGCGACCGTGTGACTTCCGACCCGTGTGCATTTATCCTATCTTGACCTCGACCACCACGACTCATCCTACTTCCAAGTCGACCTTCAACTCCCTTAAAATGGCTACTACCGAAGTTCACCAAACCACCGTCGTCGAGGAGACTATGCCCGATGCCTTCAATGATACCCTGGGCGAGACGGAGGCTCTCGATGTCACTCCCAAGACTGAAGAAGAGTATGCCCAGTCCATGCTGACTCTGCGCGCGATCGTCTCGTCCAAGGAAGCCGGCGTCATCATCGGCAAGGCTGGTAAAAATGTTGCGGATCTGCGCGACGAGACTGGCGTCAAAGCTGGTGTGAGCAAGGTTGTTCCCGGTGTCCACGACCGTGTCCTTACTGTTACTGGTGTCCTTGAAGGCACCGCCCGCGCCTATGCGATCGTCGCCAAAAGCCTTCTGGAAGGCGCCCCGCAGATGGGTATGGGAGGCATCGTCTCCAATAATGGTACTCACCGTGAGCACTTCGTCCCTAACCTCCTCGCGCTTTGAAGTCCAATCAATTTCTATTCTATTGCCTGGCCTTTTTGCCATATCTGGAAGATGAAATATTTCAAGAGACTTTTTTGCACCCGAACTGTCTCAGATCTTGCTAACAAATCTTCTCTTATCTTAGCCGTTCGCCTCTTGATTTCCCACAACCAAATGGGTACTATTATCGGACGACAGGGTCTGAAGATCAAACACATCCAAGACGCCTCTGGTGTGCGTATGGTTGCTCAAAAGGAGATGCTCCCCCAGTCCACTGAACGGATCGTCGAGGTGCAGGGCACCCCCGAAGGTATCGAGAAGGCTGTCTGGGAAATCGGCAAGTGCCTCATCGATGACTGGCAGCGTGGCTCCGGCACTGTTCTCTATAACCCCGCTGTCCGCGCCTCCCTCGGTCAGCAGCCCGCTCAAAGCACCAGCCCGACTGGCGGCAATGGTTACACCAGCCGTCAGTACAACCGCACTGGTAACGGTGCCGACTTCAGCGATAACAGTGGCTACAACCGTCGGCCTAGCTCGGATGCAGGCACTCGTGGATACCCCCTGGTGACCGAAGATGGTGAAGAAATCCAAACCCAAAACATCAGCATTCCTGCGGACATGGTTGGCTGTATCATCGGCCGTGGTGGTACCAAGATCACCGAGATCCGCCGGAGCTCCGGCGCTCGTATCTCGATCGCGAAGGCTCCGCATGACGAGACCGGCGAGCGCATGTTCACGATTATGGGAAGTGCCCAGGCCAATGAGAAGGCCCTATACCTCCTTTACGAAAACCTCGAGGCCGAGAAGACTCGCCGCAGCCAGCTGCCCCAGGAGTAAGCTCTTGCTTTACAATGGCAGGGAGTCTTAAGAGGGACGGGTTCCCTTTATGTTTTGCTTAAACCTTACGACTTCGGAGACTGTCGGTCATGATCAGCGGCGGTCATGTGTAAGCGAGTTTGTTCGATTTATGTTACTTTTTTTTTATTCCTTCAACTTCTAGTCGCGATCCGCGTCGGTTTCTCTTAGCCTTCATGCAGAACATGCATCTCAGTGCTTGCGGATTTAATAATTCATTTTCCACGGTAATAGGAAGCTTAGGGTTGGACAGCATAATGACCTCGGTGCTCATTTGTTCTCTATATGTTCTCTCTGAGGTCCTGACATGATCTCTGGTGGCGGTATGACGAACGACTCGGAGTTCGGCATATCACCACGTCTATCACTGTGGCAGTCATTGGGCATGTTATATCGTGCGTTCACTTCGAACAAAGGAGCAGGATACTCGTCTTGCTTCGTCGTCGGTGGTACGTATGCTGTGAAGCAATGAGAGAAATCTTCGCCATCATCCTCTATCAACGTCCTCGCGAATGCGTCCTACATTAAACAGTCTATCTCTATCCGAAAAGCGATCGCCCGCGCTATCTGATCGCAATATTCTCAAATACCACCTTTGAGCGTTGAAACTACAGTCCATGCTAAGGACTGGAAGTGGTGTGGCTGCAGAGTTCAAACCGGAAAATCAACGCAGGAAAAAATACCAGGTTGAGTCAGGTAGAAAAATTTCTACACTACTGAGTTTCCTGGAACAAAATGGGAAGTTCTTTTGTCAAATACTAGTACTCAGAATATGAGCCCAGCCTTCTGCTTTTGCTTTTCAATTCACTGTCTTGTCGTATATTTTGTGTGCATGGTGGACGCAGATAACTTGAACCGCCGTAACGTCTAATCGAAGGTAAGTTGTTGTATACTAGTAGTAGTAATACTAGTAGAATATGGAAACCGTGTGTCACGGATATATGTACATGAAAGAAGTTGAAGAAGAAGAAATCCCGAGAAAGAAAGAAACAGAACCAAAGAGGAAGAGACAACCCCAATATTGGAAGATTCAGCGGTTAGCGCACCTGCTGGTAGCTTGTCTGACCCCATTGACTTGACCGCCATTTGTTTTTCATGCTATTCATTTCATCCAATTCTTCACTTCTTTGGCCATTGTCTAATCCGCGCTGAAGACGCCCTTTTTGGCGCTGGCGTCGGCACCACCATCCAAAGGCAGCGAATATGATAAGTCCTGCGGCCCCTGCACCACAATAAACACCAATATGGGCACCGTTCCCTAGGTCATCCCATTTTTGAGCCAAAGTTTCCGCGGGCTTCTTGTTTATTTCAGCTTTTGCAGTGGAGTTACCCCTGGAATATCGCCGTTAGTTAATGATGGAAAGCTCACGAGGATAAGGGCGCAAGAATATCAATCTAGAATCACTCACTCAACAGTTTTGATGCTTTCGTAAGTCCCGTTTTGGTTGGTATACTTATACTCCTTTCCTGAATGAAAGTCTTGCACTCGGATCTTTTGCACCGTCATAGTAAAAGGTAGGTCAGACCAATCCACCAAACCGCCGCCCCATTCGATGTTACCGGTAGATTGTGACTTGATTCCAACCGGCCAATTGCTGACTTTGACTCTGCATGGCGTTTGGGGATAATTTTTGCCATAGACGGTTAATGGTTCTGAATAATTGACCGTCCGCATTAATTTACCATCAATCCACCATTCGAGTCTGTCTCTATCCCAGTAGGAAGTGTAGTTGTGGAATTCCGTGTCGGCATTCGCAACGGGATGGTAGCCACCGCGGTTACTGGTCGTAGTGTTTCCTTTTCCAAAGAAATCGGACTGAACCTGGCTTGTATTGTAGCCAACCCATTCCCAATCGATCTCATCCAGGTCATCTGATTGCAAGATAACACTGCTGATGATTCCTGCCCCTTTGGCCATTTTTACATGAGCCTCCATAACTCCGAAGAGGATATAAAAGTTGGACTGTAGAAGGGTAGAGCCGTTCTCTTTTGTAATCTTGAAATCGGCGCCTTCATCGGTGTAGTCGAGTGTTCCAGTCGCCATGTCCCAAAGTTCATCATCGAGAGTCGAGTTGAACAACCATGTATGTTCGGTACCGAGAGCCGGATCGGCATCGCATGTTGTGTTCTTGAGCGGGTTGCATGATGTCTGGTCTTCGGCAATGACACAAAGGCTTTGGAATGCCGCAATTGTAAGGATAACGAGATAAGAGAATGGCTTCATGCTGAAACGGCGGGGTATTAATTGGCGTTGAGCCCAGCACGGCGAGATTCCCTGTACCCTACTATCTCAGGGCATCGAAGACCAAATACTTCGTTCGACGAAGAGGAAGAAAGAGGAGGAGGAATTGACAGATATCCCCCAGTCGTCGATTTTTCAGGGGCCCAGTCACTGGTGTAATTTTAATCCCCCGATACTAGCTCTTGGGAAATCAAGAAAAGAGGCCAATAAGCGAGACTAAAAACTAACCGCAATCGGAAATCAAATGCTTCATACAAGCCCCCTTGGGCTCTCTCCAGGCATCAGCCGGAATTGAGACTGCTTGAAACAATCCCCTCCTAGAGACAACGAAGACGTAGCTGGTTAAGTAACCCCTTGTACGTTCCGTGGCCGTTTCAGCAATGGCTTAACTAGTCTATAGATTGGGCTATTGATTCTTCTTTTGTGCTGTTTGGAACTCAAGAGCCGACCAAATTTCGACTGCTAAGACTTTCTTCCGGTGGGCAGATACCCACAGCAATAAATACCTATGATCCATCCGAAGAACCCCATTGGCAATTTTTCAAAGGTCTCTAGAAAAGATCCACCTTGCGGACGTAAGTTCTCGATTTAGCTCCTTTTAGCTCCTTTTAGCTCCTTCTATCATGACTAATCAGCCACATAACTTCCTATCGTAGTTAGAGGCGTCGTCAACCTCGCAAAGGTGGATAATTAAACGGTTGTTGTCTCGATTCTATTGGTGAGAATGGGATCTACTGAGTATGGCTAGTCAGGAACGACTTGAATAGTTTGAGTCATGGCTGAGGCCGGTAAATCCGAGGGTTTGATCTCTCATAAATTCAACCGATCACGCCCCAATAGTTCGTCAGTTCGTAATCAGGTATAGATGGACTTTCTCCTTGAGGCAACCCGCTTCCAATTTTGCAGGTTGTCCGTCTATGGTATTCTGCGTCTTCCAACAAGGCTGGTTGGGAGTGGACGGATGGATAAGTATTTTTAGAGTAATTCCTCTCGATTCTTTGCTCATGGAGGTGCTTATCATGGCATTATCACTTAAAATCCAAGGTCGGTCGTAAACTTGGAATAATATTTTTTATTTATGAGTATAGCATCCTTATTAGGCTAGCGAATTATCAAATTTGACTAGCTCAGTATAAAACTACGATCCGCTGGAAACGACCAACTCGAGCGACGTCACACTCGGGTATAACCCCTAGCTTCACTCAAAACTTGGAATCTCCGAGCCAATTGAACAGTAAGCAAAATTTTAAAAACTCCAAGAACTTGAAAAAAACAATATCAAGGTAGTTTACAAGCGAGGCTCTTTCTTCCAGTAGTTTTTGGTGTATATTGAACATCTTCCGAGTATTGGGGGATTAAAGAGAGAGAGAGAGTAGATACACCCAAGCCAAAACCTGCTGGAAGGTGTACATGTGCATGCATGAAAGATGTAGTGGATAGATGATGATGATGGTGGTGAAGAAGAAGACAAAGCAAAGCGTAAACTGTATACCTGAGGCATGTCGGCATCAACACTAGTTAGTTAACTAAGACTTTTTTGGTCTACTCATTCCCGAATTTTCACTTCCTAGGCTGATGCTTGAATCAGTGTCTAAAATTTTCTTTGAAGGATTTGAGAAAGTCTTAAGCTTTTGATTATCTGGCAGTGATTAATTATATTGTGTTCTGGATAGCAGAACGTAGTCAAAATGAATTCGAGCAAGATACGTCGCGCTCACAAGTCGGGCCTTATACCGAATTTCTAGCTTGAAATGAATGTCTGTCGAGTTTTACTTTTCGCTAGAGAAGCCACCTACACTCTTCATTTATATAATGTCATATTTTGCACACCAGCCAGTAAGAAATTAATCTTATTATAACACCGTAGTTCTCTAGACGGAAAACAAGTGAAGGAAATAGCCATTTTCAGCCCAGCGCACGCATATATTATAGGAGAAATGGACATGTAGTGATCCATGGGAGGTTACTGAAGCCACAACCGACAACCATCGGCATCATTTCGCGATGCCGAATGTCGGATGGGTGGCCCGACACTCTCCCCGCATCGGCTACTTCACGGTTATATGGATATTCTAAAACTCATCGATAATGACCCAGAGCTCAATAAAAGAATTAGATTTCACAGGATCAGTATTTGATGTTAAATTTTGGTTAGTTGAGCCACCATCTGAAAATACGGTCTCTTTGGAGGTCTAATTTACAAAGAGGGATATTTGAAGATAGCGTGGGGCAATATAGTATTATTGTCACATCCGCAAGAATGCTTTCGTCAAAGACATCACTTCTAAAATGTCCGAAGAGATTTGGTGCTAAAGCGATTACCCAAAATGTGAGGTACAACCTGGTAGCATCTAGAAGTCGATATTTGCGAGGCCTCCAGCCTCAACGAGTAAGCAACTATGGACTACTCCCATTCATTGCCATACCCGAATACTAAACCTGATATATCTAGCAATACTACTCTGCTGCTTCCATGGCAAGCTCATCGGATTATCTGGACCATATATATACTGCTTGGTGTCAAGATCCAGCTTCTGTCCATTCTTCCTGGAGAGAATATTTCAATGCCGTCGAAAATGGCCTACCAACCTCGGAGCCTACGTTTGAGCCTCTGGGAAAGTCTCCATTGTTCTTGAATACGATCAACAAAGGTGTCGTCAAGGGGATTCCAGCTTCATCTACTGCGCCCGTTCATTATTCCAAGATTGTGCGCTTAGTCCGCGCCTATCAAGTTTTTGGTCACAAGAAGGCTAAAACAAATCCACTCAATCCACCCGAGAAAAGATTCCCGTATCCAGAGGAACTCAAGCCAGAATTCTATGGATTCACTGAGTTTGATATGGATCAGGAAGTTGTCCTCGGTCCTGAAATGCTACCACACTACTTCGTCTCAGCTGGCACTCGAACAATGACCCTCCGAGATATCATCAAAGCTTGCGAAGATGTATACTGCGGATCGATTGGTACCGAGTATAGTCACGTTGAGACTATCGAGGAACGTCAATGGATTCGTGAGCGACTAGAAGTTCCCGAGCCCTACCGGTTCTCCTCAGAAGAGAAAAAACGAATCCTTGATCGTCTTGTTTGGACAACCACCTTCGAGAAATTCATGTCCGCCAAGTTCCCCAATGCTAAGAGATTCAGTATTGAAGGCGTCGAGACTCAGATCCCTGCTTTAAAAGCGATAATCGACGCTAGCGCAGAAAATGGCGTCAAGAACATTATCTTCCCTTGCTGTCACCGTGGCAAGTTGAATGTGCTTAGCAATGTAGGTCGAAAGCCAAACGAGCTGATCTTCAGTGAATTTTCTTCCGATTCAGAATCTCGTCAGAAGATCTCAGGCGACGTCAAATACCACCTTGGAATTAGCCATGATCGAAAAACCCCAAGTGGAAAAGATGTGAATGTTTTGATTCTGCCAAACCCATCTCACCTGGAAGCCCAGAATACACTTGGCCAAGGCATGGCTCGGGCTGTCCAACACCAGAATCACGGGGATCGAGCGACTACCATGGTTTTGAACAGTCACACGGATGCCTCTTTCTCTGGCCAGGGAGTCATCTACGAAACCTTGGGGCTCTCTGGGCTGAAATTCTACGAAACGGGTGGTACTGTGCACTTGATTATCAACAACCAAGTCGGATTCACCACGGACGCCGACTCTTCGCGAACCTCGCCCTATGCGTCAGATATAGCAAAGAGTATTGCCGCCCCAATCTTTCATGTTAATGCGGATGATGCCGAGGCCGTGGTTTTTGTCTGCAAAATGGCTGCGGATTATCGCGCAAGATTTGGCAAGGATTGCTGGGTTGACATGATCTGCTACAGAAAGCATGGTCACAATGAAATGGATCAACCGTCCTTCACTCAACCGATAATGTACGAGCAGATCAAGAAGAAGACTCCTCACCTCGAATCATACACAGAGAAACTGGCTCTGGAAGGAGTGGTCACAGTCGATGAAGTCAAACAGATGGAGGTCAGGGTTTGGGAGGAGATGACCAGGAGTCTAGAAAATAGCACAAGCCCCGAGGCTCTTGAGCGTGAGTATCTCACAACCCCATGGCTGGATATGAAGAGACCAGAAGAGGTCATGCGGGAGAGCTTTGCAGCAAAGGCAACTTCTATTGACCGCGATATGGTTGGAACGATCGCAAGCAAGCTCGGCGTTCCTGCGGAGCCGTTCCAAGTACACAAAAGCTTGAAACGAATTCTTCAAAAGCGCCAGCAGAACCTAGCAGATGGTCGGGATATTGATTGGGCCACGGCTGAGGCTCTGGCAATGGGGAGTCTATGCCTCGAAGGGCATCATGTTCGTGTCTCCGGCCAAGACGTTGAGCGCGGTACTTTCTCACAACGTCATGCCGTGCTTCATGATCAAAAAGACGGAGGAGCCTATTTACCACTAAACAATCTCGGCCCGGATCAAGGTGAATTCACTATTGGGAACTCTTCACTGAGCGAATATGGCGTAATGGGGTTCGACTACGGTTATTCTTGCCTGTACCCGAATAGTTTGGTGATGTGGGAGGCACAGTTTGGCGACTTTGCAAACAACGCACAATGCATCATCGATCAATTCATCTCATCCGCAGAGAACAAATGGCTCCTGCGCTCTGGGCTTGTTTTATCTCTGCCTCATGGGTTTGATGGACAGGGACCAGAGCATTCTTCGGCCCGAATGGAGCGTTTTCTGCAGTTATGCAGCGAGGATGGCCGCTTCTTTCCGACAGAGAAACAGATCGAGAGACAGCATCAAGACACCAACATGCAAGTGGTTCAAATGACTACCCCGGCCAATATTTTCCATGTGTTGAGACGACAGTTGCACAGAGAATTCAGAAAGCGTAAGTCTTATCTGGAAAGAAAATACTACAGTTCCCCTTCAGCTAATGCATTCACACAAAATCCAGCTCTAATTCTATTTTTCTCGAAGTCTCTGCTACGCCATCCCTCAGTGAAGTCTCACATCGAGGACTTCA